GCTCATCAACTGCCACGCTGACGTCAACGCAATCGACGATTTTGGTAAAGCCTGAAAATCAGTATAGTCTAGTGCTGAATGTGGTCAAACGCTGAAGTTTCTCAAATGAACCACTTTACATCTAATCACTGTATTCTTGTCTCTTCAGGTAAATCCGCCCTACATTGGGCTGCAGCGGTGAATAACGTGGAGGCTGCCATCGTGCTGCTCAAGAACGGTGCCAACAAGGACATGCAAAATAACAAGGTATGGAAACAATCTCTGTCTTCTTCCAGTACAGACTGGCAACCCACTGAACCACAAGAAGTTTCAGATTTTTTGCTCCTCACATTTTTTCTTATTTTTCACTACAATATGAAGTCCTGCACCTCTATGGAAACAGTAAAACCAGGGTTTAAAGTAGCGAGACCTGTGCAGTACGATTTAGTTATAATGCCATAAAAAACAAAACAAAGAAGAAAAAAAAAAACAGTGTTGAATTTCTATGACTATTTAATTTACAAATATAGAAAAAACCTAGAAGCAGCATGTAAAAGATGAAATGTTATCAGCATTGAAAAAAATACAGACTCTACTAGCATACTAAAGTTTTTTAAATATGTATATATACTTGTCTCCTATCTGCTCAGTGTATGCACAGCCTGCAGTTTAGTTGAAAATTCTCAGAAATTTGTCATGTGATTGTTGGTCACAGCAGAGTCACTACTGGTGTCTTGGAGTCTGTTTAATGCAAACAGTTATTTTTAAATAGGACATGTAGGGGAAAAAAGTGTTTGATTTAAAGTCATGCTTTTACACTTAGATATGGTCATTTTTCCAGGCAAAACCGGAAGTCACACATGAGTAGTTTAGTGGCTGCCATAATTCTTGTTCTTGCTCTTCCAAGCTACGATAAATAGTGTAATTTATGGATGTTTAAAAAAAAATAATAAGGAGTTGTCTTTCAAACCCGAAGTTATGGGAATTAAACAAAATCTTTCAAAACTGTTTAACAAATTGTCTCCTCTCTGTTCTCCTCAGGAGGAAACCCCTCTGTTCTTGGCTGCCAGGGAAGGAAGCTATGAGACGGCCAAGGTCTTACTGGACCACTTTGCCAACAGAGAAATAACTGACCACATGGACCGACTACCCAGAGACATTGCACAGGAGAGGATGCATCACGACATCGTGCGGCTGATGGACGAGTACAACCTGGTACGAAGTCCTCCCATGCATGGAGGGTCACTGAGCACCACACTGTCGCCTCCTCTTTGCTCGCCCAACGGCTTTCTGGGCAGCATGAAGCAGCCCCAGCCTCAAGGCCCAGGCCAGGGCAAGAAGGCTCGCAAGCCCAGCACAAAGGGTATCGGGTGCAAGGATGGCAAAGATATGAAGGTGAAGAAGAAGAATTCGCAGGATGGGAAGTCTGGGAACCTCCTGGATAGTTCAGCTGTTCTGTCCCCAGTCGACTCCTTAGAGTCTCCACACGGGTATGTCTCCGATGTGGCTTCACCTCCCATGATGACCTCACCTTTCCAGCAGTCGCCGTCTGTCTCCCTGAACCATCTGCAGGGTATGTCCGACCCTCACCTGGCTGTGAACCACATGGTGATGCCCAACAAGCAGGAGCTGGCTCGAATGCAGTTTGACCCACTGCCTCCACGTCTCACCCACCTACCCGTGTCTGGCTCCACCGGTCAGGGTGCCATGAATGGCCAGTGCGATTGGCTGTCCAGGATGCACGGCAGCATGAGCCAAGCGGGTCAGTTCAACCCCTTGAGAGGAGCTCCGGGTGGCCAAGGAGGTCTGCACCAGGGAGGGCAGCACGGCATGATGACCACGACACTCCACAACGGCCACCCCACCGCCAGCCTGTCCCAGATGATGACGTACCCCAGACTGGGTCCTCAGCCGCACATCATGCAGCAGCAGGCCCAGCAGATGCAGCAGATGCAGAACCTGCAGCAGCTTCAGCAGCAGCAGCAGCAGAGCATCCAGCTGCAGCACCAGACTTCAAACACACCCAACAGCCAGAACTTCATCAGTGGGGAGCTCAGTTCCCCGGAGCTCCAGCAGGGCACAGGCAGCTCCAGCATGCCCATCCACACCATCCTGCCGCAGGAGACCCAGATCATGCCCTCCTCCATCAGCCAGTCGATGCCCAGCACCCAGTTCCTCACCCCGCCCTCCCAGCACAGTTATTCAGGCCCCATGGACAACACCCCAAACCATCAGGTCCAGGTGCCCGACCACCCCTTTCTGACCCCCTCCCCCGGCTCCCCTGACCAGTGGTCCAGTTCTTCTCCTCATTCCAACATGTCCGACTGGTCAGAAGGCATCTCGAGTCCACCGACCAGCATGCAGTCTCAGATTGGACATATACCTGAACAGTTCAAGTAGAAAGCTTCACACCCAGATGAGCTGCTGTATATTTTTTTTATAAGAAGGCACTCTTGGTGAAAAAAAAAAAAATTAAAAAAAGGAAAAGGGGCAAAGCTGTAAACAAGATTTAATAGGACTTTTATAAGCTTTTGTACTAACAGCAACATCTGTGTTTCATCCATTCTTTTTATTTATTAATGTCTTATTTATACGCATTGCCTGCTTACAGAAATTCGGGGGTCCGTGGTGTTAGGTCACAGAAAGTCCTTTTAGAGAAACTTACTTTTTAGTACTTCTTTTCTGCAGTGAAGTCACAGCATACACACTGGGTATTTATTTCCTCGAGGACTTTTAGTCTTTGGCTTTTTTAAAAAAAAATATGGTTTCTCGGCCTTTGTTTATATATATATTTTTTGAATAATCTTGTTTATAATGAAAGTCATGATTAAGGGGCATTTTTATAGAGCACATTTTTAAGTGTCAGTGTTATTTCGATTTGTTGTGGGAATTATCAGTCGATGATAAACTCGATGTGGGTTGCGTTCGCGTCATGCATTTCATGTGCAGGTCCCGTATTAACAGGATCTGTTTTTCCCCCTTTTTAAAATTTGTGATTCTTAGTTATACTCTCTAGAGTTGTTCTTGAATCGGTGGAGCAGCACTTTGTTGTTCCTCTAGATTTGATTTGTATTCATGTGTAGAGGCGTGGTGGAGATGTGAAATGTTGTACAGTATACGGCCATCTTGGAGATTGGCGGTTAAAGCAGGTTAGTCCTGTGCTGTTGGAGAACTGGCCTGTCGGCCACAGTGTATGTTATTGTCCAGGGGGAAGAGAAAACTTCACTTTCTCTCTCCCTCCTATTAGTTTGAGCCTATGGCTGTGTTTCTTTCTTTTGTAAATATGTCCTGCATTTCCTTTGTAAGCAAGATTTTGTTTAAGAAATCTTATGTCTTAAGCATGCAATTTTGAAAGGTCTCGCACCAGTCAACAGCCTCTAAAATGTAAAACAGAACAGAATATATATTTTGTATCCTATTGTCCCTTATGCATAAATAAATTTGAACTATATACAAATAGATACAATATATTGTTAGGTGACATTTTTCTCAAAAAAAAAAGGAAAATTAAATAAATATTGAGGTTTTATAAATTCATATTTATTTACTGTTCTGTCACACATGAAAGTCCAGCGAGGCAACCATTTGTGTTGTTTTTGTTACACTTTGGTAAAATGAAAATCTGTTGGCTAAGTTCTCAGCTGCGTCTACTTCTATGTTTTGTGAGACGCACCCTGGTAGTTTGCAAAATGTTATAATTTTTAAGAAAACACATTAGGTTGTAGTGAAATTGTAATATCTGCAATATGTTTCCTTCCTCTTATAAAGTTATAATTTGCAAGAAATGTATTTTCCCTTTTCGTTTTCAATCTGTAAAAATGTTTCTTGTTATAATAAAGGGCACTTGAGTGTCTTGAACTTATGAGAACTGTCTTTTTTTTCCCAGTCTGTCTCAGTCAGTTCCCCATCATTATGTTCTACATATTTTCAGTTACCACTGATGACAGCTAGATCAACAATTAAAATTCAGTCCAATAATCACAGTGTGAACATATGCCTCTTGACGCTGATTATGCAAAATTGATTGTATCCTCTGTGCAAAAGCACTGCAGCGCTTCATTTGATTACATTTGCCTACTTGCATTTCACTTAGTTTGTCTCCATCTAGTGGTGCAAATTATAAACTATAAATATCACTTCCTCAACCGAAACACAATGTCCAGCTGCACTGTTAATGCAACTTGTGCACATTGTGGAATTAAATAAGGTTTTAAAAAAATACATATATAAACATATGTCCAGGGTAACTCTCCAACGGGACACATTGTTGTTAGGCAAAATGTTGGGTGCCAAGTAATCTTTATTTGGGTGTAATGTACATTATATGGCCCTGATTTTGCTGTGTAGTGTCTTTATTAAACTTATAAAATGAATATGCAGCATGCAGGCAGAAAAAAAAAACTAAATACCCCTTAAGGCCTTTAACTTTGTTGTTTTTGCCAAGAGAATATAAAAAATCTCAGATTCTAATGTCTCATTTCAGTGGATCCTCATCTTTTCTGGTTTATAAAACTTTAAACAGAATGTCATTTGGGTTTAGACTTTTGAAAAATTGTTGGCCTTTAGAAATTTTTCCAACTTTTAAGTAACTTTTTTAATTGAATAATTGAGGAAATAATTGCTGGCATAATTAATCATGTTCCTAAATGTGTTACTTGATATCGTGGCTTAGCGGTTGTACATTGCATACTAAATTTTCAGTTGACAAACAGTAACTGGATCCTTGTGGGTAAATGGAGCTCATGGGTCCACTGGAGGTACAGGCCGACCCCCTGGCAGCTGCAGGCAAAATAAACAAATGCAAGCAAACTAAAATGTTTGTACAGTTTTATTTTATACAGTGATGCTACTTTATACAATCTATTTTTAAAATATGTGTTAGTATGTTTCTTTCTGAGCCAATTTGGACCAGATTGGCTGTTTTTTTTTTTTTCCTCTTTTGTTTTGTTAAATACATGGGACGACCTGTCACTCAAAAGAACTACAAGTCCCACGATGCACCGCGAGTAGCCCAGTTGAAGTTCAAAGTTCAAACATTACAGTAAAAATAGGGTATTCGCTGGCTGCTGCTCGTGTGCTAACGGGGGAAAATAAACAACTTGGCGAGCACGGAATACGCTGCTCGGTCGCCACCGCACCGAAGACCGGCCGAGGACCCCGAAAATGGCCCTCAGCTAACCGGTGCCTGCTCTCGGTCTGTTGTCGGCGGATTTACGGAGCGACGGCTAGCTGGGTGCTAACGTTAGCACGCTAGCTTCGCCAGGAGCACATAGCAACTACTGCTAGCTAACGTCACTGGACTGGTACTCTTTGCTCTCAAGGCTGCAGCTATGTTCGTGCAGGAGGAGAAGATATTCGCCGGGAAAGTGTTGAAAATACACATCTGCACCATGGACGGCACGGAGTGGCTGGAGGAGGTCACGGAAGACACCACTGTGGAGAAACTGAAGGAGAGGTGCTTGAAACATGTAGGTTTATTGGGGGGTGCTTGTTTGTGTTTTCCTTGATGCTTTTTCTGTCCTGTCACTTCTGTGTCCGGGGTGTTTGTAGCCTGCAATGCCCTCCCAGTAAACTGTCAGTGTCGGTGTCACTGGCTTTGTATTTATAGTAACTGGGTAGACTTTGCTATTTATAATTTAGCAGGTTGGCTGCCCCTCTTCATCTACTGTAACTTGCTAACAGTCCGACTCTACCCCTTTTCTGTTCCCAGAGAGGCATGCTACCTCTCAGCCTTTCTATTATTATACAGCTCACCTTACTTCTCCTTCTATGGCCTATAGCATCAACTGAAGTGGCACTCTAATGTTTGTATTTCAGCACAAATCAATAGTTTAGTCCATAAAACTTCACAAAATAACAGCTCGTCCCAAGTTAGGTAAAGTCATGTTTTTTAAATAAAAAAAATAGAGAAGTAGCTACATCAGTGATGAGAGAGTTCTAAGAGTTGCTGCAATTAATCAATTACTTGATTGCCACAAATTAATTGGCACCACTCTGACAGTTGATTAATAGTTTGAGTAATTTAAAAGCTAAAATCCCCCCCATCTCAGAATTATGCTTTTGTTTTTTGTTTTTCTTTGTTGCAAACTGAATATTTTGTAGTTTTAGACTCTCAAACGACTTTTAAAGACATATGCCTTCCATTTTGTAGATCATATCTCAATCAATCAGAAAACATAAGTGCATCTGCAAATACATCAGCTGTTAAACTGACTTCTTGTTTCTGCTTTAGTCATCGGAAAATCAATCAACATTACTTGTGATAATTGATTAATTGATATTTTATTTATAGTTGGAATTTTTTTCTTAAATGTGCTACAATTTCTTTAACTTGCAAATTTGCTTCTTCTCAGATTTCAATCATTGTAAGTTGACAATGTCTTTTTTTGGGGGGGAGGGGTTGACTATTGGTCTCACAAAAAGCACATTTTGAAAGATTGCTTTTCAGAAATTTTGATGTGTATTTAAAACTTCTGTTACATGCTCTCCAGACTAAATCGTTAAAGCAAATTATAGGTAGATGCAGCCCTGTTGTTCATGATTTGCTCATGAACTTATTTCTTGTGTTCTTTTGTTGTAGTATGTACATGGAAGTCTAGAAGACCCCAAAACGCTTACTCACCACAAACTTATACATGCTGCTACAGAAAGAGTCCTCACCGACACTAAAACTGTTGCTGATGAAAATCTCAAAGATAAAGGTACGTAGCATCTTATTTGACAGATTTAGGAATTACTGTTTTTCTTCAGTTTTTTTTAATGTTTTGTATATGTTGTAGATGTATTGCTGCTCATAAAGAAAAGACCGCCACCGACCCCTCCAAAGATGGCAGATGTTAGTTCGGATGAAAAGGTAAGCCTAATTGACTTTTGTAAAATTAAAAAAAACCTTGCTTTTCCCTGACTCTTGTGGGTTTTTTTCTTTTGTCCCAGAAGAAACAAGATAACAAAGCTCCAGACAAAGACGCAATCCTGAAAGCTACCGCCAGCCTGTCCACACGCCACACTGACCGCACTGTTACACAACATAACATCAGAGACGTAAGGATGTCAGATAAATGTTTTTCTATAAATTGTAGTAAATCAGAACTTTAACTGCAGTTTAAACTATAAAACATTGTAATATTTTTTTGTTTGTGTGTTCATGCTTGTTTCGTTATAGTTTCAGACAGAGCTCAGAAAAATCCTGGTTTCTCTTATTGAAGTCGCCCAGAAGCTTCTAGCCTTGAACCCTGATGCTGTTGAACTCTTCAAAAAGGCCAACGGTAAAGTGGACAACCCTTTAAACTATTTCTAGGTCTGCATCAGTTATCCTACTGTCAAGAAAGTTATATATATTCGAGTGTGTTTTGTTTGGCATGTTCAGGACACTGTTAAATACAGTATAGTCTCTCACTTTAGCTTCCCAAGACAAGACAAAAATGCTTTACTAGATAGATCTGTTTATACTGTCATTCTCTTAAGCACAGAAGAAGCACTCATGGCGCAACATGTATTTTAAAGCTGACGCATTCACATGTAAAGCGTCGCAGTTGAGCCATAGGAAGAAACTGGAGCACTCAGACATGAGGAAAACACGTTACGTCACACAGAAGGACCACAGGTGGTTTTGTCAAGGTTAAGCCCAGACCTTTTTGCTGTCACGCAAATACACCAACTACTGAGTCAGACTGATAACAATGCTTTTTTTTTTTTTTTTTTAAAGCACACCAACAAACTGAAATACGAGATCAGATTTAGAGTGTTTGCTCTACATTTGGAGAGCCACGCTTAGATATTCGCTGTTGTCAGAAAATGCTCCTGATGAATATTGTTGTCGACTTTCAGCTCGCATCGCCCAGCCTCTGTTTCAAGCATCTGATCTCTTTGTATTTTGGTGTCTCGTAGCAATGTTGGACGAAGATGAAGAGGATCGGGTGGATGAAACAGCCCTTCAGCAGCTCACTGAGATGGGTTTCCCTGAGAGCAGAGCAATCAAAGCTCTTAGATTGAACCAGTAAGGCTGTTATTTTTTCGTAGAATAGATTCGCAGTTTTGCTGTCAGTATTTGTGTTGTTGAAAACTCTTAAACGATTTATTTTGATTTAAATTCATACCAGACTTCCACTAAACAGGGATCGTGGTCTTGTGTAGCAGGACTATAGTTTCATTTAGTATAGAAAATCAATACTCCAGACATGTTGTTCTCACTGCATCCACTCTCTTTATAGCATGTCAGTGACCCAGGCTATGGAGTGGCTGATCGAGCACGTAGACGACCCTTCAGTAGACACGCCGCTACCAGGCCAGGACTCCTCAGGGGCAGCAGGAGCCACGGCAGCCCCCACACCAGGCCCCTCTGCTTCGGCCTCCGCTTCAGCCTCCGGTCCTAACCTTCTCCGCAGCCTCTCCAGTCAGTCGAGCACAGACGAGAGCAGTAGGCAGGACGAACTCACAGAGATCTTCAAGAGGATCCGCAGGAAAAGGGAGTTCAGACCAGATTCAAGGGTGGGTGGTTTTATTTCGTACAAGACTTTGGACTATTACTTTATAAAACTCATCTGAGATAGGATGGGATCTGTGCATGTTATTGTAATGAGACTTTTTCTTTGTCGCTGAAGGCTGTCATCGCTTTGATGGAGATGGGCTTTGATGAGAAGGAGGTGATTGATGCTCTGAGAGTCAATAACAACCAACAGGACGCTGCGGTAAGTTTCCACATCCACAATAGTCTTATTAGAAGTGCCAGTACTGGAAAAAACTCCATCACTTCCAGCTCTTTGAGGATTGGCTGTATCGTGCACTTTAAAGAACTGGGTTTGTATGCCACAACTGTCCTTTCTCATTAGATTCACAAGTAACCCAACATTCACACACACTTACTATAGTGAGAAAGGAGCCTTAGAAGTAGATTCTGTCTTTTTTTTTAATTTTTTTTTTTATTCTTGATGCAACAATTTGTGACACCAGGCAAGACAGTCTGAAAAATGACCCTGTTAGTCTCATATTCAAACAATATTGCACATCCTCCCTCTGTCTGACAGCCAGTATTTTACTCCACCTTCCACTGAAGCAGAAGGGCTGTAAATACTTTTACACTTACCGTTTCTTTGGTAGTATAAACCAGGTGTGTCTGTGATAAAAGTTTGGAAAGAAATGTGATGTTATGTGTTAAGACTTTTTAGCTGGAAAGCCTGAATTCAAATCCAGCGACAGTGAGCAGCCTACATGCTTGTTTGGTGTTGATCCTGATCTCTGAGCTCTTTGAAGATGTTAACCCTCTGAAGCACAAGCAGTTTCTGGGTGATTCTTTTACTCATTGTGGGCTCATTTTGCGCAGCAGTATAAAGTCTGGCACCTCCACAGAAACACAACAACCATGGCTAGAAGTAGAGAGCGCTTAAAAATGTGTAGTTCAACACGCTTTAATGCTGTAAATCATGAAAGAAGACTTTTATTCCTTATTTATTATTTAAAAATGGGAAGAACCGAGAGTCAGAATGTACAACATTTTTGCAAGTGCCCACGGCTGGTCACTATACATACTACAGATATTTTACTTCCTGTATTTTGAATTTGTTTCCATACTTGTCTCCTCTCTGCTGTGTGAAAGCACTGGTTCTTTAATTTTTGTCATATGACTGTTTGTCATAGATGTGCTGAGAAGCTCCAAATTTATATATAGTTCTTCTTTTCTGTGGTTGGTGCAAATGGTTTATGATTAAGTAAAATTTTAGACAATACATGTAGAGTACTGTAATTTTGATGAAATGGCACAGTGTTAGGTTGAGATTCTGCGAGATCTTCTGACAGAAAACCATGTTGCAGATGAGTGATTCAAGGACTGTTGAAAGTTGAAAATCTGATGATTCTCTTTCTTTTTACAGTTTATGACTTTGATAAGTAGAGCCGTTTATTTAAAGACATCATGCCTTTCAAACCCACCAGCTGCTTTTGGGGTTTCAAATGATTAATGTAGTGTATTCTCAAAACACAATTGAAAATGAACTGTGTTTTCCGTCCTGCAGTGCGAGTGGCTGCTGGGAGACAGGAAACCTTCGCCAGAAGATCTGGACAAAGGCATCGACACCAACAGCCCGCTGTTCCAAGCCATCCTGGAAAATCCAGTGGTCCAGCTGGGTCTGACCAATCCCAAGACTCTGCTAGGTACAGTCCAATCACATTTAGTGGAAAAGCATTTTTAATAACCATCTCACTTACATAACACCAAAAATTGTTTATGTTTGTCCTTTTTTCCTGTATGGTTCTGAAAATTCCACCACGCCACAGTGTTATTGTAGCTGAGGCTGGTGAAGGCCGCACAAGTAGACATAAAAGCAAAACTGATTAGGTAAATACACTGCTGTATACATTGAATATATTGAATAGTTCAGCATCTTAGAGCGCTGTCTTATCTGTACTACAGTTTATTTTGTCTGGACCGAGGAAAAAGATACTCAGCTGTCTGATGTACACTCTGTCTTTTTACAACCTGTTCCTGTTTCACTCACTTTTGACTGTGAAACGCCTCAAATAGAGCAGAGCGCAGACTTAGCACTCCTCTGTTGTCGCTCCTCATTCCTTTCTGATACATCAGGGGAAATCCCCCTGTTCCCATGCTGACACACATATGTGTTGCATCAAAATGATCTTGGCATAAATATAGGCTGGACAGAAGTTTGCTTTCCTTCACAGTTTGTAATCAGTGAATGGATGTAATATTATTTTAGCTTTTCAGTTCAAAGAATCTTTTGATCTGCTTTGCTTTCATGCCACGAATAAAATGAGTCCACTTGAAAGCATTTACAATAACCCAAACAAACCGGACCAAGCAGAATTTATTGGAACCCAACAAAACAGGTTTGATTGAAGCACCCTGGGAACAGTTTTATTTTTTTTTACCATGTATGCGTAAAATGTACCGTCATAACCATCTGAAAGTGTCTTGGCGGAATATGAAAGACTGTGCTTTCACATATACTGGCTGCTGGTTTTGTACAGTTACATTTATTTCTATAAAGTTTAGAGGCTGGTGCGAGTACATGCATCTTGTCACACATGTGCAACATGTGCAAGCAGTAACTATCTGACTTCAGTCAGGATGTTGTGTGACACCTGAGCTTATCAACAGTGAGACCTGCATTACAAATGTGTTTGTGAGCACAGGCAGGTGCATGCTTCAGATTTCTCCGTGGACTGCTAACTCGAGCAGAGAACAAGCATCGCATCCTTCGTCAATAAGCAGCTGAGATGAGCCAGCTTTCATGTCGACAGTGTTGATAGTAGGGAGGTCTGTAGCTACCATCGAGAGAAAAAAATAGTTTTTACATCGAAAGAGCTACTAGTCATTAAAACTGGACAAGGCTGGTTTTTCAAGGTTTAAGATTTCAAGGTAGTCTTAATTATCCCCGAAGGGCAGTTTGTCCTACAGTCAGCAGTACGCCACGCTCTAAAATCACACAGTAGACAAAAAAAAATGACAATAAAATAAAATTATTATTATTTTTTTAATCACATAGTGCTGCTTAAAAATAGCAGGAACAAATGAGTGTTTTAGTCTGTTGGTCCTGCATCTACTTAGACTGTCAGCCAGGACTGACTTGGCCTTTTTTTGTTGCTCTATCTCTGTATAATACAGAGAGATTTCTCATATCAGTCCCTGCAAATGTAATGCTAACTTTCACAATTCCCCTTGTTCTTCTGGGTAAGTGACCCAAACAAGCAGATAAAGAGAAAATAAAACAGATTAAATAACTCAAGAATAGAACATTTTTATAAAACAGACGTCAACAATGAAGCCAAGTTTGTGATAAAAGTACATGTGCCAGTGAACCTTTCCACAAACAACCTCAGTGTCCGATTCAAGGATCGCACCAGGAGCATGTTCGTTGTTTTCTTCAACATTCAGGTGGTTGTGAACCAGGAACTCGTCCTCCAGGGTCGGACTGTGACGGCAGAGCTCTGCTGTAGTGTCTGAACTGTGAGCTTGTGTTTTTTTTTTTTGGCCACAACACAATCGTTGTTCCTACTCCAGATCTGCCTCCCTGTGACTTCTCCCTCTTCCCCAAAATGACATTCAAGTTGAAGAGTCGCTGTTTTGACACACAGTTTAAGAGATTCAGCGCTCATCGCTGATAGTGTTTGACATGTTTACATAACCGGACCTTCAGGGAGCATCACAGATGATGCAGAAGCACTGCGAGCGCAGTATCGCTGCACAGGCTGACTGCTTGGATAGGGATGACTGCCAAATTGAAGCCATGTATAGCTTTTGACTTTACTAGACACAGTCTCAGAACTTTTTGGTCAAGCCTTGTGTAGCACCAAGTCATAGCGTGTGTCATCTAAACACACAGTGAACAGGAAGTCAGGAGCACTTGGTAACAGTGGGGTTGAAAAAGCCACTTTTAACAGGAAGACGAGTTAAATGAGAGAAATGTGGTGTTAAATAGATTTGTCTGTCTTGTGCTTGTGTGCAGCGTTTGAAGACATGCTGGAGAACCCACTGAACAGCACCCAGTGGATGAACGACCCCGAAACCGGCCCGGTCATGCTCCAAATATCCAGAATCTTCCAGACCCTCAACCGCACATAGAGCCTCCTGGTGACCCCTGTATGTGTGAATGTGTGTGTGTGTGTGCGTGTGTGATTGTGGCAGCTTGTATGTATGTGTGTGTGATTATACTGGGATGTATGCATGAGTGTGTCTGAGTGCGGCAGAGACACAAGTATTGTTTTTTGCCTTGTAAAGACAAAGCCAGAGGAGTCAAACGTATGAACTAAGACATATAACTATTTATAACAGTACAGTAAAAACACTTATACAAAACAAATGTTAACATAAACATTATTATTATTACAGTAATAATATAAAATTGAGATTTAGTATGTTGTTTTTACATTTTAATGATAACAATTTATAGGTATGACAGACATGATTTATTTTATATAATTTCTCCATGTGCAAAAATGACATCAGACATCGATTTAATGTTTACACTTCAAAGAAAAACTGTTTTTGTATGTTTTGCAATATTTAAATATCAATCACAGTTTTGTCTGTCTCTTTAAATTGTTACATTTCATCCGTGGTGATCGTGTGGAAGACTTCCGTCAGTACCAGGTTTTGTTTTCCATCCCTCCTCGTCTCGGTTTCATTGGAATAACTGCTCATAATAGAGAGCTGTTGGTGAAGCTCGTTGAAAACGGGCTTTCAGACACGTTAAGTCTCTTCATTCGTGCTTGCGAGGTCACTGTAAGTCAACCGCCTCTCCGTTGAAGGAGGAGAACATTTGTCCTTGAGCTTCTTCAGACATATTTATTTGACTTTCTTGCCTTTTTTTTTTCTTTCTTTCTTTCTTTCTTTTTTTAAGATGAAAGCTGTACACTAAACTGTGTGTCTCAGTCATGTTTTTACAAAAAAAAAAAAGATGTAATATTAGGCCTGTGTGTTTATTGTCAATGTGCTCTTGAATGTCATATTATCTCGTTGCGCTCATTTAGCACTTGTTCACCTCTATGAATATCGCTCACTGCAGCACCGAGGAAGTTAAAAGAAGTGTTATTGGTCTCAAAAGGCTGTAGTGGGATGTTAAATGAAGCTGAGCCTAATCAAAAGGGGGGGGTTGCCTTTTTTTTTTTTCTTTGAACCTTTAATTCGAATGATGACGATGCGCTTTATGCTGCCGAAGTGAAAACGTCTTCACAAACACAAAGAAATAATAGAAGCTGAGATGCAGCCGGTGTAGGTGTTTTTGGTTTACTTTTTTTTTGTTTGTTTTTCTTTTTTTCTTTTGAGAGCAACGTACATTTATGCTGTCAAACCAAACCAAAATGTCACTGTATAACCTGCCTTGTCATTTAGATGTATCCAGTGGGAAAAAAAGAAAAAAAAAAAGAAATACCCTGTTTTTTTCTGTGCAATAGCAAGGACTTCTGTTGACCTGTAAAGACATATATTTGATTTGCGTGTTAGAGATGTGTGACCTGCAATGGGTAGCGTGTTATACAATATTAGCCTTTGCATCGAGTACTTAAAGTTTCCAGCTACGAGAAGGGGGAACTTTGCCTCTCCGAGTTGTACCGAGAGTTTAAAAAAAAAGAAAAAGAAAAAACAATATGGAGGGTGGTGTGTTTTGCCAAGCTTTTGAGTGTTTTTATTCAATATTTAAAATGTGGTATTGATGTGACTTTCTGCTCAGGGAGGCTGAGATTGTTTTTCTAAACCTGTCATTATGGCAAACCTCTGCTCAACCCCTTCTAGTTTGGCATTTGAAAATGGCTTTAACTAATCTGTCTAGAACTTTGCTTATGAATAAGAGCACCACAAGACATGGTTTCGTAAATGCAATATTTGAAAATATTTAAATGTTTTTAGAGAGAAAGTGTCTGTTTGAACTATGTATTATTACATTATTTATATCAAAGCCAAACTAGTAACTTGTTCTTATTTATAACATTTTTAGCGAAACCTTGAAGCTAATCTACAAATGTGAAAAATTAAATGCTTCAAATGTTGTTTTTACAAACCATTATAGAAATGTGCTTCTGGACTGGTAGGTCACAGTGTGATTTTAAAGTGATGCAGCATTGTTTGAATGAAGGAGGATTTCTACACACATCTCCTGGAAGCCTCTTTTGCACACTTTCTGCACTGCAGTGGACCTTTATCGTGGTCACAATGACCAGCTGTCTCACCACCTCCATGCTTTCCATTGGCATGCATACAAATCACCATCTCTCCCCTGTAATATTGTGAAGCAAACATTGGGAGATCGTACGTTTTAAGGGAAAAAGCTCTGCAAGAAATGCCGCCATCTTTCAAAAAAAAAAAAAAGAAAAAAGAAAAAAATGGTCAGCAGGAACAGAGACGAGCAAAGTGAACTTTATTGCGTAGGGACGAGAGGGTTGTTGGACTCGCAGATTATTGTTTTCACTCCGCTTTCATGCAGGACTGTCCCGGATCAACAACCTATGCAATATATTCACAGTCTGTTCGTTCAAACAGCCTCGTGGCTACTGGCATCTAAATCACTATTGCATTAAAGTTATTTTTTGTGGCTGTATTCTCTGGATTCTGTCTTTTTCTTCTCCTATTTTTTTTGCCCCACAAGGATCCGTGTTGAAGTGTAAAACACTGACCAGATTTAAAGAGACGGGACTGAAATATTACCAATAATACATTAATATTCAGTTATATGAAGTTTTCACAAAAATGCTGCAGTTTTGCAATTATTTGTTAGTATCTATCTCTACAGCAACGTTTTATTTAAATATTGGCTTCATCTTGTGTACAGAAATATTCATTTCAACGCTTGACCAAAATATTGTTCTATTAAAAAAAAAAAAAAAAAAAAACTCACAACAGGAGAGTTTAGTATAGAATAGACTTTTTAAAAAAAATTTTAATCTCCCATTGGGGTAATTTACATGCCACAGCAGCATCCAAAAATATCGAAAGAAAGTACAAGAAAATAACACTAAGTAACAACAATATTTACATTGAAAAATAAAAACAGATTTTGCAGTGCAAAAGTGAATTTATGACCATTAAGTGTTAATTTTGTCCATTTGGTTAACATCACTGCAGGGTGGGGGGTAGCACTGTTGCCTCGCAGCAAGTCTGTTCAGTCTCTTTCTGTCCCTGTCTGCAGACCACTGCATAGAAAAGAAGAGACGCCACCACAGTGTCAGAATGTCCTGAGCAGGACTCACTCACACTCCAAAGGACCTCAGTCTCCTCTGCAGTATAAACTAAATGTTGTGTTTAAGGTCCTGGAGCTGAGGTTCGTTGTTGTCTTGAAATTTAAACATGTACATACAATTTCTTGTCTAACTTTACAAACCCTGTCTCCTGTTAAAGATCATATGAAAAGAGTGAAAGCTCCAGAACAGCGACTAGAAACTTTCTGGTTTCTCTGTCTTTTTATTTTCTTTTTATCTTTTGTATGAAGCTGCTGTGTCCAGTAAGAACTAAGTCTTCTTTATTAGATTTACACAGATTTGAATAATGCACCATATTGACACTGCAACAATATTTGCAAAAAAAAACCAAAAAACTTTTGAAGTCCCGTAGACCCCTTTAAACGGCAGGTAGGGCACTGCATGTGTATTCATAATGGGCTGGATCCTGTAAATGTCCCAGAAAGTTATGACACTGAACCACTGTGCAGAAATGCAGCCATAATTATTACAGCTGGATTATTTCATCTTGAATCATCCGGGGCCTTCTGCACAACCATCTCTGATTCGCTTGAAGCTTTTTTTTGTTATAAATTATGGATATTTATAATGCAGTTTGGGCCATTTTAGAATAATATATCAACTACTTTCCTATTTATTTAGTTTTTAAATTGCCAAACAACCCTCTTTCAGCAATTTTTTTTTTTCGCACATTAAAAATTTAAGGCTGTTTTATCACAAAATTCAGAAGGTATTTGATACGTCAAGCTTTCTGTTTAATACATTTCAGGCAGATCAGAGACGGTTGAGCAGAAATTGTTCCAAAAAAAATTTGAGATGGAGCTACTCACCTGTGACAAATCAAAATGTCTGCTGTGAAAATATAAAATTCCCTTGATTCCCTAATCTCCCCCTCAGCTCTCCTGTCACCTGAATGGTGGAGAATCCTCAAACTCTCTCTGCCATGGTTTGAGATGTGCTACCATGCACTGAGGTTTAGTAACAGCAGCTTGATTCCCAGAGATGATATCATTTTTCTCTGACTTAATGTGTTCATATTATCCTGCTATATTCTCTCTCCATAGGCCTGATATGTGCATATACTCAGAGGAGGCACAGGCTTCACTCGGCTCGGCTGCAGGCTGCTATTCTAAAACGCACTGTTTCTTCTTTTTGAAGAGAGATCCCAAAATGCTTTCAGTGGTTCTGGCTCCTCTCTAAAGCCAGAGTCTTCTTAGAGAGCTCTTTCTCTTGCATATGTAGCTTTTTATACTCTGTAGAGAACCGAGCCTCTTCCTTCCTAACGGCCTCCTCTTGTCTGCTGCAACCTTCTTACTCCTCTCATGTAGGACAGACTCAAGTTCATCTCATTTTCAGAAGACAGTTGTTGGTTTTCATGACTTAGATGATCCAGTTTTGCTCTCAGTAGACGGCAGCTTTGTATTTGGAGTTCACAGCAAAGTCTGCTGGTTAACTTTCACCTGCAGTGAAGAAACAGTGTTGGCTTCAATATCACCTTGAAAATTCTGGATATTGAAGCAGAGGGATGAATTTCATTGTCTTTTTTTTTTTTGCCAGACTTTCCATCTGCTGCTCAATGAAGCGGTGCCTTAATTTCAGCACAATTCACCACACTCTGCCACTTCTTTTTCAATCTGAATCAAGGACACTATGAAACATTTTCTTATCCTCGCCAAGCTTAGCCTTCATTTTTTTTTACTAATTTCAACTTGATGTGTTGCATTGCTGCTGTGATTTGTGGCCTCTGAAGATCAGCCACTCAGGACCTACGCTTAAGCCTGAAGACTGTCTTTTTCAACTTGCTTCTTCTTTAGAGACTTTGCAAGACATTAATTTTCTTTTTTTGCTCCTTCTTCAGGGCTTCTCTCTGTTGAGATTTAGCTCTTTCCTCCCTTTTCGTGGCCTCTTCAAGAGCAGCTTTGGCTTTTCTTTCTTTGTCAAAAACTTCCTGAAGAAGACTAGTAAATTTGTTAGATTTTTTCAGATCCTTCTATCTCTAAAAATGGGATTATTATTTGTTGCACATGTGAAATATCTGTATGCCTCTGCACTGGTGATAGCCAAGGTGAGAGGCATAAAAATATGTTTTTGGGTGTTTATCTGTCCGTATATCTGTCTGTCCTATTCTCATATAGAAGAAATGCCTTCAGGAAATTTCTTCACTTGGACTTACAGATCACCTAATTAGAGTTCAAGTGTCAGAGTTCAAGATCACTGTGATCTCACACACATCCCTTTCTTGTAAATGTGATATATCAGATATGTCTGGTGGAAATTTCATTCCATCTTGGGCAAATGCTCTTTTGAATTTTTATTGTTAAAGATCAAAAGTCAGAACAACCTCACAAAACATGTTTTTGGTAATAACTCAAGAATTAATACATTAATTATGACAACATTTAACATAAACATCACAGTTCAGGTACGGAAGAGAAGATTGTGATCATATTTCTTTTCTATTCTATCACTTTTTGTTTTTTGATGCTGATTTAGTGACACTAATTGTGGGTGCCCACCCATTAAATTCCCCTAAAGGCTTCACTACATGCGCCCACTGGCCATTTTATTCGGTACGCCTGTGCAATCTAATGCAATCCAATACAACAGCTCTGCTGTAAATTCTACTTTACAGAGCTTCTACATTTTCAGTTTTTGCGTGATTTGAGTGATAATTCAACTTAATGTTTATTATAAAGGCCACAGTGGGTGGCAGATATTTATGCAGCACACTTAAAATAACAGCCGTTGCACCAGTCTGGTTTCCTTTACAGACATTAAACTGTCATTGGAAATTTACTTAACAAGTTTAAATATTAACCTTAAGACCCTACAGTATTATTAGTTATGCAAATGTATCTGACTCAATTAAATATTAATGCTCAGACCATGGAATATTATATATAATACTAATTAATGTGACGCACTTAAATGTTGTGATTAGCAGCCTACAATAATATATTCTCGACCAAACTGCCTGACTAATTTGACAATTAAAGTTAGGTAAATTACAAAATTATACATGGAAAGCCTAAGGAATCCAAAGATTCACTTCATCAACAGCAGTTAAGCCCCTTCATTTCTCTATTGTTCAGCACTCTGCTTAACTTCACTTTCATTTACATTCTCAGTTGTGCAATCTAATTAGAGTGTCTACAGTAACTCCACAATTTGTGTACCACTTTCCACCATTAGATGTCATTATTGGTCAGTGTCAGAGACAACACAGGACTACAGTATTATGATAAAAACGTGAACATATATTATAAAGTAAGTACATACTGCAATGAAGGAATGATTTTAGAGGGAGTAAGTGGGCATTATTGTGGCTTAAATTAACCTATCAAAGAAATAACAGATTTCTGTTATGTTCACAAGCCATTTAATATAGATTATAACAGTTAATTATGAATTGAGAATTAATGTTTATTTGTTGTAAAAATAAATAAATAAATGAATGAAATGTTTGTAGGAGAGTGACTTTGTGTTGCTCTGTTATTGGCAGTTATTACCAGTATTACTGGTCACAGTCTGGAAGGTAATCACGCATGCGCAGTGGTGTCCTCCAGGCAGGCTGGGATGATAATTACATTTCTATGGGCAGAGCGCGAACACACCGCTGGTCCTCGCTGCACAGCCCGAGCCTCCCAGCCTCTCTTATCTAACATGAGGCGTTTAATTCAGAGATAGGCTTTTTAAAACAGAAGAGCCCGTGTACGTCGTGCTTCTACACCGGAGAGACCCCCGTTTCCCCCTCCCCTCCCGCAGCGTCCGTGTGTGCCGTGGAGCGGTTGTCACACAGGCCGCGAATCGGGTCTTGTTGCTGGGAGGAGACCACACAGACTCGCCTCCCCTTGCTAGCAGTATTAGCGGCTACGATGCGACGCTGCTGCCGCTGGTGTATTTTCCACACAGCAGCAGGCTCCTGTACAACGAGGCGGGTCCTTGGTTAGTTGTTCGGCCCCGACGGAACGAGAGGGTGACTTGGAGATACACCACACCTTTCAAGGTAATGTCTTGCCAGCTAGCTAACGTCATTCACGGGGCCAATGAATGCGGTGCTGCTGGACGGTCCTCACTAGCGAGCTAACGGTTAGCCGGCGTTAGTTAGCTGCTTTGCATTTGAATGCATGGCCCGCTTAGCTAACCTAATGTTAGGGAAATGTGTAGCGTGTCATCTAACGGTAGCTCCTTCATGAATGTGGTTCTCCTAATATCAGCAGGCGAACGTCAAAATACAGGTAAAATAAGCTAGCTTGTCCATCAAACCAGTATTGGGCCGTTAGAGGCAACGTTGTGTGGTATCGCTTAGATAATGCTACAGGTAACAAAACAATAACTTAAGCCAACAATAACTTTAGTTTTCCAAAGAAACAAGTATCCTTTTATGAGCTTAGTGTGATAAGCATGTGTAAGCAGGTATGTGCACTTGGTTTCTATCAAAATCGCAGCCCCATAATTAGTGTAATTAAAAAAGATGCGGTCCTATTGTTTGGGTAATTGTACGTTTCAGTAAGATTTGCTTGGAGTGTCACTACACCGTGGCACAAATAATAGCAAGACATCGGCCCAAAACAGAAATTAATAGTGAAAGTGCACTGATTTTTAGGTAGCAATTATCAAGTGAAGTCTGGTTAGGTTCACTAGGCTGCATAGCTGATTGCAGATGATCTTTTAATTGTAATAATAACCTTGTATTGCACTTTTCTTTTTAAAACTAAGCTACAAAAAAATGCTCCAAACCAGAACCTGATAAACACAGATAACCCAAGTTAGGACACAGAGAGATGTAAAAGAAGCCCTGAGATTGCACACAGGGAGTCTGGACTGTTAGCAGTTTTATTGCACCATGTGAAAGTGTTTATAGTTTGCTTTATTAACTGTCAATAAGATTGTATGGTTCTCATGTCACCAGAAGTAATTTGGTTTCAGCGTGTTTAGAAGTGAAACCGATACCGGGTATCTTTCGCTTGAGGACTAGTACAGTACATGATGTGTTTGCTAGAAAGTTTTATTCTTGTAATCAGGGCTGCTCACTGTAAGCACATATAAGTATCAGGTACTGCAAAGACACTATCTCCACTCTGTAATCATGTCTGCAAGGATGCCACTTTGATACTTATGTCTGAACCACATATATACCTAATGATCACCGAAAGTGGGATAAATAGCTGCACACGGAACAACTTTTTCCCTAATAATCAACACACACCAGATGCGATGAGATTTTATTTAATTATTTATTGAATAATCACTCTAATAGAGCATCCAGCCACTCACAAGCCATTCCAAAGGGAATTTGCAACTTGGCAGAGGGTTGATGTTTAATATCCTGTTATTTGGCCGTGTCCCTTACTCAGCAATATGTCCTGTATAATTTAGACTTTAACTGTATGTTTATTTTTCTTTTTTTTTTTTTAAAGGATGGATGTTGACTTGTGTGCTGGCGGGGACAGTACCAGGAGAAAAGTAGAACTGCCAGGGGTTGCAGAAGGCACAATGGACGTTGTACCTTTGGAGATGTACGACTCTGCCAGAGCAAAAATAGCTGCCAACCTGCGGTGGCTTTTTGCCAAAGCCTATGGCATTGGTAAGTATAGTAATTTGCATATGCTGTTGGCTTGCTTGTAAATAATATCTGTGTATCCAGCATTACATATTTAAACTGTAGCATTTTTCTGAGTTAAACAGAGCTGGAAGTAGTTCCTGAGAATCTGCAGAATATATTCCTCGTATTCTCAAAAGTATTTCAGATGTTATTGCTGGAACAATGTGTTTACTCTCCTCAACATACTGATGGTCAGCATATCATGTTGTGCTTCAGCAGAGAAACCTTGACAGCGAAAGCCCAAGAGAAAGAAATATTTGTGTATGTGTCCGCTCGAGCCAACACTTAATTCCCCCGTGACACTTGGCAACTGAAGCCTCCCTCACTGACTCACCAGATCCTTCCATTCTGGTAGGGTGGCCAGTGAGATTGAGCCCAAATCAGGCTGAGTGACAAGCGCTGAGGATTATTCTATATTTGTTTGACTGCACTCAGAGCATGGAAAATACTGATCTGCACTGCCAGTCACTCACACTCCCTGTTAAGATTATATCAGCATTAGTAAGTGGGCCTTTAGGCCAGATTTTCCTGTCTTGTCTGTGGTTGTAATAGCGAAAAGTTGGATGAATTTCAGGCATGAGATAAGTTGTGTGAAATTCAAGGCAGCCTTTTAGGGATGTGTTTTGCATGACTGTAAAACCAGGTGCCTTAAAACCCAGCATTATCACTGATTTCCTCTTGTTTCATATTCATTTTGGAAGCTTTTGTTTTTTTGTTTTTTTTTGTGGGAATGCTATAGACTTTATGAAGAGGTGTTTCTATTGTGCGGTCTCCCCTCAGTGTTGTAATCAGAATGGAAAGAATATTAGAAATAGTTGTTTAATAAGGAAAATGTGTCATTATAATTGTTTATAAATGCAACCACTGTAGCCAGCTGTGTGTTGTTAGGATCGAGATACAGGACATGTCTAGGTGTTGGGATCAGTAGTGTTTGATTGTCAGCTGAATTAGTCTGAGTGGACAGGGGATTTGTCATCAGAGGCTAGCTGAGGTCAATTAGCAGTCAGGTGTGTGTGTTGTTTTTGTTTTTTCTCGCTGATGAGTTCACTTGCTCTATTAACAGGTACCCACAGTCATTAGGAGCGCTACACATTCGGTCCTTTATGAAATAATGAGTGTTGCAGGTGACTTTCTTGTTGAAACAAACTGAGACCATTAACATGTTTTCAGAATGGATACACTATTAATTATTACAGACCATGTTGTCAAGTTTTTCCTCATACTTACCTATACATTAACAATGAGGCAAAAATCATGTGTGAACGTTGGCCTCATTTTTTCCGAGAGCCTTCACTCACTTAATAAATTTTTAACCTCCAAGCTCAGACATGCCAACAGAGACCATCTTGAGTGTTTGGCAGGTGATTAATCACGAGCAGCTGAAAATGTTGCAGGACTAATATGGGAGAATATAGCCATTGTTTTACTCAATGGGCTGATGGTTACCTTTTTGATGTGCTACTGGGTGTCTCCTTATCCTAGCGTTTGAGCTTAGTCAGTGTAAGCCTCAGCTATCTGATGCATAAGGCCCATCATTCACTGCTTTGCATGTCTGTTGCATCAGTGCAGCCTCTCGTCAAATCATCTGCCATTATTTCTGCGGCTCATACAAGCTTTCCTTTGTATTCTGTGGTCTCTTACATATCTGTGGTCATTAAACAGATTTCCTGATGCTACTGAGCCATTCATTCTAAACAAATGGCAGTAAGACTGGGGTTTTAATGGTAATCCAGGTTATGGATGGAAGCTATTGTCTCCTTTGCCTATTTGTTATAGCCAAGTATTTTCCTCTAAACCCCTCTTTGCTCTAATGTTAATTACCAAGGCTCATGTTTTCCTCTGAGCTCATACCAAGGCCTGTGGGCATTTGCTTGGTCATTTCCTCGTCTGTTATCCTAGTCTGTAGCTAACAATGCAGGCCGAAAGATGGAGCATAAGAGCGTCTTGGTGCAGACAAAAACGATGCACCAAAGATCAACCTGGGTGGAGATGCCGTTCTGAACAAAAAACATACAGTAACCCCAAAGCTTTGGTGGCCCAGAGGGAGGCAAATCTCAGGTGCAGCTGCAATTATCCTCCTCCCCTGGGGACTGAATATATTAGGCCCATTTTATTTTCACCCTATGGCTCATATGGTGTCTGCCTCAATGCTAATGCTGCACAGTTGTTTGCTTGGCTTGTGCAGTGACTGACAGACACAAACAGTGTGTAAACAGTCAATGTGACGTAGCTCCATTATATATAAGTGCAACCATCTCGTGATGTGGGAGTTGTCAGGGATTCAGAAGCTTGTGGCGTGCCTTCATCTGCGTGGTTCCCCGCTTCCCTGTCTTTGATCGTGCGAGTCTTTATTTGTGTACATGCTCTCCTGTCCCACTGCCCTCTGCTTGTGCCACTGCTGCTCCCAGCCTGAGCGGCACACGGCCAGACACAACACTAGCGAGAGTGAGAACCTGTCATGGTTGCAGGCACATTGCTGGTACTTGCTCTGCCTTGCCTGTACTGATCATGATGCGGCCCTGGTCACGGTTGACTGCCTCTGCTGTAGAACATCCTGGGTCTTGTTGCCAGGCCGTAGCCTCATGCTCCACCCCATCCCAGTTAGTAAATTTTTCAGCCTGGCTCTGGGTGGCAGGAAGGTGGGGGGCAGCTGCCATAGGACATCAGTGTCTGTGGAATGAAGTCAGACGTGAAGACTCGCCCCGGTCAGACCCCTTTGTTTTCATACACAATTACTCCCACTGTTCCAATGTGTTTATATACTCAGACACAGCTCTCCAGGAATGGTCCAAACTGCAGGGTGTTAGGCACAATAGATTAACATTGTTGTACAACAACATCCTTATTTTCAACATGTGTGTGGGGGCAGACAGCATATGGCCAGGCCTGTGTTGCAGTGTTGCATGTGAAATACACAATACAGGGTTGATTTTATCTGAGCATTTGCAGCTATTGAAATAAGGGCTGCATCTTATTAAAATTCCCATTTAAATTCATATCTATTTGCAGTTTCATTTTCACATGCCAACAAATCTTTAGCTATGCGCTAGCAGGGAGATTTGATGCATCAAACCAGAAGCTCATAATTGCTTCCTAAGTGGCATCAGCTAATGACAGACTGTGATAACTGTACACAGGGATGGGCAGAGGCAAATGATGAAAGTAGAGTCACACTGAGCTTAAGAAGAACCACCAAAACAACAGAAAATGCTGCAAAATAACCCTACCTGTAGTGTTAAGTTCTGATGAATATGTTCTCATGTAGAAGAATTTGTCACATTCTGTAGTATCTTTAGATGAAAATGATCAACAGCACGACTCTGTAAACATCTGTAGAGATGATATTTTCTATAAAAATGCAAATGGGGCAAAAAAAAAAAAAACTGGATCTCATTTTTCCAGAACTTGCTGTCTTAAGTAACAGTGAGGTATATCTCTGTTAGGTCATGGTTTTATACTTTTTTATTCTTAGTTGTGCAGCTCAGCTTTTGTGCTCGGTAGATTGTCATCCACAAAACCAGCTGGAAGAAGCCGCCTCTCTGCCTTCCTGTTTTTGTGAGCAGAAGATTGCTGACGAGTGGCTCCCTTTATCCAGTCAGTGCAAGCATAAAGAACACAAAATACCCACAAATACAGCTTGTGCTGTATTACTGGAGCTTAGGCAAAGTTCAAAACAGATTTCACAGAACAGGGATATGTCTATCGCCACATCATTGTACGTAGTGCAGGATAGGACAGGTTTTGTGCATGATTTTCGACCTATTTTAATCCTCAATATGTGGTTTACCTTTCAGTGTGAATTTAGTTTGGGCATGCCCCAAGTGAGCCGCTTCGTCTCATGCCCTTATATGGCTATGGATTCTGGTTTTAAGAATGACTTCACATCCAAAGCAACAGAATCGCCTCTGTGGATCACCGTTTTTTTCTTTTTCGTTTTTGTGACTCCAGCATTGTTAAATTAGTGCTGGCAAAGCCCACAGTGTCACCTGAGAAGCCTGCTCTCACTGAGGACCTGCTTTAGCAGGGATCTGTTTTCCAATGTACTCCTCAGGCAAAAAGCTCTGCCTTCAAAACACAAATGGCCATGTTTGCTCCAAGTAAACTAAAGCCAGCATAGAACAAATATTACATGGAAAACGATATGCTTTGTTGCATTCCTTTAGCCTGCTGATACCATAAAAGTTTTGTTAGATGTAGACTGAGCAGTGATGTTGATAAATGTGCCTGACAGACACCAGCTTTTCCTGCTTCATTCACAGTATCTTGTGTATTTATGCCGTTCCAGCTAGCCTACAAATCTGTCTTCAATTCAGGCCACAGTTTGAGCTAGCTGAAGCTAAACTACGACATTCTACTTTAGGAGCATATGGCAACTCCACATGGTTCACCTGCTACACTCTCTTCATTGCAGACCATATTCCAGAGGATTTAAGGGACCCGTTCTACACAGACCAGTATGACCAGGAACACATCAAGCCACCTGTGATTCGTCTGCTGTTGTCCTGCGAGCTTTACTGCCGTGTCTGTGCCCTCATCCTGAAGACGGAGCAGGCGGCGTCTCTTCAGTCCCACCAGTCTGTCATCCAGGCACTATCCAGGAAGGGGATTTACGTCGTGGAGAGTGACGACACACCTGTCACAGAGGGGGACCTGGCCAGTATGCCCATCAAAATGGTGAGAAGAAGCACTGAAAGTTAGGATAAACATGTTGGTAGTTTCCTGATGAAATAACTGCAAGTCCTTTTTGATAACTGAGTGGTAATAATCAACTTTGTGCCACATTTAGCTGCTGCTTTGGGTGAAATCAAACCTCAGAAATATTGATTTATGTTAATACTCCTACTAATCAGCGTACACCTGCAGCACCACACGGACCTCTTCAGTAGCTGTTACAGAACATAACTTGTAGCACAAATTGCCTGTCAGAGAAGAAGGAAACCCAGCCAGAAGCCAAACAACTTTTCACTATACCTGTAATATCACCAGCTCTTCCTGTTTCTGATGTATTATCTAACCACAAGGAAATCTGTGGAATGAGCTAGGGCCTTTTTCCTCATCCAGCACTGCCATCAATCTCAGCGACAAACATTGAGAGTCCTCACAGTATTGACTGTATAATGTGACTTTGGATTGGCATGAAATTTCAGTTATTTGCAATTATTTCACATTTTACGCCATGCGTTGCTGAGTTTTAGATGTGTTTTGCAGCTCAACTTAGTGGAACAGTCTCCAGTATGATTTGGCTGCACCCTTATCATATCTATTCAAATTAACTGGCAGAATTTGCCTGTCATGCTAGTTGTGTGAGGACTTACGCTGCAAGGTAGGGCTGTGATTCGGACATGGGTGTGATTGTCAGTGTGCAGTGGCAATGTCGTATCTAGCATGTATTTGAGGTGCTTATTCATTCTTATTTTCATTCTATTTGTCCTCGCCTCTCTTTTTTCTAATGTCCATAAACATTAGAACCAGTTCTCATTTTGTGCTGACTTTTTAAAAGTAAACCTGTTCTTTTTCCAGTACCATCACTTTCTAATATTTTTACTAACAGCACTCAGTTGTAACTTAAATTAAAAGATAGCATCTTATAATCAGTGAGTGCACCAGTGTTTGTATATCGCTTAAACGCAGCAAGAGGTTAAGGTCAACCATTATTCGTTATTACTGATTATTTAATTACATTAATGGTGACAACTGACATTGTTTTGGATGATAAAGCTGCTGTTATTTTTCTTACTGATTGTGACGTCTTCATGTTTAGTAAAAAGTATTCTTCAGAATTTCCAAATGCCATGCAGGCATATTCCGACCATTCACAGTTTGGTACATGAGGTTTGGTTCTGTATGAAACTTCTGTTCCGTACACCTTGTGCTCAAAACACTATTAGAAGTCTATTTGCGTCTGCAAACTTGCACTCCTAGAATGGAAATTTTAGACAGTGAGTTGCATCTGGAGCTCTTTGGCAGTGCACCAGGTGTTGTCTGTCAGCTATAGCATGCCACTAGGCTTATCCTTTAAAAGTAGGCAGATACTGTGTGATTTAATCTCGCACAATGTGTTACCTCACACCACATACTTTAATTGAACTTCCTGCACAGTCACAGACGGCATCTTCTTTGTTCACACTGTGTGGGTCAGTCGACTGCACTCCCCTGCTCACTTTGTCCAATGACAGTTTCAATAAACTTTATTAAAACAACATGGTTGCATCCTCACTTTAACTACTTTGTGCAGTTTAACAGTTGAAATTGCATTGCTTAGTGGCTAGTTTAATAATGAATTTGTTGCACTGCCTAAAAGACTTTTTGAGATGAGATAAACTTTATTCTCCCAAAGGAAATTTGGGCTAAAAGTGCTGGATGCAGCTGCACAAATACAACAAATACATACTAAGCACAAAACAAGCATCCATGACAACATCAGTCAATACAAAGTATTTTCATTACACTGGAGCGTATCAAGGTTAGTAGATTCTGGAATTTGTGAATTGAATCAGGTGATCTGTGTTGATGTCCAACCCCGATTGGTGCAGTTAGACTGTTTTAGGTCTTGATGGTATTCCATTGCGTCTATTGCTATCATACTACTTTTCTTTTTTTAGTCCACAGGAATCCTTTTGGAAGACTCTGCTCTATATGTGTGCAGTAGATCATATGTACATATTCTGTGCATTTATGCTACTGCAGAACATGCATACTATTACCCTCATAGCGTAGTTGCAGTCCACATGGAGACAAATTGTGAGTTACACGGGGATGTATGTGAAGGGGTCTGTGCAGATTTTTGCCGACTTGGGGAGATGACAACATTTTGTGGATGTGTAAGGTGTAACACTGGCTATATCCAGAGGACATTCCTTTAACCCTGTCTCTGTTAGTATCCTCTCTGTTGGAATAACTCTGACTTTTTTTGAAGATGTCGTCAGATATATCTGCTACCTGGATAGTTCGTGACAAAAGAAAATACATGAATTCATTGAAATACGGAAGCCTGTGCCCTCATGGAACAGGCTGTTTAATCAGCAGCATCAGTGGTAAGAGGGTTACTTTTGCGCTAATACTTCTTAGAATGGATTTTATTGTATGCAATATCTCCTCTCACCTACATTTTTATCAATCTGTTAAGAGCATTTGCCGAATGTTGGCACTTGAAAATCTTTTGTCCTTTAACACGCTCTAAATGCTGTAATTCAACCAAGCTACTCTGCCTTTCATTAGCTTGCTTCTCAGAAAAATGCAAAATATTCTGACAGGAATGATATGTGCTTGTGCAGGTCACCGGTGGCCTGCCCTGCTGACCTTTTGTGATGCATAATGCTTATAAGATTTTCACAGATCTGCTCTCAGAGGGTTATTATCCTCTGTTTGTAACCCACATCCGCATAACCTGAATCAACAGCGCCACGTCACAGCGCAATGAATGAAGTACAGAACAGCCCCCACCTACTCGCGGCAATAAGATCCTGTGTCTCACAATTTCACAGAGAGCACTTCACACAGGATGGGGATGAACACCAACCAGCTCACTTGCTCTCAGCCATCTTCCTACCCCTTTGTTACCATGGAAACCAGCAGTGGTGTTGAGCAGGCCTGCTCTCTGCAGGCCGGCTAGTAGGGGATGTGCGTCTGCTTTTTCTGCTCACAGTCTGACAAAATAATCCACGCAGGCCTGTGTGTAAGCAGCCAGACACAAAGCTCAGTGAGGGGATGAAAAATCCTGAGCAGGACACCGCTTATCTCTGATAGACTGTTGGAACCCCCTCCTCTCTCCCAGTTTGCTGACTTGACAAGGCGTTTCCATAGCAACCCGCATTTTTCTACTTTGTGTGCGCGTGTCTGTGTGAATGAAAGAGATCGTATACCTGCAGACAGCTCCTTTGCACCTTGTCTGAATCTTGTTGGGGCAACAGCTGGTGCTTGTAAAACCTTGAGAAGCTGACCATCGTTTGGGTCAACCTGAACTTTTTGTATGTGCGTGCACAGAGTCAACGTGCACACACAAAGCTCCGAGCAACAGCAGCTCCTGCTCCCCATGGGGGGCTGCATGCTGCGCTGATGAAGGGCAGAGTGTTGGAGGAGAACAAAAGATTGAACAGCACTTCATGCTGTTATATTTACCCTTTTGTGTATTTATTGAGTGACACTTATTGACACTTAGGTGTTAAACGCAGTACTTTTGATGCTGAGTGGTTTGTTTTCTGTTGCTGCATTATTAAGCTACACATGGATTATTTGTGATGCTTTTCTAAGGCGACACAATATGGGGAAAATATCTGATTGAGATTTTCCTGATAGCTGTTGCAGTTTCATGTGTGTCTTATTATTTTAAAGTCAAGCTTCAGTTCAGTATTTGCCGGATTTAAAGATTTAAAACATGCAATAGGGTATTACTACATGAGACACCATCACAAGCGTGTCTGTCGCACAAGAAGGACAGCACAAATTTGTAAAACCACTGACACGTCAGTTTAAGCCAGGGTCAGATGAGCTGCACAACATACAGCCTAAATTGCGGTCTTTGCGATTTGCTAATTGCAGTGTTTCAAATTTAGATTTGAAATGGATTAATCATTCAGCCCTACTGTGTTGCACGTTAACCCAAACTCCTTAGGCATTTGAACGCTAGTCATTACCTGTCATAGAGCAGTGAAAGTAAAAGATATGGGCTTCTTACAACATATTCATCTGTATATTCTAGAAATTTGCATTTATATGTCCATCTTGGAATGCTGTAGTATTACAGTATTGTCTGACAAATCAAGAAGCATGAGCAGTCAGATGGTCATGTGTGTTTTACACAAAAATCATGTTGGCTGAACTTATTGGGAAAAGAAAATCAGGGCAAAATCCCTCTTCTCTCTCATTCAGTGTTTCTCTTGGATGTTTGAGCTTCACTGTACAAAGTGTTAACTGTACAATGTTTGACACTAAAAGGTTGTTTTCAATTTTCGTATCACAGCTGCTTTGGAAGTGAAGCCTGGTCAAATATTTAACTGAAGCCTGAATTGAGATTTTTTTTTTTTCAGCAGTTAAACGTTTAAAGTGAAACATATTTGCATATTGATGGCTTTTGAATTTTTCAATGAGGGAGGAGACATGGATGTCAGTTGAAGAATTTATAACCAGGAAGTTGGATTTTTTTAAGAAAAAAATAAATAAAAAAATATCAGTCACAAAATATTATTCAAATCAGTACATGTGGGGAGTTACTTACCTTTTTGGACAGTGTCCTACTTTCACCAGATCTCAGGTATTAGCTTGAGCACAGAGTATCAAATGATGACCTGTCCTTTCTATATAAAGTCAGAGTTGTAGTAACACCAAGTTCACTCTGTAATAACAATGGCAAGAAGAACATCAGTTGTGGGCTGAGATCAACTCCTCTCAAATAAGCAAGTGTTTATCTGTTTAAATTGCCTTTGAAAGAAAAAACAGGCAGCTCAGCAGAACTGTAGCGACTGTGTGAGTGAGTCAAATGACCAGCAGAACTTGAACTCAGGCGTCATCTGTTCATGTACTGACTTGCCTCTGCCTTGAATGTTACAGTGTTAGTCTAAGTCTTCTCTGGGAGTGTATTTTCACTGTTGTTTGTGTCCATGTAGGTCATGCTGTGGAGAAAGCTCTGAATAGCACTCATTCGTTATGTTAATGAGCCTAATCTCTGTGCACTTCCATCACCGATTGGATTAGTCTAGCAGCATGTTACACAAAACACTGACTGAAACAATGGTGTGTGTTGTTAAGTGTAATAGTTTCATGCGATTTATTATTGGCTGTAATGTTGTGTAATAAGAATAACCCTTTTTTGCAGAGTTTTATATAAAATGAGATTTATAAGTAAAGGTTGATTTTACTTGGTGAGGAAAGGGATTTTTATTTGGCAGCTTTTAATTCCATCCTGGCTGTCAAGGGTCGATGTTTTGACTGGTAGGTACCAGGTGTTAGGCCACTTGAAGTAGCGATGCCCCTGCTGGGCCTCTTGATTGCATTAGGATGTAGAAAGCGGGTTTAACGTTGGACACCTACTGTGTTGATTGAGAGATTTCATCTTTGATTAAGCCATTGTGGCTATTTAAAGCTACAAAATTGTTTAGGATCCACAGGATTGTCCGACTGGAACTCTGAATCAGACAACACTCTTATCCAATGATTCTCATCCATTTATCTGCATCCTGTAGTGGCTGTTAAGTACCAGAATCCACTAGTTACTAGCAAGATTTTACAACAGATTATAACCTTCAAATGATGGAAGTGGAGCTGTGGTTTACTAATGCTTATGTGGATAAACTGCTCCACAAGCCTTAAGTAATATCAATAATAACAGTATTGTTTATGACTACAGACTACATGTTTGAACATTAAAAAAGAACTATGAGGTGTGAATTTAGAAAGAAGTTAGATTATCAGACTTCTGTAGCTTTCTCCATACCTCAGATTGTGGCTAGCAGCTTGAGATGCATTGTGGGTAACGTTGGTGGCAGGTTTTGACAAGGACTACACGCAACTGCATTGATTTAGCAAATCTTGTTGAATCATCCATCATAGGTACCAACAGTGTCATGAGATTGCAGTGCTACATCGGTGGAATGTGGGTCAGAAAGCCAGCTGTTAAAGAATAGGACACAACGGGATTTATTGAGAAGGTTGTAACTATGTAATGCTATTTCAGAGTTTCATTGCTTCTTGCAATTAGAAGATAAACAAGCACATTAGATCATATTTTGCACTAATAAGAACTATAGTGTTTTATGTTGTTTGTGTAAATCTTGATTTCATAGCAATTTCTGCTTGTTAGCTTCCAGCTGTGATTTTAATTGCATTGGAAACTGGGGAAAAAAATCCAATGAAATTGAATTGTCCTCTGTTCTGTCTCTCTTTCTGTCTCACCCAGAGTGCTCACATGCCCATGATCGATGCCCTGATGATGGCTTACACAGTGGAGATGATCAGCATCGAGAAAGTGGTGGCTTCTGTCAAGCGCTTCTCTACCTTCAGTGCCTCTAAGGAGCTTCCCTTTGACTTGGAGGACGCTATGATCTTCTGGATCAACAAGGTTCGAACACACAGACACCGCACAACCCAGATATAAGAATCACAGCATGGCTTGCGCTCTGGCTTTTTTACTTTCTCAAATTCAGCCAGTTGTGATCACGGGCTGCGACTCAGCACCATGTGAGATGAATAATCTCTTCCTCCTTGACATCATAAGTGACAGTGGCCCACTTGTCTTCTTGCGGCCTGTATGTCGCTGCCAACAGATTGGAGTGCGGCTCTGCTGCACACAGAAGAGGCTCAGGCTCATGTTACTGTCATCTTTCAATGGCTTGAAGGCTCAAGGCAGCGAAAGTCATGATGTAATGTGTTCATGAATCATCACGATGCCCCACATAATCACTGTAAGGGAAAAGAAAGGTTTCTGTGTGATGAACAGTATAAATTCCCAAGGGATTTTGATCTGTCTCTGTATAGCAACTTGAACAATTTGTTTCGTTCATAAAATGTCAGAAAACATTGGTCCAATTTTCAGTTTTATTGGTTCAACAGTCCAAAACTCCAAAGATTCTATCTTGTTTTATATAAATATGAGATATCTGAGATGTCCTCACAGTGACAAACTAGAATAGATTGGGTAACTGAAGCATCAGTTTTTTTTAAAATGGTCTGTGTTTTTCATTTACATATGATAACCAGGTAACTGTTTGCTTAGTCCAGGAAGCTGGTTTCTTAATGACATGTAACAGAAAACTAGGTTGAGAAATATCAAGGTGGCAGATTAGAAAAAAAAAAACTAGGCTTTCTTGGGAAGATTTCTTCTAGAAATTGTGTTTTTCTCTGCTATGCATACATGTACCTGAGTTCCCATTTGGTTGTTATGAGCATGTATGTGAATAATAAAAAACAAAAACAGACAGAAAGTAACAAGAGCAGGAAGATGAAAGACAAAGCTGTTACCTGTGGCAGTATTCAAAACAATAACATCCAAAGTCAGATAAAAAGTGACATTATCAAACTTGTTTTTGCAAACTTCAGATACATTTGTGTTGTGAGGAAAATCTGTGTTTTGCAAGTCCTCTCACTGTGCTGTCACGCTGCTTTAACTAGATGCATAAACCAAAGAAGGAGGTGAAAAAAATGGTTAAAAGGCATGAGCCAGTCTTCCAAAATCGGGTTGAGAGTAGGGAATATATCTGATTCATGACCTGCTGCATGTACACACAGATTTGAGGTGACCTGAGGGTTGAGCCATAAAGCAAGTTTGACATGGCTGGCTTTGCTGACAGCTCCAGTTGGGGATAAAAGGTGTCACAACAGTGGGTATCAAGTTTCCACTTCAATCCCTGTGTGTTCACTCAAGAGTCAGTCGAGAGGAACAGGTTGTTATGATGGAATAATAATTTATTATGGTAAAAAGCACTTTGGTTGCAAATGATACAAGTGAGGAATGCTGGTAGAAAACTGTTCATCATGTGGCAATGTATTTATTTTACTGGTCAATTCAGCCTCTTATTGCTATCAGAGCTGTTACACTTAAAGCTTCGTACATCTAGACATGGTTTTCAAGAAATACATTTAGGTCTGACAGTGTCTCCTAATGAAGGATGTCACTAACTGAATGCTTGTAGGTTTCCGTGGTAATGCAGCACATGCAGTGTACAATACTCTAACTGCACAAGTTCACTTAGTGACATTAGTCGTGTACAGCCCAACAGGTTTGCAGATATGACATATTCCCTCAGCTGAGAATCTGTATCGTTCAAAGGAAATTGCCAGTAAACAAACTGGTAAAAGGAAGATTCTTCTTACAGTCAATTCAAATCCAAAACCCTGATCATAAGCTCCTGTGGACCAGGTTAGCTGTGCAGCATCAGTTACCATGGTGATTTAGCAGATTAAAAGACGGCCACCTTCATGACTTTAAACTCAACATACTTTGCTAACCCATTAATCGTACTTCCTAATACACCTCTCAGGTGGCTACAGAGGATGAAGCATATCGATTACCAGCTTAACCAGTTTTCATAAGTGCGTGTAAATACGGCATCATTTCTTCTGCAGGTGAACCTGAAGATGAGGGAGATTACAGAAAGGGAGCATAAAGTCAAGCACCACCCCCTGGAGTCTCCTAGCCACCAAAAGGTAAAGCCACTCACTGCAACATCCAGCTGCTTTTTTTTTTTTTTTTTTAAGTTGCAGAAATCCCAAAACCTAAAATACCAGAACTCCTTTATTAGAAGCATTCTCCTGCTTATTTCAGTACCGAGGTGGGTCAAGCAAAACAGACAACAGCATCCTTATTTTTTTTAAAGGAGAATTTCTCCCAAATGTAATTTTAAAGTTGTTCTGACCCTCCTCTTCTTTTTCTCTGTTTAAACCGGAAGCAGATCCGATCCTTTTGTCTGTGACCTCTGACCTGTTAATCTCTTTGCTCCTGTTCCTCATCTGTCCCTCCCTCCCCTCTCTTGTCCCTGCAAACTGGATAGTCTCCCTCCAAATGGTATTGGAAGCTAGTCCCTGTAAGTTGGATGCCAGCCCCCCCCATAACCCCATTTTCTTTCCCCCCTCTCCCCCTTGCACGCATACTTCTGTGTTGATGTGGGCGCACACTCCACCATGGCTCATTCAAGCTCATTCTGTGCTGCTTGTAGCCAGTGTGTCAGCAAGGGGGAGGAAGCTGACAGCTATTTATTTTATTTTTTCTTTATTTTTCCCCTTGTGGCAAAACATGTCACACAGGTGTAAGGTTATTCTGACCTTTTGTGAGATGTTCAAAAGATATTCTGTTAGCTATGCAATGTGTGCTACCTCATTTCAAGCTCAAGTAGGCCATGTGGACTCTCTGTGCGTAACTGTGTGTGGTATTTGCTTACCCAATGCAAATAAGAGCAAATCCATGCCTACACCTCTCCTTTGCTTTGCAGACCCATCCCTGGCCACCTCTTCTCACTGATCTGCTTTGTCATTCTCCCTCCAGTCTCTTCTCTTCTGCTCTCACACACTGTTTCCTATGTGCCCACGATCGCCTCTGACAGTATCTCTGCTCTGTGTGTGTGTCAGCCTGATGTCGTGCACGAGCTGGCCCACTGCATGCTGGAGCCAGAGGAGCTCTCTGAAGCGGTACAGTGTTTCCAGGGGAAGATTCACCTACGTAGAACCCGTCTTGTAGTAGAGCGTCTTCTTTGGTCCTTAGTTTCACCTGAGACTTGTGACACAGTACAGTTGGTGTTAGTGTTGTAACCCGACGCATCAGATGATTCAATAACAGAACCATCTGAGAAGTCGTCCTTAGAAATTGAACAAGAGCAGGCACTTTCTATACATTGTATGAACCAGAGATGTGGACATTTAACAGTTTTTTTGTTTGTTTGTTTTTTTAACAGGCAGCCTTTGCAATTAGTTATTGATTACTCAAGAACATGGAATGAACAATTTTGTGTTCTAATGTAGCTGCTTTGAATGTGGTCACATCACTGAAACAGAACTCTACTCGGTAGGCATTAAACGTCACATGAGACTTTTTCATGTGGCATTTAATTGGCTAAGCTACCACAATACTCTCTGTTTGTCAACACAAAACTGCCTGTGGTCCGAGTGATCACCTCCTCGGGTCGCTATATTGATAAACAGTAAGACGCTCCACCTGGTGGCACAATCAGATACTACAGCTAGTGTACGATACATTTTCTGACATGAATGTCTTTTCTCTGCTACCTTATTGGTTTATATATTTTTAAGTGTTTCAAATATTAATCTGACAATCATGAACATCGCTAGTATGAACCATCCATCACGGGCTAACGTACACTTTAACCACACCCATAGCTGCCAGAAAGTCCGAACAGGACTCTGATTGGTCCGACCAGTTGTGGATCGGACACAAGCGATGAAACGCACGCTCTTGTGAATCTCGCAAGGATTCAGCTGCCTCGCAAGGCAGATAGTTTTGTGGAATAGCCTTCTAAGTAGGAATGCAAATTTTAACCAGTTTCCTGAGCTAATAGTTGGCCATCGTGACAATCAAAGTTCTTCAACATTAAAAGTAATTAAATCCAAGGACATTCCGACATATGCTGATGAAATTGTTTCTAACCAGCCACCCCTAATGTTTGCTGCAAAATCTGCTTGGTAACATTAAGAATCTGAAGAACAGATAAAATAAGCACTAGGTTAACGTATTCAAATAAAAAAATATATATATAATTTTTTTTAAACTTAATTTAGAATTGCTATTCAGCAACTGGCCTGACAAATTCCAGTGTCTTAAACATGTCAAAAGAGCTGCGGTCACCCTCCTACTCTCAACGACAACAAATACCCTAAAACATTATTGATCTCTACACAGCAATTTAAAATCAAAATATTCTTTATACTTGATATACCTGATGGAGTGAGCTGTTCACCATAGTTATGTCAGTCCAGCTGCTTACACAACTGCTAATCTGGAACATGCATCCATAAATACTGTTGCAACAACTTTTTCCGTCAAGTAAATCTGTGAGTATTTACTGCCACCTCTAAAAAGTGTTTATACTCGGAACAGAGTGTCTCTAAACACTTCATCACTTCAGTTTAAATGTTGAAACATGTAATCAGAGTCCTGCTGAATGTTAGCAGCATTAGCATGTTCTGCAGTCCTCTGCTGACTAGACACTCGACTCTGTGTTAGTGTTTGAAAATCCTAGCTTAGCTTTAGCATGAACCTAAGGTACCTAGCTAAACCAGACAGCCGCCAGAAAACTGTTTCACAACTTGATGCTGCAGACTTCATCAACACGACTGCCTCATTCAGCTATTTGTAGGGAACACACCTGTAACTCCAGCTCACTTAACAGAAAGAGGCCCTACCATGGTAGTGCAACCAGGTGCGACAGCAAATGTACAAAACACTCTCTGGCAGTTAAACCACATGTCCTCCATTGCTGCCTAAGTAATATAATAATCATTCTAATTTAATTTACTTATTAACATCAATTAATCAAATAACCATTCATCCTCAACATCCCTACTTTAAAAAGATTTAATCAAGTACATATTGGGAACATGTCCTAACTGTTGTGTGTTATTTAGAGAAATATCCTTTTTTTGCTGCTTGGTCTTGTCGTGCTGCATGTGTAGTAGTGATGCACAGTTTCTCCAGACTTGGATTTGGGGTTGGCATGCATTATCACTCTTCAAATGGCCTTTGGTACAGCTACATACTCTAATGCAATCCAGTGCAACAGCTCTGACACTGTACTTACTGTTATGAAGTTCATAAGTTTGCAGTAAAATTCTGAGTGGTGTTAATTTAGCGATGTTTATTACTGAGGTTGTAGTTAGTGTTGAACTGTATTATAATAAATTGTATTAATACATGATCATTTACAGACTACAACTTCAGTAACAAACATAGAGTTAGATTAATACCTCCAACTGTGTCCTCCTAACCTGGATGTTATTATTTCTGTAGAGCCAGAATTTATGGCAGGGCTGTTCTATTGAATTGCATGTGTACCTGATAAAGTGGCCTCTGAGTGTGTGTTCAGTTCTTGATTAGGTTTCTTGTTCTTGTCGGAGTCATTCCTACTTTTATATCACGTAATGCAGTTAACTTGCACATTACTGTGCAAGGCAGTGCAAGTAATTTGGATTAATTTTATCAGTGTCTGTTTAACTAGTGCCACAGAGAATGTCAGATTGATTTGTCATTACAGAGGGAGGAGTGTTCCTACAATAATGTGGATATCTGTAAGTCATGCAGAAGCATTTAGAGTTACACGCAGACTACCAGGCAGTATGAAGCCTCTATGTATGTCGCTCCAAGTCATATGTAGGTCTGTAAATTTCCATTCTTAGTTTCTGTAGTGGGTGCTTGTGAAATGAAGTTTAGCTTATATCATTTGAGTTCAATGCAATAAGTTCATTTATACGTGTTCAATTTGATCAGCGAATTCAGGAAACTGAAATAGATCCTGGAAATGCCCATCCTCACAAGCGGTATAGGTTATGTATCCAAAAACTAATGCATCTGGGGCGAGTGAGTTTCTGTACTAACTATACACTTATTTCCCATAAGTGGGCCAGTGATTACCCCAGTTTCCGTCCCAGTCAGCAGGTTCACGCTGCCTGGTTTGACTGCGGTTTCACCACTGGCTGCCTTCCAATTAAAGCCAGAGGAAGGCTGACTGTCCACTCTATGTTCTTCATGTCACTTCTCTAACACCTTCACCTCCATCTCCTCACAGTTAACCAGGTCGTCATGGTTCTCCTTAAACTTGTCAATTATGAGGCCGCTGGATCTTTTTATTCAGCAGCGGCATCTCTTGAAAATTACATGAAACCTGCTGCTGATCATATTAAGTGGAGTTTCAGCCTTTACTAATAAAATAAATATCTTTTACTGGTGAAACTCCTGGGGAGAACCTTGATGTAAAATTAATTAGCTAGATTATTAACCGAAGGAGAAACATCCGTGGATAATATATGCTTTGACTAGTTCACATGTGAACTTGTGACACTAGTCATTGCATTTAGGATGTTTTGTGGTGTGTCACTCACTGGTCGCACCATGGAGGTTTGTGTTGTTGCTGTAGCTTTTCTTCTCATAAAAGCCTCTCCCTCTGGTGGTTAGGTACGGTATCGTCGGGAGCATGCTTCAGGCCGGCAGCTGCCCTTCTTTCCACTACTGGAAGACCTGATGAGGGATGTTTGTGATGGAGCTGCACTGCTCACCGTGGTCCATTACTACTGCCCAGACCTCATGAAGCTGGAGGGTATGATGCGCTTGCACACGAACACGCCTAAATTCAATAGCAACATCCGAATAATTATCAGCTGCCGTCGAAGAATTATTCCCGTCACGTGCATCAGTGTTGCTCTGCTAACACAGTGAATTTAATATCCATGTGTGATGCTATTTTTGTCACTGGCACATGGCTTACTGTCCCAGTCCAGTCAGTGTGACATTTATAGCCAACAGGTCATTGAGTTGCATCCTGTTCTAACCCACTCTGTGACTGTCTGATCAGATATTTGCCTGAAGGAAGTACCTTCCATCGCTGATAGCCTGTACAACATCCAGCTGCTCAGAGAATTTGCCAGCGAGTACCTGAATAAAAGTTTCTACCTGACAACGGAGGACATGCTCTACTCGCCGCTTGTGCTCAAGGTACAAAACCTGGCACACATTTGTACTGCAAAGTTAAATTTTAATCAGAATTGTTCATCGGGCATCAGTGCTCTTAAACGCCACTATTCATCTGCATTCACAAGCTGGTAACGTGTTGCTTGTTTCCTGTGTAGCACAATGTGATGGTGTTTATCGCTGAGCTTTTCTGGTGGTTCGAGACTGTCAAGCCGGAGTTTGTCCAGCCCAGAGATCTCCAAGAGTTTAAAGATGGTAAGCAACACAACAGATATCATACTTTTAATGTTAGACAGAATTTAGTATTAGTAAACTACATCCATGATTTTTGCATCAAGCAAGTCCCCGTTAAGTGTCAGAAATTTTTCAGAACATGATGATTAAGATTTCACAGGTCTCACATACTAACAGTGTAGGGATAATGAATGTGACCTTTTTTTTTGTCAGTCAACTAAAATAGCACCCTTTATCATAGAAAAAACTGTAAAAACAAGATAAATCATCAGATTTTCAGTTTGCTGATGAACCACAAATTACTCATCTGTGACATTTGTTTTTTTTTACTGGAAACAGTACCCAGCCTAAAATTAGGATATTTAATTAAAATCACTTCTTTCATGTATCTTATTTGTAAATTGACCAAGAATTAATCATTAACTGTTTTTTTTTAGGTCATACCTGTTTTTTTTAATATACACTCCACAGTTTACGTTTTTATTTTTTTGTACTCTCTACTTCTAGCTATAATTTGCAGTTTTCACAGAGGTGCAGGCTTTTGTATTGCAGTGAAAAATTGGCCCATTGTGAGAAAAAATGTGACAGGAGCTTAAACACAGCCAGCTACTTTATAATTTTTTAATGGTGAATGATATGGTGGTGCTGTTTCCGTAGAGGTGACAAAGGAGCCTACAGAGAATAGGAATGTGATGGGAGCCAAAAAAAAGGCTCTTAAATTTGAGTATTTTGGTTTCTTCACTACTCTATGATGGTACACCTAATGCCTTTTGGATTGTGGACCAAACAGGATTTGGGTAACACTAATGGATAATGTTCATCATTTTCAGTCAACAATTAAAATAGTAATTGGTTACAGCCCTGTGAAGGAAAAGACAGAACACCTTGCTTTGCACTTACCTGCATATGGCTGGCCAATGTGGTGTTGAGCCCTCTGCATTGGCTGTGCAGCTTTAAAAGGGGTTTTTTTCCCATTCAAGACTACTGCAGGTCTTGGAACTAAAGCCCAGTCATTGTCCAGGTTCAGCTAACATCAGCTAACATACTCATTACTCAGAGCTCAATGCTCAACACATCTGTCCTTCTCCTTTACTTAGCTCGAGCCATAGCTCATCCCAAGAGTTCCCGTCCATCAGTGCCCATCTCCAACGCCACCAAGCGCAGCTTCCTGGTTAGTCCTGGCGCAGCCGATAACCAGAGCAGCCCTGAAGTCTGTAACAGGTACTTCCTGCACCTTGAAGACTCTGACCCCCTGTAAGTCTTCTCTCACTTTCCTTCGCATTCCACTTCGTCATAATCCTGTCCTCTAACCAGTTACAATCGCCGTCCGAGGGTGGGTAGATACGCAGCGGTGTCTGGTTTTCATTCTCATGTGCCCTTCACCTCTAACCCTCTGTCTTCATTTGCACTGTGTGAAGCTGATTGTTGCAGTGAGTCTTTGTGTGTTTGTCCAGCACTTGTGTGAGACGTTGAAAATTTAGGATGCATAGAATTGCAGCTGTTTGGATGTTTGAACCACTTGCTTGTCTGGTGAAACATCTGACTTGTACAGTGACTGGAGACATCAGACTGACTTCAGATTTGTTTTGGGTTCTCTTGTCTTTGCTGTAAACTCGGCTGTGTGACTGATTTTCTGCCGATCTCTTCTGATAACCATGTTTGAATGAAGTTTTGATTGTTTTGTGGTGTCTTATTACTTTTTAGTAAAGGGGGTCCAACCTTCAGTCCATCTCACCCACTCCTGCCCCTGCGACAGAGACAACAGAAGCACCAAGGGGAGGATGGTTCAGGTAAAAGTCTTCTAGATAAGATTCAGGCTCATGTTCTGTTCATATTTACTGATGGCTCATGAGTGTTTCTGTGCAGGTCTGAGAAACCGTTCAAACTCCCTGACTCAGGTGGATGGGCAACAACCCAGGGGCTCTGTTGTAGCATGGCCTGACAAGAGGCAGAGGTACCTGAAAGTATATTAATACATATAAATGTGCATTTTGTTCATGTACCAATGGCTTTCTTATGTAATCTTTGTAGTTCTCCATATAGATGGATTAAGTCACATGTTTCTCAATTCCTGTTTGTGGTCTTATAAAGTTATGTTAGCAGTATGGCAACGACACAAACTGAATGCAGCCAAGAAAATAAGAGATGCTTATTTTTATGTCAGAAAATGGGACAGGAACTCATGTGAACGTCCCATGGAAACTGATAACACAGTGTTGCTTGTTTTAAATACGTGATGGCTCCACTCTGCTGTTTGCAATATTTGTATTTTTTTCTTAAACTAAGCAATTTATGACTTGCCCTCTTTTCTCAAATGTCAGGCAGCTGAGTACTGCTGCAAAAAATCCACTTGAAAAATTCTGATTGTTTTATATTTCTGACACAATATTGTTTTAAATAGCGGCAAATCATTTTTAAATACCTAAAGGTTCCACCCCAAGTTGTTCAAATACAACCTGATGCTATTTTTTGTTGTATCAAAATTGCCACCTCAGATGTCTGGTGTCGTAGCATCACTACTATTCTGACTAACTCTGAATATTGTAATCTGTACATTGTATTGATTTTACAAGTGAGATTTTTTCCACATGCTTTCTCTTTGCAGACCTCTGTCCACGCTGAGCCCCTACCTGTTGCATTCAGCCACCGACAGTGATGCTGACATGGCCTCTGGTGACAGCGTGAGTCTGGCTCGCTCCATCAGTAAGGACAGTCTGGCATCCAACGTCATCAACGTCACTCCCAAACACCAGACCACCGCCCTCCAGCCATCGCATGCTGCAATGCGCAGAGTTAACGGCCACGGCCTGCTGGGGAATGTCAACATTGAGAATGAGGAAGAAACTTTGGTGGCAGTTGCCAGGACTGATGGTTCCGTCATCCCCAAACGGGTTGATGTGACACAAGCAGCTGCCACAGTTGGACCCAAACCTTCCGCTGACTCCAAACCTGCACCAGATAGCTTTTACCTAGAACCACTAATGCCTGCCGTGCTCAAAACGGCGAAAGAGAAGTCTGTATGCCTGAACAAGGAGGAGGAGAGTGGTGAGGTATCCCGGTCCGCAGGGAGGGGCTCTTTACGCCGAGGAGATGGATCTACATCAGCCGTTCGTAGGAAAGCTGCCTGTACTTTAAACCAAACATTTACCCCTCCAGGTGAGGAAATGGACTCTACAGAGGAACCTCCCCAGGATCAGGCAGGTTTCAGGCCTGCTGCCGCCAGCAGTGCGGATCCCTCATCCAGGGAGCCTGCTGAGGGTTTCTACCTGCATTCAGATTCTGAAGAACCAAAGTCTAGCCAGGGCGTGGACGCTGAGCTGGAAGACCTGGACGAGGAAGAAGAGGATTTGGATGAAGCTGTTACCACTAAAGACACAAACTGGCCCCGGAAGGCCCTCAATGTGGAAGACGAAGAAGAAGAATCAGCCAAACTCCAAGAGGACATGAATGTGAAAGAGCATGAGGACAAAGATATGAACGGCGGCAGCGGGCGCTCCAGCCCTTGTCTCAGCACGCACTCCCAGGCTAGCAGCATGGCCAGTGGCAGCGTGCGCATGACCTCCTTCGCCGAGCGTAAAGCGCAGCAGCAACGCTTTGGCAGCAACCACGACCTTCGCTCCAGTGCCTCCAGCTCCCAGAGGACCACTCCAGATGGATCGGAGAGCAGTGGACCCCTGGCTTCTTCCTGGAGGATTAAAAGAGACCAGAGCCCCTCGTCTCCCTTAGGAGGATGCAATCGTACAGGCGATGGTAGCGGCGGTGCGAATGTACTGGCTTCTGAAATTGTCCAGCTCCGTATGCAGCTGGAAGAGAAGCGACGTGCCATTGAGCACCAGAAGAAGAAGATGGAGGTGCTGTCAGCGAGGCAGAGGCAGAAGCTGGGAAAAGCCGCCTTTCTGCACATTGTAAAGAAAGGTGGAGGAAAGAGCGACACATTGCCCAACCCGCTGAAAGCTGACATCTCCAAAGATGACCTCAATGGAGAGAAAGGACCATCAAGTAAAGATGATATGTGTGTTGATACTCTGAGAGGGGAGAAAGAGATGGAGGGGACCACCCCTCCTGGTGCCTTAGATGCAGACAAGAAAGGGAACAGCGGAAGCTTCTATTTAGAAGAAGAGTTGGACCTGAATGAGTGCAGTCGCTCCATCGAGCTGCTGAACGACGCCATCGGCAGCATCCAGCAGCAGATGATGCAGCTTTCACTGCAGCAGGAGATGCTGATGAAACAGAATGTACAGTCCCCTCCCGGTGCAGCTCCACCTCCTGTCACCAGCGACAAAAATGGTGAGTCTAAGGCGGGGGCAAGCTTTCACTTTGTGGAGCACCTCTCTGGCAGTAGCACCGCTCCCACCAGGAAACCCCCCAAGCTGAGCTCAGGCCGCAGCTCCCGGTCCAAACCATCAGAACTAAAGATAGCCAAGGAGCAGAGCCGGCAGGCGGCCAGGACCCTCACCCCGACCCAGAGCGGCTCAGAGACTTTACCACACCCGAGGCAGTTAGCTGGGGGCAGGTCCCCCAGGGCCGAGCAGCCCGACAGCCCCAGAAACCCCACAGCAGCAGAGACAATCGACAAGCCAGGATCTGGCCACGTCCGGAGTGCCACCTTCCGACTCCAAGATGAGGCCAATATGCGCCTGCCGACCCGAGTGGACCTGACGTCAGTGGCTGCCCCAGAAGTGTCCTTTGACGAGTGCCTGTCCAGCACCCCGAGAGAGTCTGAGCTCAACTCTTCAGACGGCTCAGGGAAAGAGTGTATACCATCAGAGGAGGTGCAGCGCAGCAAATCCCACCTGATTGAGGTTGATCTGTCCGAGCTGAAGGCCCCCGAGGAAGTGGAGGGTGCTGAGGACGGAACGACAGAGGGTGGTGACGGGGAGCAGAAGTCGGTCATGGGCTTCTTCTTCAAGGTACAGACCCTTTGCATAAACACTTCAATATTTAGTTCACTTAGTTGTTTTCACATTTACACAGAAAAGACAAAAGATAAGAATGAAAACAAATGTGTAAAAGAAAGGTATGTAGTGTTACCATTGGTTGTCTAGTAACCCTTTGGGCACTAGAAAAAAATGTTGTACATGTCAGTTCTAGACTTTTGTGATTCATGAATTCACAGTGAGTGGAAATGTATTGACTAAAAATGCCCCTAAACTGTCTGGGGTTGTGAGTGTTAAAGAGGACTGAAGTGTTATTTGTGATATTAATTCATATTTTACATTTTACCTGGTTGATGATGAATGAATATTTGATAAATGACAAGTGTTAAAAATGATCGACCACCAGTTTATTGGATTCAGCGTTACATTAAAGATGTATTGTATTGTTTCTAATGTATAAATGTTTATTTTTTTTCCCATGTTATAGGATGAGCAGAAAGCGGAGGATGAGCTTGCTAAGAAGAGAGCAGCATTCTTACTGAAGCAGCAGAAGAAAGCCGAAGAGGCTCGACTCCGTAAACAACAACTAGAAGCAGAATCTGAGCTCAAGCGAGATGAAGCCAGGTAGGTTGTTTTACCAACATCAAGCTCACGTTCAGGTGCTACTATTCCAAAAGCCACTAATATTCTGATTTGGACACCAGGCGGAAGGCCGAGGAGGACCGTTTGCGTAAAGAAGAGGAGAAGACACGACGGGAGCTGATAAAACAAGAGTATCTGCGGAGGAAGCAGCAGGAGATGTTTGAGGAACAAGGCCTGGTGAAGCCCAAAACCCCCAAACCGAAGCAGAAACACAGACCCAAGTCCGTCTTCAGAGAGGAATCCTCCAGCGACAATTTCTCCAAGTGCTCTTCCACGCGTAAGGCCATTACATCACCACTTTGACATTTAGATAAAGCTCAGTTTCTCCATTTGTGAGTCAGCAGGGTGCATGTCGTTTGGTATTTCCAGCTGAGCTGTGGGGCACACTGGCTGACTGCCAGTTATTTTCCATTTTACCATTTAGTAATACTTACATTTCCTACAATTATTAATACTACTGACGTGATTGAAACCAACAGCGTTATTGTCGTAGCATTCCTTAATTAAACAATTTCTGCCACTGATGTCATGTCTTCGTTGGGTTCCATAATGTTTTTTAAATCACAGTTTAAGGACAAAATATAGACCAATAGGGACGTTTCAGTGTTTTCTGCAGTGTTTTAGAGAAGGTGGCCCGAAAGCAAAGAAGAAATTAAAGAAATTGATTTTTATAAGGCTGAAAAATGTCTTTTTACGAAGTGATCTTGAGAGGCTTAGTTTCCCTCACAAAGAATGCATCGTTTTAATAATTAGCTTTGACTCTTTCCATGTTTCTGACTTAAAACATTTAAGTTTCTGGAATTAGATTGATATGCAGTACTTTTAATATATTTAATCGAATTATTCTGCTTTCCAGGCAGCTTGCTTAAGAGTGTTTTCCCATCCAGCTGCCAAGAAGTTGTATTTAGATGACACAAACATTTACAACATCTTCTCCGTTTCATACAGCTGACAACCTGAGTAACGCCCAGTCAGGCTCCAGTCTGTCTCTGGCCTCTGCAGCTACCAACGAGGCCGACAGCGTCAACTCTGGAGGGGCCGGCTCCCAGCGGTAAACGGATCACACTGTGTTTTCTCTGTTTTGTAGCACTCCTGTTGCTTGTAGCTTGTGCTTAGGGATGTTCTGTACAGTGTGTGTTTAATATTTCCCTCATTTATTAACAATTCTGTTTGCAAAAATATTGTTTAACCTGTTTGCTGTGTTTGTTGGTGTGCAGCTGTGACTCTGTGGAGTCGTTTCCAGGCAGTCGTAACAACAGTCGGACTGCAGAGAGAGACTGGGACAACGGCTCCACTGCATCCTCCATCACTTCCATGGCCGAATACACAGGCAAGCGCACAGATGGCATTATACTTGTTTTTATTCTCATCGATTAACAAATATTGCTAAATGTGTGTCCTTAGTATCCTTGTGTTCTGTTTTTCTTATCTGTATTGTGTATATAGTGTATATAGCTCGCCTCTTTAAATTATAGTTGTGTTCGCTTGCTTTTTTTTCTGTCACTTTGCTGCTGTGACGTTGCAAATTTCCCCTCGTTGGACTAACAAAGGATGTTCTGTTGTACCCTATGATAACCACATGTGGTTGTGCTTCTTAGTTATTTATTGATTCACAGTTTGACTTGTCATTTTCAGAACGCAGTAAATGTGTGGTCGTTACCTGACACAACTAACTAGTAGACGTCTTAGCAGCAGTTAACTCAGAGTCCTTTGACTAATTATTATTTTCTTTTTTCGTTACATAAGACTAATGTGGTCTAACTTTATTTTCTCCTGTAGGTCCCAAACTTTTCAAGGAGCCCAGCGCCAAGTCAAACAAGCCAATCATCCATAATGCAATCTCTCACTGCTGCCTGGCCGGCAAAGTCAACGAACCCCAGAAGAACCAGATCCTAGAGGTCAGTTCTTCTGCCTGACATGGACCTGCTTTATGTCGCTTTAGTGACAAGTATACCTTGGGTGCAATCTGACATATCCCTCACCAGCTTTCTTTTTAGACTAAAATCTTTCTTCTGAATTCCAAATTTCTTTATCTGAAGAATCGGAAACCTTTCTTGACTCTTCAGGTTTTTGCACCACAGACTCGCCCTACTCCTAGTTGCTGTAGCTTTCTGTCACAGCTCCCCTGTGCAGCTCTGGCAAACTGATGCTGGTTTATGATAAAAGGTATCGATATCAGACATAAGATTTAAAACTCCAGTGTGCAGTGAAACACAGAGAAGATGCAGAATTATTTGAAAGTTCTATGAAAAAGTCCAGCACTCCAGCTTTAAGGAGGTATTTTGCATTCCTTTATCATGCAAAGTCACTGTCGTCTAAAAGTTTTAAAATATTCTTCTCCAAACTCAGCAGTTTAATAATGTACTAATATCTTGATGTGGTTTTGCTTCACACTGACTGTGTTTTTAAAATTGTTCATTTATTTTTGGCTTTACCAGCTCAACACAAACTGCTATCCTGTCAACTTGAGCTATGACTCTCTGGCTTTTTTTTTATCTGGTACAGATTCAGCTTTTTTCTTCTGTAAAACACTGTAGGCCAACCTGGACACTTTTGTGGCTAAATAACAGCACACAAATCAAAAAGAGAGAATTTTTGTAGCTGCACAACACCGACAATAAAAACACCACATATGTTACAGCACCAGACCAGGTTCTCCCTCCAATCTGGTTTCTTTGTCACCGGTTTTCTCAGGTGTGTTTTGTAGGCAGCTGGTGTTTCTTTTCCATTTTTTCGTCTCAGTCTATGCCTTGAGCAACATTTTTTCTCACCTCTTTGTATCCTCCCCCCTTGCTAGGAGTTGGAGAAGTGCGAGTCCAACCACCTGATGATCCTGTTTCGCGACGGCGGCTGTCAGTTCCGGGCGCTCTACTCGTACTTCCCCGACACCGAAGAGATCCAGAAGCTGACGGGCACCGGACCCAAGAGCATCAGCAAGAAGATGATCGACAAGCTGTACAAGTACAGCTCGGACCGAAAGCAGTTCACCGTCATCCCTGCCAAGACTGTGTCAGTCAGCGTGGACGCCCTGACCATCCACAACCACCTGTGGCAGGCCAAGAGAAGCGCTGTGCCAAAGAAAAGTGGGAAATAGCAGGCGGGGAGATCGAAACCCCGCCTTCATCCGAATCATCTTAACCCCCCCCTCCCCATCGTGCTTGTTTTCCTGAATAGACTGCATTGATGCCCACAGCCAAGCTCGGTCCAGAAACCTACTTGGGAGAGGCCACGTCTACGGACATGTGGTCGTCTGTAGGTGGACCAAGGCGCAAACAAGGGAAAAGGTATGTGTGTGTATGTATGTGTGTGTGTGTGTGTGGTTCACAGGTGGTCTGACGGACTGGTGCTTGCAACAAAAAGAGGAAATGCCGGCTGAATTTAGCTTCTTCTACCTGTGATCTCAGTGCGATCTGTTCAGGTTGATTTTAGGCTACTTTTTATTCTTTTTTTTTAATATTTTACAACGACAACCACGACTCAAGCATGTGGCTTTTTTTTTTTTTTTTTTCTTTTTCTCCTGTCATACGTGATGGATGTTCTTTTCTACATGAAGTATTTATTAGTTCGGCACTGTCATGGTTGAGAGCTCAGCTGCAGCACTAAAATCCTTCCCCTTCTCTCCGGACACGCCTCTCCCCTTTTGGACAAATTCGGGAGACGTCGGAGGGAAGAGTTTCTGTCGCTCTTTTCAGAAAATCTGAACCAAGGGACCTTTGTACAACCCTGTAGGACTGTCGGGGCCAGCTCTGCCGCACCCCCAGCAACAACAATCTCTTCCTGCGTGAACTGTCGAATCTGTCGAATCAGGCTGGCATTGCCGATTTTTGCCTCACCAGGGATCTCCAAAAAAAACACACAAAAAACAAAACCTGCTGCTCTGAACTGTCTTCTTCTTTTGTCGTGGGGGAGCTCCTCAGGTCTCCCTCCGACATCCGTTGGCCTTTCACGCATCGTGGTACTATCGTCTATTTATTCAACCCGCTTTTTAAAACTAGACGCTGATCGTGTAGCACTGGATATGTGTATTGCAAAAAAAAAAAAAAGACAAAAAAAAATATTAACGATGGTCATTTTAAATCCTTTTATTTGTCGAAACATCCTTTTTTTTCATTTCTCAAGGGAGTCAAAAGAGGGCGAATGATAGGCTTTGGTACAAAAATGATGCTTTTTATTTTATTTTTGCTTTGTTTCTGCTTTTTTTTAAAAGTTATTATTAAAGCAATGTGGTATAGAGTTAAAGCTGATGTTATGTGTTTTCATCATAACGGGATTTCTCTGATGTTTAGAGCTTAGTTGTGTTTTCTCTCCACTGGGCACTCTTGAATTGTCCTGTATAAAGGTGCACTCATGAACACTTGTCAGCAGCTTCTTTCATGCAATGTAACTCCCCCCGCCCCCTCTCCTCCTACCCCCGTAACCTCCTCCCCCCCGCTCCTTCCCTGAGTGTTTTTCGTCGGCCATCTTTAAGAGCCGGCCGGCGCGCTCTTGTTGTGAAGAGCCGCCGCCGCCGTTGCCGCTCCGCGACCTGTTCGGATGACAGTATTTGATATATTCACAAAGGGGGTTTGTGTTTGTGGGCAGGTGGGGGACTGTGGTTCAGTTATGACATTAAAGAACATTCCTCCAAGGTGTTGACGAACACTGCCACATCGTCTCTCTTCTCTTCTGTCTTTTTTTTTTTTTTTTTTTTTCAAAAATCAAAGTGCTTTTTTTTCACCATCTGTTGGCCTCGAGAACAACCAGAAGTGTTGCACGAGCACTTTACTTTCTGTTTGTTGGGGATTATTTTTACCTTTTATGAACGGGCATAAAAAAAAAAGACAACTAATTAATAACACTGCTGTTGTGCGCTCCGAAAAGTAAGTGTGGAAACTAAACCAAACACTAAGATTTTGAATAGCGGTGAATAAAACTGAGGGGCCTCCACTGATATGATACTACTGCTGTCTCCAAAAACAATACTTGATTTCTCATTTGCTGCATTTTGGTGTCTTTTTGCCTGTGGGGGGGGGAGGGTGGTATATCTATAATTGTATGAGAGTGTATTTTTATGTTAACTAAAAGATTGTATTGGCATTTGGTCACCATATTATTTTCTTTTTGTTACACTAGTGTACTTTTCATCCTTGTTGATTTTATCTTTGATCCCATGCCATCTATTTATTTTAAAATGGAAGCACTGAAACAGAATACATTTTCAAGTGAATAAAAGTCACATTTTTCATTTTCTACTTTTCTCATGGCTTGATTTGTCCATTTGTGAGACTCACTGTTTGTTTTTCGTTTGCTAGTTTGAGATGCTGATTTTAATCTTCACACGACAACACATCACAGTTTATTTATTTACTTTTGGTTTATTGGATCGTCACAATGCTGCATCTTTTCACAGGAATGTTAATTTTTCTCCATTATTGGGTAAAAACCAAAAAAAAATTCTCAAAGAAAAGAAGAAAACCCAGCATGACTGAGAGGGTTTCTAATTTAAGCAACTTAAGTTGTCAAAACATCTTCAGGCCTCCCCTGGTGCAAACTGCCTCGCACTTCACCGACCAACTGGAACAGCGGCTTCGATGCCGGCGCATCACAACCGTGGCTAACTTCGCTCTGCCATGGAAACTGTGTTTCTTTTCCCCACCTGGTTAGTTCAGGTGATCACAAGACCATCAAACTTTGTAAACTGTCGCTGGAGAGTAGAGTTCAAGTTGTAAACCTGCATCCTGTGTTTGTCACGATGAAGGGTAAGTGCACTTGTGTGTTTTGTTGCTCATATTTTATTTAGACAATGAAAACAGTTGGCGCTAATGCGGCCGCTCTGCTTCCTCACAGGTGTAGCTGGTCTTGTTCTGCTGCTGGCAAGTTTGCACCTGAGCCGACCCTGTACCAGAGAGGCAGCGATTTTGATCTGCCAGGAGATTCCATCTTGTGAGGACTTTTTGTTTTTCTAATAGAGAATTTTAAGTAGACTTAACTGACTCAGACATAGAGCACTTTGCAAAAGTTTGGGGCACTAAAAGTAGCTTCATACAAAATGCAATTTACAGAGAAAAAAGTCTAAATGAACCCTCTGAACCCCAAGCAATTTCTTGGTGTTTTGTGATTCTGTCACTGTGGGCTCGTTTGCTGCAATATGACAATAAAGTTGTGCACCTCTGTGGAAATGACACGACCGTGACTAGAAGTAGAGGGAACCCAAACATGTCTTCTATGCAGCAAAACATCATAATGCCAAGTTAAGATGGCATCAATCAAAGAAAGAAAACAGAAGTTGATTTCTTTCATTACTTCTTATACAAATAAATAGATAAATAATGGAATCAACATGTACAACTTCTTTCAGGTGCAAACAGTTGTACCGATACTGGAGAAAAACCCAAGATAATTTACTATTTGCATTTTTTAATTGTTTCACAGCCTGCAGTTTAGCCGAAAAGTCTCTACATTTTTTTCTCGTGAGTGTTGTTTGCAGCTGAGTTGCTAATACATTTACTGTTGCACAGAGCAGTGCAGAATTTTGTCTTTTTTACAGAATCTTTTTAAAGCAATTTTTTTTTTTTTTTTTAGGATTTTTAAATAGGAAGTGTCCATAAAGTGATTTTGATGAAATATGTTTCTAAGATTAGATCTGGTCAGCTGTTTCAGTGGAGCACCTGATGGATAGTTCATGGACTGTTGGAAAGTTCCTAAACCAAATTAAATTTTTATTTTGTTAGTTTTTATTTTTTATTTATTTATTTTTTTAGTTTCTAGCTGATGAATGGTGTGATTTTGGCAATTCCATTTGGTTTATTGTGATATTTTTTTTAAAGAGGGGACATTTTTCAAACCTGCTGATAGATTTTGGGATTCAAACGGTCCAATCAGAATTACGTGTCACCATTCTTTACATCATAGGTGCACTATTATACAGTTTTTAAGGTGTTAACAAGTCGGTTGTTTCAAGCATCATGGAGAACTCATCACAGTTCTTCTCATTTTGTCTTGTTCTTGTGCTCCCAGACTGACATGACGCTGAGATCAAAAGTACTTATTCAACTAAAGATGTGGTCCTTTATGTCTCTGGCTGTGTGTTTGGGTTTAGTGTCCTGCTGCAGAAAGAATTTAAAGAGTCCTTCATTGAACTGTGTGATGGATAAAAAAACGAGGACTGATCAGTTAATCGATTCCAAATTAAAATGACAGCTTTAAACAGTAAAATTTGTGAACTCATTAAGGCTACAATCCAGGATCTCTGAGGTGGGGACTGTTGAAGTGCTGTTAAAATGCTGCATTTCAGTTTTGTTCAACTTAAGCAGGAAGAAGGTGTTATTTTTTCTGCCCTTTCATCAGCGTACACTACATGACATGCCCAGTCTTGTTCAACAGCCACACCTCATACACTTTGCAGGGTTTAAATTGTGTATCAGTGGTTTTATAAATACACAACGCCCTCCTTATGTGACAGACGAGTGTCTCGTGTGGTACAGCTGAACTGAAGACAAGTTTATCGCAAATCAAATCACAATATCTACCCGAAAAGTTGCATTTAGAGACATTTTCCCCAAATCGTTCAGCTCTAATAAGAATGTAAACACCTTAACATCTTCCTGAAGCTTGTGTGCTGCATATTGAGCCACTGTCTGCCTCTAAATATTTGATAATCAAGCGCTGCCTTCTGATATTACCTCCTTCTTTTACTACATTGTTAGAAAAACTCAAACAATCCAACATAATCAAATTCATCCTCACTGATACTAGACTGTGCAGCAACACATCGTTCCTGTCGACATGTGGTGGTTGAACTTCACACAAAAGAACAAAAAAAAAACTTTCATATTCTAAGAATGCTTGGATCTTAGATTACTTTTTTTTAAAACAAAAATAGTGTCTGTAATCACCAGATGTGATTTCCAAACTATTTAGAAAACGAGACAAACTGAAACCCAATTCTTTATATGGTACAAATGTCTGTCCATTAGATTTCGACCCCGACTGTTCGACTCTGATAATGTTCCTGAGGGATGTTGGAGAGATCAACTCCACAGTGTTCCACAGTGACAACCTCACGTCCATCACCAGACTCACCGCCAACAACGCCGGCATCACGGGAATCGCCCAATCAGCCTTCGACTCGCTTCGTAGTCTCAGGAATCTCAGTCTGGACGGGAACATGTTGTCGCAGATGAGTCCGGGCTGGTTTGGAGATCCTGCCGTTCTCGCCGAGCTCAGTCTCACAAGAAATCTCTTTGAAGATGTGAACGAGTTCATGCTGAACGGACTCGTTAACCTCAAAACTCTCCGGCTGAATAAGAACCGAATCAAGGAGATCGGTGTGAAAGCTTTCAGCTCCCTGACCATGCTGGCTGAGCTGGACTTGTCTGAGAACAGGCTGACTCGAGTCTCACCGCGGGTCTTCGAGTCTCTCGGCTCCACCAGGATCAGACTGGACGGGAACCCCTGGGACTGTTCGTGTGGCGTCCAAGACTTTGTCGACTTCCTGAAAGGTTTGTGCAAAGTGACTCAAATGGCAAGTTTACAGACCGTGTAGAAACCTGAAGCTGCTTCTCTTCTCAGATCTACAGAGCAGATCTCTGCTGGACAGACAGATGGACGTGACCTGTGAGACTCCTCCGCCTCTGAAGGGTCGACCTGTGTGGAACGTGTCGGTCTGCGCAACAACATCATGGACAACATCTGCACCTGAATCACCACAGACTGTCCACCCTAAACCCACTGATGCACCAACAGCACTCCCTACGTCCACCGGTACATCCCTCCACTGACTGTCTTCACCTTTACATTGAGGATGTTGTTGTTTTTACATAAACAATTAATGCTTTGTACTGTTTACACACCCTTGTAAAGACCTTGTGTATCATGGCAGCCTTGAGTTTCCACTGACTCCTATAAAACACAATCATTTATTTTGGTTGTTTCACAGATTTTTTAAAGGTCTTCAGGAAATATGACAAAATCTGCTTGGTCAAGAATATACATACAGCCACTGGAATGATCAGTTTTGGTGATGTAGAAAGTTGTGTTCATCAAATTTTCCGTTCACAATTGACTACAGCTGCTGACTCCTCTGAACCAATTGAAACAGGGCCCATCTAATACAATCATTAGACTCAGACACAACACTACAATGGGAACAGTCTGAGGAGCTGAGTACAGAATGACTTGCACAAGTCAGGAAAGTAAGTTGGAGTCATTTCAAAGCAGCTACAGATCCCAAAATCATCTGTGCATGCAACTGTAAGTATAAAGTGCATGATACAGTTCTGTCACTGCAGTGATCACAACTATCACCTGCTGCTGAGAGACAATTGGTCTGGATGGTTTAAAGTCAACTAAGAATCACCAAAAAGCAAATCTGCAACGAATTAGAAGCTGATGGAACACAGCTGTCAGTGTCTTGATGTTGTGCAAGAAGGAAGTTTTTCCTCCCAGAAGAGGCCCCTTAAGGCTGGACTGAAGTTTTGCTGGTGATCACTTGGCCTTCTGGAGGAAAGTTCTATGGTCAGATGAAATAAAAGATGAGCTATTCCGCCATAATGACCAGAAACATGTTTGGAGGAGGCAAGGTGAAGCCTTCAACCCAAAGAACATCAAACCTACCATCAAGCACGGTGGTGGCAGCATCATGCTCTGTGGGGCTGTTTTAGTGGAACTTGTGCTTTACACAAAGAAAATGTAATAATGAAAGAGGAGGATTACGTCAACAAAACCTGAAATCATCAGCCAGAAAGTTAGGTTTTGGATGCAGTTGGGTGTTTGAACAAGACAGTGACTCCAAAAGCGGCAAAGAAATGGTTAAGTCAGGCTGGACTTAAGGTCTACACAAAGTCCTGATCTAGAAACCCCATCAAGAACCTGTGGACTGTGCTGCAGAAATATGTCGGTGCTAGAAGCCAACATATTTAGTTTAACTGCTTTAATTCTGTCAAGTGGAGTCACAGATACAACCAGAAGCTTGCGGACGGCTACCAAATATGTATGTTTTTGACCCATTAGATTTCCAAAACGTCTAATAAATCTATGAAAGAACCAAAATGCGTGATTGTTTTATCATGATAAAGACAGATGTGTTTCAACGATTCCTTCCTAGAACATTCAGAGTTATAAGAGTCACTGGAAACTGAAGACTGGCCTGATATAAAGGTCTTTACAAGCATGTATAAACATTTGTTCATGGCTGTGTAAAGTCTGTGCTTCATGTCCCTGTTTCCTGCAGCAAAAGTTGTGACGACTCCTTCATCACGACCAACATTAAAAACCGACTCCTCCGTCCAACCCAAACCCTCTGATGCTCCCATAAACTCTTCTCCCACCGGTACCTGAGCCTCATCTTGTCTCTATGTGATGTTGGAAAGTCTCTACATTTTTAATTTGTTCTTTGTGTATCTGTTGCTCTCTTCAGCAACACTTTCATCCTTAGGAGGTTCTGTCCAACCCAAACCCACTGATATCCTACCAACAGTCACCATGCCTGCTTCAAACACCGGTACATTTGGTTCTTCTCATCTCGGTTTTGTCTTATTTTAGATTTCTTTACCAGTAGAATCAGACTTTATTGAGTACTAAATCCTTGTCAGTCATGCATTTGCGTGTTAATCTGCATTTTTTTAACTCTGCTTTCTCGTGGATAGTTTCTGTTGCTTCATGACTTATCCAACTGTCGACTCCTGCATCATAAAGTTAATGTAGTTTATTTTTATTATTACACAACCTCTGATAATAACATGGTTGTTGGTTAAGCCTTTAATTTAAGGTCGGCCACATCCCTCATTTTGGCATAAAAATGCTTTTTTTCTCCCTCAAAATATTTTTCTTGATTCAACTTTGCCTATAAAACCCTTTCGTAAAATAAATATAGTTTTTATGGCGTCTTTTTATTGCAAGAGTGAACTGAACAGATCCTCTAAAATGCATTGGCGCAAATAGTTTTTGTGAACAGCACCACCATGTGGTCATTTGTAGACCATCAACTTCAATTTAATGACATGTTTAGTTTAGTATATTTTGCTAGTATAGCCCCACCAGTTTCTGCCTTTTTCCACATTTTTAACTCAATGAGAAACATTTTATTAAAATAAATAAATAAATAAATAAATTAAAAAAAATTAATAAAAAATTTTTAATTTTAATTTAAAAAAAAAAAAAGTGAGCTTTTACAAGATTGAATTTCCCTTCTGGGATAAATAAAGTATTTTTCATTTCATTTCATTTCATTTATGTTTATTTATTTATTCCAGTTTTTATCTAATTTAATATATACCAATTTTTTTTAAAACTTTGTTCCACTTCTGATAAGAAAATTCTAAAGTGTTTCTCTTTTTGCAATATTTTAATATCATTTTCTTTTACTTCATTTCCAATTTCATGTACTTCCTTTTTAAATGATGCCTGTCTTTACTTAATATTTGGACTTTTTTCATATTCAATTGTGACAATATTTGTGTAAATAGTGACTTTGCAAGTATTGACAAAGGAAAGCCGTAGCGTAAGATCTACATACTGGAGGTTTAAGGCTTCTAGCATGACCTTCACATTGAGATAGTTTGCTCCAACCATGTGGCAGAAAAATCCCTGGAGGACTTTGAAATACACTGTTGCCTCGCAGCAAGAAGGTTGCTGGTTCGCGTCCCGGTGGGGGCACTGGAATCTTTCTGCGTGGAGTCTCCATGTTCTCCCTGTGCAGCGTGGGTTCTCTCCAGGTTCTCCGGCTTCCTCCCACAGTCCAAAAACATGTTGAGGTTAATTGGTGATTCTAAATTGTCCGTAGGTGTGAATGTGAGTGTGCTTGGTTGTCTGTCTCTAAGTGTAGCCCTGTGATAGACTGGTGACCTGTCCAGGTGAACCTGCCTTCACCCTGAGTCAGCTGGGACAGACTCCAGCCCCCCATGACCCTAGTGAGGATTAAGCGGTGTATAGATGATGGATGGATGGACTTTGAAATACTTGATGAAATGTTTTTGTTTTTCTAGAAATTGCACCTTTACTCTTGGAACTCCCCAGTCAGAAAGAAAACGCTCCTCGCTCAGATCAGCCTTTACTAGTCACACAGCGGGGACATTTACATTGTTACAGCAGCAACATACATAAATGTAGAGACAGAAAAAAAAAGAAATATACACAAGTACAGTTGATATTGTCCAGACTCTTCCATGTGCAGAAACACCAGACTGCACTTCCTGTAATTGTTTAACATGTTTGACAACCATAACTCCAGAATGCATTGAAGGAAAACAGCACACACCCAGACTGAGTCATCCTCAAGCTGTTGATGGTAATTGACCTGCAGGTGGCGCCACAGCGACACGATAAATGCAAAGACTGAGTGTGTTCGTGTTGTCTGTGTTTAAATGTAACCATGTGAAATTTTATGCATTTTCAGCCTTTTGAGGAACCCTGATGGTGTTTAGATTTAGTTTTTAGAAGACCATTTGGACGTTTAATTTGCCCATTTTTCTCCTCAGGAACTCACGTGACGTCACCTCCGTCGAGTTCAAACACCTCCATCCACCAGAAACCCACCGACTTGCCCCCAACAGCCTCGAAACCTACGGGACTGGCTGGTGTGTTTGATTCCTCTCCTGTTTCTGTTTGATATTTAAATTCTGATATAAGCTGCTAACGTGTGCATCATCTGTTCCTACTAGTTCCTGCATCACCTCCATCACAGCAGCCTTCACGTACAAATACCGTCTGCACCCTTGTTGCTGTCATCGGTATGTTTTTCCATTTCTTTTTGTAAATTTCTCAAAAGTAGAATCACATCATGAAAGATCTTTATCCTCTGCAGCGGTCCTGTGTGTGCTGCTGTTTCTGGTGTGTTTCCTGGCTTTGCTGCGCAGAAGGAAACGCAGCAACGAAACCGTGACGCCCGGACGTCTGACGGAAGAGAAGAAGAAGAAGAAAGAGCCGGAAGAAGACGGCAGTCAGAGCAGAGACCCGGAAGTGGCTCGAAGGACGTCCTTTACCGGAGTCAGAGCAAAGTCGGCAAATGCTGTCATCCTCTCGTCTCCCTTTTGTGCATCTGGTCAAGATCGAGCGACTTTACAAAGCGAGAAAGAGGCTCAGTCAGAAATCCCAGGTGAGAGGAAGCAGGAAGTGGTGAATGAACCTGTAGCAGAGGCAGGAATTCAGACAGAAAACCTCACAGACGTCATCGAGGGCCGTGAGAAAAAAGCAAACGTTGGCGGGAATATGGAAGATAGTCGTGTCTCCGTCAACGCTGACGTGGTTCCTTATCTGAGCATCGGCACCAACCGGAACAAACCTGATGAAGAGTCCGCTGAAGGTAAAGGTCAGAGGTCACAGACGGGACGAGTCATCGGGAGGATCTCCACGTGGCCTCCGACTGCAGCTCAGTGGCAGGAAAGATGCAAAATGAAAGAAGAAGAGGAGAGAGAGGAGGGTGGTGGCGTCACTTTTGGGGCACAAAATGTAACCGAGAAGTTCTTAGATGACGTGAAGAACATGAAGATGGAGCGGGCTGGAAATGACAGCATAGCTTCTTCCAACGAGAACCACACCCACACTGACTCACATCAAGAGGAGCAGCTGAAGAAGGAAACTGGGCTCCGGGTTGCTGCAGCTGCGAGACGGACGACTAATAAAACCCAGAGTCACGTCCAAGCTGCAGAAAATCCAGCAGACAAGAGCAGCAGCAGCAGAAAGGAACCGAGTCGAGCTGCGACCGGCAGACGGAGGCCTGACAAAGGAGCCGCCGCCGCCGCCGCCGGGTCGAAGGCTCCCTCTGGTGGAGCTTCACCCGACGACGAGACGCTGCTGTCGGGCAACGAGTACGCCTTCATGGACCTGCTCCACGAGGTTTCCCAGAACCACGGCCGCTGGACCAGAGAGAGGTGGAGGCAGATGCAGGCCAACAAGCAGCGGCGCTAGAACACGAGTTTTGTAGAGAACGTGAAGTTTACACACATGATGTGACACAGTTTTATTCTGTTCACCTTTATGTTGAAGCAGAAGTTCTCGCTTCATTCATTGTTTAGCCCAGACGATCGATACCACTTTTACAGCGTGTCTGGCTGTTTAACTTGTGATTTTTCTTTATGGGACTCTCACAATGTTTAGCGACTCACAAGAGACTGATTAAAATAAACTGTCACAATAAAAGCACCAACGGAAGAGAAATCCAGACTTAAAAGATTTCTGGGTACTTTGTGTGCTCACAGTTCATTCAAATCTTAAGTCTTTGTCTGTTTAATAGCCTAAAATGAGAAGACAGTATTGCTTTCATGTTTCTGTCCTGTTAGGAAATTAACTGAATTGAATTTTAATATTACAAGATCTCTAATAATCACATGGTTTTTGGTGAAATCCTTTTCTTCACCTCATCTAGATCTCTCATTTAACTTTCAAACTGAACCTGTTTTCACCTTCAAAATCTTTTTCTTCATTTATTTTTCCCATAATTTGCCTCTAAAAGTGTATTTCATGACATCTAGTTCTAATTATGTGTCTGTTGCCAGAATATTTCACAACGAACCGTTAGGTTTTAATAAAATAGGCGCTGGAATGATTCATTTTTGTGCACGACGTGGTCTTTCTTAGAGCTTCTTATACTCTCATATCATTTCTAAAAAGGTTGTATATTCTTTTTTTTACATTTTATTTTAAATGCCTTTATTTAGTCGTTCTAAGTTCATCCCCTCCACATTCTGCATGAGCACATTTTCCATCCATACGTGCTTTTCAGCTGTTAGGAGGCTAAATTCTGCAGTCAGTCAGGCATGTTGCTGCTGATCAATATTTTTTGGTAACAGCTTGATGAGTTTCCTTCTAGCTTCCGTTAAACTAGACGATGAGTCATCAGGTGACCGGACTGTTTGACCACAAACCCTCCAACGAACAAACCATCCTCCCTGCATCCACCGGTACCTCAGCTTCTGGTCTAACATTTGATTTAATAAACTTCTTCACCATCACATTGAGGTTATTGTCGTCTCTACAACAAATTTATGTGAAATATCTGTTTCATTCCCTGCAGCAGCTTCTCCATCACACCTGACATCAAAGACAGACACTTCTCTCCATCCCACATCCTGACATATGTAATATCCAGGTAATGACATTTCTGATTGTTTTCTGTTCAGACACGTTATTCTGCTGTTTCCATCGTCTGCTTAACAAGTAAAACTCTGGAAGTTACAGTTTTTAGGAGCCACATATCTTTACTTTTATCATCTTTTACTCTTTGGGGAAGAAATAAAATCATAAACTTGTGCTTTATTTATACTGTTTGACGTGAACGATGCAACACTGCAGCTTTTAGACAAGGTCCTGCTCATTTTTCCAATTTGCTGCCTGCATTTACCCAGAAGGAGGCGTTCATGAACACGGTGTCTTCATTCATGCACTGGCAGACCTCTGGAAGTTGTACCACTTCTATCACATTGCACTCCATGTAACTAGTGAACTGATCTGAGAGCTTCTTCTCCCTGCCCTCCCTTGTTATTTTTTCCTGCTGGTCACTTAAAATGACATTTAAATGTCGGGAACAACAAAGGAGCACCTGAACCTGATCAGCTGATGACGTACGACACTGTAAATCTGAACTGGTTGTGTTGGGTGACGTTCATTATTTAGATTTAAAACAAGAGCCACGTGTAAATCTGCGCTCGCTTTACTAATCGTTCTCTTGAATTTGTAATCCATAGATGGGCACATGGCTCCCTTATTTCCCCTTAGCTGACCCTCGAGAGAACATAAACCTTCTAAAGATGATGCAGATCATTTTTTGAGGACTACTTTTGCACTTATTCCCTCATAACATGCTTTACATTCCGTCTGATCCACATGAACAGTCAGAGTCGGTCCAGTCCAGTTAGAATGCACCACCAGTCTGCAGAATTGTGATACGTATTTATTGCTCATTATTCATTTTAAAAAGGCCCATTTCTGACAGAAGCAAGCTGCAGGCGACAGGTTGGATGTGGTTTTTGTTCTTCTGCTCCTGTGGTGCCGTGGATATGTCCAGCTGCTACTATTTGTACCTTGTAGCTTCAACACAACGCTCAGCCACCAAAAACTGTCATTATCGCTGCAGGTAGTCAGAGTTAGAACGTTTAGAAACAAATGTGTGTCGACCATAATCGCAAAACTGGCCACAGCTGAGGATGAACTGACTCTGTTTGTAGTCACAACTGTATGAGCTGGACTGTGTCACAGCATCATGCAGCCGAAAGACGACAGAGTCTTTGCATCCTCAGCTGTGGTTGCTCAGAGACCAGTCTGCATCACTGCATCAGGAAAGTAAACAAGTGGAGCAAGTTCACCGACTGTTGCTGAAACACACCGACTGGCTGCAGCCTCAGGATGAGACAGTTGTCATTGTTTCAATAATGGCTGAAATCAGAACAACAACCAGAAATCCAGCCACAGTTTCACCATCACAACCGGCAGCTGAATACTGTCAGAAATCCATCCATCCATCCATCATCTATACACCACTTAATCCTCACTAGGATCATGGGGGGCTGGAGTCTATCCCAGCTGACTTAGGGTGAAGGCAGGTTCACCTGGACAGGTCATCAGTATATCACAGGGCTACACTTAGAGACAGACAACCAAGCACACTCACATTCACACCTACAGACAATTTAGAATCACCAATTAACCTCGACATGTTTTTGGACTGTGTGGGAGGAAGACGGAGAACCCAGAGAGAACCCACGCTGCACGGGGAGAACATGCAACCGGACGTGAACCTTCTTGCTGCGAGGCAACAGTGCTAACCAACTGCGCCACCTTGCAGCCCCACTGTCAGAAATCGACCTTTTAAAATGAATAAAGAGCAATAAGTGCATCATATAAACTCTCAAATAATTCCTCCTTCATGTCTGTAGAGCGTTTCCCTGAGCAGGCTGTTTGTTTTAACTGGACTGGACCAACATGCCAACCGCTCATATAGATGGAAGGAACAGAAAACATACTGTGAGGTACTGTAAGTCAAAATATTCTTGCCATGACCCAGAGAAAGCTCTGTACGTTGCCAAGCAACCAATGATGAATCAAGGTAGTTAATGCTTCCAGGCAAAAAGATAAAAAATAAAATATAGTACGTTACTTAACTGTGCATCAAACCACAATTTGTTGTTCTTTTTTCAGTTTTTTTAGAGATTAAGAAGACAGGCTATAAGTGGTCCTTTTTTTCTTAGTTTAGCTTAATAGCCAGGCTAGTAGCTAAGTTAGCAGTGTAGCTTAACATTTAGTCATGAGTGTGGTATCGATCTTTTCATCTCAATCAGGCAAAGAAAATGAATGTTTCAGTTTTTGTAATGATTAAGACAACAAACCATAACACGGTAATGAAGGAGCCTTAGAAGTGCTGTTAGTCCTCGTAAGCTTAGCCAATTAGTCAGGCTAGTAGGCTAAGCTAGCAGTATAGCTTAATATTTAGTCATGAATGTGGTATCAATCTTTTCATCTCAATCAGGCCAAGAAAATGAATGTTTCTGTTTTTGTAGAGATTAAGACAACAAGCTATAATATGGTAATGAAGGAGCTTCAGAAGTGCTGGTACCTGTTAGCTTAGCCAATTAGCCAGCCTAGTAAGCTAAGCTAACAGTGTAGCTTCATATTGAAGAGGACCCATGAGTGTGGTATCAATCTTCTCATCTCAATCGCGCCAAGAAAGTGTTGCTAAAACAACAGCACCCGGATGAAACAAAACCAAACCACGTCGTGATTATCCACGTGTTGCTAGCAAAGAAATAAAACCATCTCTTTTCGTTCGTTATATCTGGCTGCATGCAGCATTTATTTGTTCATATTCTGTATGTGGAGAAGAACACTTCTCATAAGAAATAGTACAAAATGGATCCACCCCTTGTTTTTTTTTGTGTTTTTTTTTTTGACAATGCCTCAAAAACATAAAGTGGAGGTAAACATAATACGTAGGCTCTTGATAAACACCGAGACGACATGCACGTACCATTCATATAAATACACAGTATCAAATAATGGCTCCAACTTGCAAGCAGTTGACTGGATTATGGGTTTTTCTAGCCACGGAAGTCGCGTCCTGCTAAATGTACAAAATGTCTCGTTCTTGGCAAGCTTGTATATCAAAACATGCTTTTTTTTCCTTATTTTATTTTGATTTTTTTTCAGTGTTAACATGCCCCTTGTGGTATTATTGTAAGTAGAGCAGGAGGTGTGACGTGAACTCGTTCCGGAGTGTTAGGATTTGTCATTAGTGAGGACCGAGGAAGATGAGTAGATCTGCACACTGATTGTATCCTCACGCTTCCACTCCTGAGCTCTCCTGCCCTGTAAACTGACACTTCTGAGGGGCCGCTGAGCACGAGGTCGCCTCAGTGGGGCTTAACCTACCTACACTGTAAACCATGGAAAAATAACAGTATCGGCAAATCTCAAATAGAAAATAAACAATCCGTCTTTGATTACTTCCTCATAGGACATTTCTTTGACATACAAAAAAAAAAAAAAAGGGCACACAACAGATTAGCCTGCGATGTCAATCAAAACAACAGATGCATGATAAGTTACTGCACGTTTGACCGTCGTCGCTTCGTAGGAATGGTTGAATACTGTCCGCCATTTTTTCCCCCCACATATTCAGATTAAAGGGTCTTGCTGTTCCGCTCTCGACGTCCCCGCGGAGCTTAGTGCAAAAATAGTTCAAGTCCTCTTTCCCTTTTCATCGCACAAAAACAAACAAAAAGAAAAAAACAAACAATGAATATATATATAAAGTTTCTATTTACAGGGAGCGAAATCATGATTCAATACTGACGCTTGCCTGTACACTTCGGAGAGGAGAGCACTTCGTTTTCAGCTCGTTCCAAAAACTGATTTGGAAATGACATTAAAGGATAAGAGATAGACTTGACTTTTCCCGTCAATATCTGTGCAAAATTTTTCTGCTACCAGTCCTACTGCAACTCCTGTACAGAGTTCTGAAACTGGAAGATCACAATGAACACGTTAAAAGAAGGAAAACACCAGAACCTGACCGATCCCGGAATGTTTAGCCCGATACTGATATTTAAGTTGAGTTGATTTAATAATGATATTTCTTCTGATGTTAATTTAACAACTGTTGCTGATAAGGATAACTTAAAGTATTTGCTTTCTTGCTGAGCGTTAGATGAGAACTTTGATGCCACTCTCTTGTTTGCCCTTTGCAGTAAAAATGAAGCCAGGAGGTGGTTAGCTTAGCTTAGCACAAACACTGGAAGTGGAGGGAAACAGCTAGCCTGCTCAGCTTGACTGATCCTTACAAAAGTGCATGACAACTTATATATATTGTACTGATTTAGTAAATTACATGTTAACTACAGCAGCATACTTTAGCCGTGCTGCTAGCCAACTGATTAATCGATTAGTTTTCAAATATTAAAATAACAGCAAACTGTTTTGATAACGGATTAATCAGCATTTTTTGTTTTTAAAGAAAAAAAGTCTAAATTCACTGATTAAAGCTTCTTAGATGTGAATATTTTCCAGTTTCTGTCCTCCTCTGTGACAGTAAATCGAATAAAACTTTAGCTTGTAGACGGCTATTAGAATAGCTAACCAATGTTTTTCACCACTTTCTGACCAAACAACCAATTAAATAATTACGAAACTAATCAACAGTGAAAATAATTGTTAGTTGGACGTCCTACTGGCTGCTTCCACCTGCTACCATTTGCTCCACCTTTATGCTAAGCTAAGCTAATTGCTGGCTAGTTTCCGAGTTCATGATTTTATTATCATAGTTATGAGAGTGCCGTTAAGTGTCTCATCTAATTCCCAAGAAAGCATGTTTCTTATTTCTACAAATGTGGCTATTTGACACTTAAAAAAAAAAAAAACACTGATACTACAGCTAGAAATAAAAACAAGAACATTAAGAAAAATCTGACTCGAATATAAAAAAATGCAGCTTATAAAACTGTAAATAACTGAATTATGAGGAACAGTGAATGAAGTAGTGTGTTGTGGTAAGTCTAACAGCCTGCAAAGAACCATTAATTCACCATTTTTATGAATGCGTCCTTCGTTTAACAGTTTTCTTTTGGCATTTCGTTGCTTCATCTGTAGACGTTTCAGTCAGGTCCTACATGGATGAACACTGGTGTCACAAAATAGAGTAGAATAGAATATATGCAGCATGGCACGTAATGTGCAAATAATTTAACCGTATTTACAAAGCAATAGAGGAAACAAAATGGCACATAGAGTAGAGCAGACGTGATCTGGGACACTTACGATAGTGAAATAAATTAACAATATTCACTTTTTCCATTATATAATCACAACAAAAGTTCCAAAACGGAGAAAGAAATGCTAACATGGCTGATCAAAGTGCCACTTCGGCGCGAATATTCACAGATGGCAGTTTGTCGTAAAAAAGTTTTGTGCTCGTAAAGAAAAAGGAAAATCCTGTCTGATCAAAGTCTGAAAGAATAATTTAAGGTAATAAATAAATAAAAAAAAGTGCACATGTTCTGGAACTTCACGATAAATGCTTGAAAAGGTAGAAATTCAAAGCATTTATCCGTCTTGTCTTTAGAAAACGTGATTGTTAGGATGTGGAGGAGGGTGCAGTTGCCCCGAGTCTTATGTGTTTAGGTAGAATCAGGCGCAGAGGGTCCGGGACCGGGTCGTGGCACGAGGGCAGCTTCACCCCGCGGTGAAACATGGGCAGTGAAGTGATGACTGGATTTCCAGCATGTGCACAAAAAAACCCCTCCTTCAACTGTTTCGAGGACCCCTCACAACGTCATTTGGTTGGGAGGAGGGAGCCGTGGTCAGGGCCCGGGTCTCGGTCTGGTTTTGCGAGGTGTACGTCAGGTGTGTGGAGGGGGAGGAGTCGGGGTCGAGGCACTCTTCATGCATCCTCCTGTAGCAGCTCGGTGGGAAACAGCAGCTCTCTTAACGCCATCTTTTCAGAGAGATACGCACATTCACTATGGGCAGCCGCTCTCGGCCCGAGACGAGCCCTCTTCTGCGGGAGACAAACCGGCTCGAAGGTTAAGGGTCAGGGTGTCGAGGGCTGATGGAGGGGGAGGTTCAGAGGTGAGTCTCGTCTCTCGTCTCTGTGCCAAAGTCCTGCTGACGTCTGCTGCTGCGAGCCTGACCCACCTGGGAGTCGTCCGGCACGTGGGCCAGCGGGTCGGACCGGATAATGTACCTGTACGGATGAAATGAACATCAGCTGCCGGCAGGTTGTGACTTTAAATACAAACATGTGGATGAACCCTAAGCAAGCGTATTTCTACAGGTGAATTTCTCACCAAACGTAGCTTTTGGTTTAGGCCTTGTCCACAGCTTTTTCTGTGCGTTGTGGCCTCGTGTTCACATGTAGCTTTGGTGCAGTAAAAACTGAAATGTCACAAAACTTTCCACAGAGAAGACAGAGTTTGTAGCTTCTGACGTCAGAGTCGTTTAAATGAGACAATTCTGTGCATTAGTAGACGTGTTGGTGCTACTACTAACCTCGCAAATAGAACTTTTTAACACGTTCACACTTAAATGTTCCAGTAAAACATAAATAAATCCTGGTCTTTGACTACTTTTGTCTATATACCAGGTGTTGACGTTCACTTCTATGTGTGCGATGCAGAGATCGTCTGACAAGCATCAAATAAGGTGATGAAAAAAGAAAAAGCTTCTGTTTTACATTTATTGTCATTCCAACTGAAATCATTTAATTTTAGCTTGGCCATCTCAGATCTACCTGAAATACTGACAGCATAACATACGGATACTTATTTCAGTATTTGGGAAATTTTAGTTTAATATATTAAATACTTTCAGAATTGTTTTTTTTCTTTCTTTAATTGCCCGTCATGTTTTTGCATATTTTTCCACAAATTGAAATCAAATTCTGTGTTTGAACAGCAATATCTCAGGAACTAATAAAGATAAAAGCCTGAAATGTATTATTATTATTTATTATACTATTGATTTAGAATCTAGAATATTACTAAGTAGATCAAATATATATATATATTTTTTTATAATGACTGAGTTGAAATAGGAAAAAAGCTGTCATGAAAGTCTCATCTTTGAGCACATATTAACAAAAAAATGAGTAAGGCAGAAGTCAGCTGGTGATATTTACTAAACTATGTAGTTGAATGTCACAATAATACAAAACAAAACATAAAGAATACTTTCTTATAAGTTATGGAGTTGTTGATTTTTTGACACAGTGGAGAAGATCCAGTCACAGCTGGTGTTTGACATGTTGCAGGAGCACAGGGAGCTGTGTGTGGCTGCTCAGGGCGGCCATATTTAAATCAGGTTGAGTTTAGCTTTTAATTGGTGCAGATCAATACGTTTGATTGCACTTCATCTACAACAAATAACGCGTTCTTAGAAAGCAGAACAATACTTGTTTGGTCAATCATCTCATTGTTTTATAATCTCCAACAAACAGGTGCATGAAAGAAAAAAAATTAACTTGTGTAAGGAGAAGTTGTAAGAACTTTATGTAGTTTTCGGTCGACTTTACTGTTCATCTGTATTAAAAGTTTAATTGATTCTACAAGTAAGTAATGAGGTGAAACAAAATGGCCGTTCAGTCTGCAGAGTGACGTCTAGCAAAGCTTCCACACTACCGACAGAGCAAAACGTGGACTCACACGATGTCGTTGAGCTCCAGCATGGTGTCAGGAGGAGGGTTGATGAGGACGTAGGACAGCGTGTTCTGGTGGTCGTTCATCTCGTCTGCAGAAACAGACAGGGAGGCCTTCAGAGCTGCTCTGGAGCCGCCCCTCGTCCTCCTCCACTAAACAGTACATCAGCCAGGAAATGAGCCCTCCACCCCCCGAACATGTGACTCTCCCCTGTTTGACCCTCTCAGTCAGGACGAAGGACAAAATAGCTCCGGTACAGGAAACGAGCAGCGACAGCAGTCTGGAGGGATGCTTGTTACAACTGTTAATTAGAGTTTAAAAGGAACTACGACCAAAGAAGAAGAAATACTTTTTGCATTTCACTCGATTAGTATTTTAACTGCAGCCTGACTTTTACTTTTAGTTTTAGAGGCAAATATCTCTGTGATGATACATCAGCAGATGTAATGGAAACAGTCTTGATGTGGATCAGTTAGATCAAAAAAAGTCTTTTTAAGGTGAATACCAAGCAGAACATTTTAAAGTTTCTATCAGGTTTCTGTTCTGCAATTTCTTGTTACTTCTCAACATACAAATTCTGCTGAATCTGCAAGAACCTGAAGCCAGATTTATTGATGGAACTCCAGTTTTGACATACAAACGGTTTCTATTTAGTGAACAATGATCTTTGTATGTTGCAGACTGATTTATTGATTGATTGATCCAGAGAGGATATACATAAATAATCCAAGAACCTGTCGCTTATTTTATTAGAAATGACTCTTGTTCAGCTCAACATTAACAAACTGAGTTTTTAATTTAAACAATTGAATAATCATTTTAACAGCCCTCTATATACTGTTAGCTGTGAACTGTTTCTGCATTAAACATTTTTATATATAAACAGTTGTAACTGCTCTAAGGAAACTGTTCTGCACTGTGGATATTTATCAAAAATTGTTAAGAGGAAACTGACTTCTAGCCTTTGTTTCCCAGACGAGTCATTACTGTATTAATGAGCTGCACTTTTCAGCATGTAAATACTGAATAGAGCTGCAAGAAACACATCAGAGATTTATTGATCTGGTTATAGTTTTGACACACAAATGGTTTCTATTTGCTTAACATTTGGATTTGAGAGCAATGTCTCACCTGAAACAAGTCCAGAAAGAACACATTAGTTCAAGAATTTGTCATTTATTTCATGATAAATTACTTTTATTCCTCTAAATTTACTGAACCAAAATTGTAATTTAAAGATTTTTCTCGTTTAACAATCATTTTAAGGATTAATATATGATCTCAGAACTCTGTGTACTGTTTGTAGTAAACTGTATTTAGACTGTATTAAGAATCAATAACATGAATCATAAACTAATTTTAATTCAAACATTTTAACAATAGATTTATTTTCTCAGCCTTCTAAACGCTGTTAGTTGTGAACCGTATCGAGAGCAATGTCTTCTACAGAGGACATCGCGAAATAATTGAGGAACTAGCCACTTATTTAACTATAATTTCAGTTTGTTCAACTACATGTCAACAAACTGACTTTTAGTTTAAAGATTTAAGTGTTGTAATAACCATTTTTACAATGTTTTCTCTCAGGTCTCTATGTACTGTTAGTTGTGTTAAACATTTATTATACAAGCTGTAAACATTAACAGTTGTAACAAATGTACTTTATTACTTGTAGCTGAGGAGCCTGCTCTGCACTGTGGAGATGTTATATTTTATTAAGAATCAATACGTGGAAACTTTAAACCTTCATTTCCCAGTCCAGTCATTACTGTGTTGTGTGTGTGTGTGTGTGTCGGTATATGTGTGTGTCACTTCTGCATGTATGTGTGTTGCGTGCTCTCTGCCAGCGGCTCCTACTTGCGTTGAGTGATGGACGGAGGAAGGGAAAGGAGGGCACGTGAGTCTCCGGGACAACCCACCTGCTTGTGGCCCTTTATAAAGCCAGGCGGGGGGGGTGGAAGAGAGAGAAGGGCTGACCGTTACTGACAGGCCACTGTTGGTGTGGAACAAGGGGAGGCCCGCATGCTGCCTGCTGACTACAAACAGCGACCCCATGCGCAGCGCCAGAACCGAGCCAGCATGCAGACAGCGTCCGCGGCTACGCAACAAAATAATCGCTTCCCCCCCATCGCATTTCCTTTTTTTTTTTATCATCACGTCCTGCGGCATTCCACACTGGACCAACAGGCTGGTAAAGGCGGCAGGTTGCCATGCCAACGGACGACACTCAGCGCCCACCCACCACCCAGAGTGACATGTGACACACCCACAGACACAGAGGACATGCTCCAGCATCCGTCAGACTGGACCAAACGCAGAGCGACTCAAACCAAACCGAGCCAAGCAGAGCGCATTGGGAGTGTGAGAGTGGAAGAGCTTCAACCTGCTGCTTCGTCTGGAGCTTACGTCTGGTGAAGTTAAATGGGTTTGTTTGCCCCTCTAACCCACACTTTGGTGCTATGGAGTGTATTAAATGTGGATTATACCACGGCCACGGGCTTCTGATTGGTAGACAGCTGGGAAAAGACACACGGCCGGCTCTGTAGTCCAGGACAATCAGACAGCAGGGTTTGCTTTTGGGTAGTGTTGCTCTTTTATTGGGACATTTGTTTGGGTATTGATTCCAAATCAGAGGCACAAAATCAAAAAATCAAGTAAGAAATAAAGCTGGTGTCGACTCCAGTTAGTCTAATAACAACACCAAATTCATTCCTTGTTCTCACCCAACTATGTTAAAAAAATGTGACTACTGAAGTAAACCAGTGCACTAATTAATATCTGAAACTGAACTCCTTCTGATTTGTATGAACAGTTGTTGTGCTGGTCCGGTCCAGTCCTACTACACACTGAGGAGAACTGGTTAGCTGTTGCTCATTATTCCTTTCAGAAGGCCGGTCTGTGACGGCATCCAGCTGCTGGCGGTGAGCTCAGCTGTATCTGGATGTTCAGCTGCTGTGGATGAGTCCAGCTGTTAACTATTGAAACCTGCCGTGTTTCTGTGACAGACTGCTTCATTTATTTATTTATTTAGGAGTTCAGGAGCAGCTTCAATACGACGTTCAGCCAGTCAGACTGTCGCTGCACAGTCAGCAGCGTCGCATGTAGTCGCTGCTGCAAGCATTAAAAACAAACAGCTGCAGATTTTTTATTTTTATTTTAACAACAATTTCTACTTGACCATGTCTAATATGCCGGAAATTTTTTAGAACATTAACTTAGGATATTTATAAAGATATTTGTGAAATGTTGTAATCTCTATTTTCTGTAGTTTCTGCGGCGTTTTTCCTGAACTGGACTGACACACCAACTGTTCATGTCGATCACAGGAATGGAAAGCAAACACAATCTAAACCGTGGCTATTTACATTTTCAGCATCTTATTTTTTTCCCTATATCCTTCCACAAAATCCTCCTTGAACTCACTTTTTTTTTTAAATCATTTAAACAACAATAAGTTCCACCACTGGAGGTCAGCAAAAACAATCACTTCAAAGGGTGTCTTTAAATTAAAATCTGGTTTGTTCTGGAGCACAGAGCCACAGTTTGCTCGTCTTCTAGCCGTGACCGTAGTACAAGAGGTGAAATACACTCAGGTGCTCTGACGTATGGAAACAAGAGACGATATAGAGGTGAAGAAAGCCGCGGAGCAGAGCGGCTTTTCCTCCTCTGGCTTCTATTATTTTCTACATCAGGCGACCTCTGCTACACATTGCTCTCTATGTATCATGATTACATCTGCTTAAATTCTGCATCTAACCTTCCATCCACAGACATAATGCACTCCGCTCCACTCTTTAAGCCATACTCTGATGCCCTGCAGGACTCTAGCCGTTTGGGACGTCACCTCACGGGAACACAATGCAGAAAAGACCAAGACAGAGAGATAGAAATAGAGATGGAGAGAGATTGGCTGCTGATCTACCGCTCACTGTGTTAGGACACGCACACGTAAACGCACGCGCACACACACACACACGCGCGCACACACACATACACGCACACACTCATGCAGTAAAAGTTGCAGTACTGTGATCAACCAGCTAACCTGACGGCCTGGTCCCCTCTGTATACGGGTGCTCTGAGATGTCCTGCAACTCTAAGCAACGGTATTCACTGTTAACTTCAACGTCCTGATTCGTTCATTTACAATTAACTACAACTTGCATTAAGACCAAAATAGTTAATGAAAAAAAAATATGTGGAAAAAAAAAAAAAGACAAAACATCTTCTACAGATTTTTTATCTGTGGGTAAATTCTATTTTTCATTTGGATGCTGGCGAAAGGACAAGTTCCTTTCTCCACAAGATGGACGTAACCACTCACATGTTGTTAAAAAAAACAAAACATGAGTTATATACAAACAGCACACAAATTACCTTGCAAATATCCTAGATTTACTCGATTCATGACATCGCTCGCAGTGAGATTAGAAACATCCTCTACGAGCCAAAAAAAGGGAGGAGGAAGGGGAAGGAAGGGGGGAAATAGAAGAGTCAGAGAAAGAAGGAGGAAAAAACAAGGAAAGGAAGTAAATGAAATAAAGATAAGGCAGGCAGCGAATGCATTTTGCAGTTTCAAAAAGAATTCCTAAAAATGTGAGCGCGATGCAGAGAAGCCGTGCGGTAGTGTGAGCGCAGAATCACTTCCAAATGATGCGTTTTAAGTCGTCCTCGCTGACATTTACAGTTCTTTAGAAGGTCTTCAGGGGTTCTTCTTGAAACGTATTTAATTGACACATTGCGTAATGTTTTTTGACACACATCTGGAGCATGATTCTGCGTTTGTTTTGAAGCATGAAGCTGGGAGTAGACAGGAACCAAAGAAAGAAAGTGAGCAGATTTAAAAAATAAATAAAAATGCAGGCAATTGCAGTCTGTGACCAAATGCAATTGAGGTTTAGTGCTCCTGCATCTTCATGCAGAATGCGTTCACATCCACATGTCGGTGTGATGGAGACAGTGTGGTGGTGTGAATGTGTGATGGAACATGGATGAAAAAAATAAAATAAAATAAAGAGAGTCCGATGGGTGTGAAACTGATGTGAGAAAATGAGGGTCTCTGGAGGGTAATGGCGATGTGATGTGATGTTAATGATCTGTACTATCGGGACTCTCGGTCTTCACAGGAAATGAGATGAGATAAAATGACTGGAACACAGATTGGAGTGTTGAATAATTTTCTCAAACATACAGCTGCTTGTGCGGCAGAAATAATTTAGCTGGTTGAGTAAAATCACCTGCGTCTCCAGGGTCTCCTTGCTGTTGTGATTAAAGCGTATGAATATATTTCCCATCAAAGCAGACATCATTGGTTAGTTTTGGCCCTTTAATCTGCAGCCTGCTTAAAGTTGACAAGAACATTTGCTTTAACAATAAACCGCAACGAACTTCATGTCGTGATCTCCCCCTTTAATGTTGTGTTGCTACCTATTTGAAACAGTTGGTTTAGACTAGAGTGACCCATTATTGTTAAGTGGGCTTTCTAAAGGCCGGCTGAAGTGAAACAGACAGGTGGCAGCAGAGCAGATAACCGAGACTGATAGCGCTTTCAAAATAAAATCACTCAGCGTGTTCTCAAGCAAAACAAGTGTACCTTTTGCAGCTGTAGGTAATAAAAAGGTACTAATGCCAGTAGATCAAGAAGGTTGCTCAAGTGAAGGAGCGAAAACAGAAGTAGTCTCAAAGTAGAATCAATTATTTTAAAGAAAAACGGCAAATCAGTCACGAGATACTGTTGATCTGTTGCACAACTCTGGGGCATAAAAAAAAGTCAGAATCAGAAAATGAATCTACAATTTATAAACTATTACTGTATTAAAGTCTTAAGATTTAAAAAAAAAAAATCAACTCAAATGTGATAATTGCTATGTGATCTTTAGGTTTTGGATCATTAGTAGGAGAACACCAACAGGCTGCAGAGATCACCTGGGAGGGAACATCTTTCACTATTTTAACTACCTCAAAACTGCACCTCAAAAATTCCATGTCTAACATCCATCCATCCATTATCTATACACCTTAATCCTCACTAGGGTCATGGGGGGCTGGAGTCTATCCCAGCTGACTCAGGGTGAAGGCAGGGGACACCCTGGACAGGTCACCAGTTTATCACAGGGCTACACTTAGAGACAGACAACCAAGCACACTCACATTCACACCTACGGACAATTTAGAATCACCAATTAACCTCAACATGTTTTTGGACTGTGTGGGAGGAAGACGGAGAACCCGGAGAGAACCCATGCTGCACGGGGAGAACATGCAAACTCCACGCAGAAAGGCTAACCTAACTTAGGCTAGCCTAACATATGTGATTTTATCTGCTATTTATTAGCATCTTAATACTGAATGTGAGCTTAATTAACCAAAGGTTTAAGGCGCCACATTTGCGTCTTTACTGGCTCCTGACTCGTGGGTTTCACTTCACTTGTTGCAGGAGATTTACTTCAACCAGTTAATTTATTTCTGCTTCTACAGCTTCTGTGATCTTAATGAAATGAGACTCCAATCTGTAACAAACATTGTAATCGGCATTATTATTCATTTTCAGGAACATTCTGACTAATTATGATTAATAAATACAATTACAAATTAAATAATCACTAACACCAACTAGACTGTATTTAGTCCTTCTATGTAATAAGTTATATATGATCAACTGATGCGCTGAACTTAACATTAACTTTATAGAGTGAACTTCAGTTAAACAAATAAAATAAAACAGAGTCCTCCTGACGTGTCTTTCCACCAGCCGCTCCACTCACCGTATCCCACGGTGGGCAGGCCCAGGTGCTTCATGCGGTTCTTGACCAGCTCGGACAGCTCCTGCCGCTCCGAGCGCCGGTACAGGCTGAGTCTCTGCTGCGAGATCCGCTCAGCTCGGCTCGACGGCTTGTTGCTCTTCCTGCTCAGCCGCCTCGCCCACTGCATGCTCTTCTTCCTCAGCAGCGGGTGCTCCGACTGGTCGCTCGTGGTGGAGTTTCTGTGGGCCGTCTTCTCCTTCCAGGTGTCTCCGCGGTCGCGATGCTCCTCGCCCTGCTCCACGTTGATGGACACCTGAGACTGGGACGGCAGGGAGGTAATATAACCATCTGAGCAGCATCAAAAGCAGCAGATTTCTTTTTTTTAAATGGTTTTTGGGTGTTTTTGTTTCTTTTTCAGAAGCTGGTATTGCAAAGACATGAAGGTTATGAACTGTTTGATATTCCAAAAAAAATGCCACTAAGGCATTTTTCCATCTTTTAGCAAAAAGCTGATTAAATGATAAAAGTGAAGCACGTTTTTGATCTTACCTGTGCGTAACTGTCCTTGCACTGCAACAAAAAGGACAAACAGACATCCAAACAAAAAGAAATGCAATGAAAGATGGGGGCATCCAAAGCAAGCAAAATTATTTAAAGCCTCAAAATCAGCACATGACAGTAAATATGTTGTATTTACTATTTTATAACTTGCCATTACACAGCAGGAAATTAACCCTCGTGCGCTGGTAGTCGAGCTCTGGTGAGTTTGTGTATTAGCCAGTTATTTGGAGGCTTTCTATAAAAATCTATAAAACATTGTAATATCTAGGCAAAAGTGTTAATTTCCTTTACCTGCTTGACATAAACCGCTGCCAGCTGCAACATATCAGTACTAGCCAATGATGCAAATGTGAGATCATTAAAAAAAAAAAAGGAGAAACAAACAGACTCAAAAGAAAGAAAGCAGAGAAAATGCAAAGCAAGGACTGACATCGTGAAGAGTATCAGAGACAGAAGGAGAAGGAATAGAAGGAAAGAAACTGAACCCAAAGCGATCAGATATTCAGTGTCTGATCAAACTGAACTTGCCTCTGAGGTTGAGAACATGTGTGACTCGGTGCGGTAGATCCCGATGGGGATCTCAGCACTGGAGGAACAGAGTTTCTGGAAGAGTCTGCCATAAGTTCTGATCCACAGATCCTCCTCTGTGACCTTCATCTGAGGAGGAAGAACGACGATCAGCATCACAGACTCATTTACTCAAACGCTTGTTTAGACGGAGAAGTGTTGCTACGTACGACACACAGGTAGCCGGAGCCAGGCGTGGTGTCCAGACCCAGCAGAAGCCTTGCGATAGCGATCATGTAGTCTTTAACAAACGACTGTCAAAACAGAGAAAATAACGTCAGTTAAAAAGGTTGCAGTTACACTAAACAAGCCGAGCCGTTAACAGCTTGAACAGCAATTAGAGTTAAGACGTTTAAGCTTCCAGACATATTGGCTAAATTGAAGCTATTTAATTATTAAAAACACAGTTTGTTGCTTCCACGCGGCTTCACAACATAAATCTGCCTCGTTCAGTGCAGGTCAGGAGTAGCTTGCTGTAAGTTTGTTGTGACATGCACCCGTGTTGGTGATTTTTTATTACGTCCACTCATTGTGCAGTGGGCCTGAGGAATGTTTACTTTACTGCATCTGCAATAAATCTGTTTGATGGCAGATTAAATTCATGAATATTCTAAGAGTGAATAGTCTTTTCCAGGTGATTTATCTTGGACGTAACTAAACTTTAGAAATGAAACTGTACCTTATCGGAAAATAGTGCTGTTAACCATTTTAGAAGAACCTTAGATCATTCCTGAACCATAGCAGGTTTGTGAGGCATTTTATCTTACAATAGGTAAATAAATAAAAACAAACTTATTACCAAAATCACACTATTTATCACTGCCAGAAGCTATAAAAAACAGAATCCCTGGATTGTCATGTCACATGCAGTTCAATTAGGCAAATTAACCAAATCCAAGCTTAAAATTGTAATATTTAATCAAAAACACTTTTCTAATTTATGAATTTGTTAAGTATAAACCATTTGCACAAGCTACATTGTGTAAAAAACTACAAATTCTGTCCTCCTTGGCAAACCAGAGAAGAAATGACTAATTGTCACGTGACAAAAATTCAGGGATTTTTCAGCTGAACTGTGGTTAAATATGGAACCAAATATGTAAGTAGTTAAATACCTGTTTGTTAGAGTCACCAGTTCTTTTTCAGTTTTAACACCTTGGAGGACATGTTGTATATTTTTATTCCTGTTTTTCAAATCTTGCAAAATAAAGAATTAAAAGAATTCCGTTTTGTTTTACTTTTTTTTGTCTTTGATTTATAACACTTTAACTATGTTATCTTACACAGAAAACACTTTAAAGTTCTCTCTACATCCACTCATGGTTGTGCTGTTTCTGTAGAGGTGCAGGACTTCATGTTGCAATGAGCCCACAATAAGTAAAAATGTGACAGGAGCAAATAAAACGCTCAGAAACTGCTTGGAGTTTAAAACGATTAATATTCCAACAGTTTAAATGTTCTTTTGTAGGCTTTTCATGTTGGACTTAACTACTTAAGACATGTTTATTTTGGACGTTAAACTGTACCTCAGCAGTAAACACTAACATCTGCTCACAGTCATTTCAGACAAACCTCTCAGATTATTCCTAAACTCGCTCTGAGGCACTGGTGCGGCACGAATTCACAAAGACAGATTAGATCACTGACAGACACATGTGCATGTCTTAGGTTTATATTTATCTTCCATAACGAACCAAAGTTCAGAGCCAGAAGTCTGTTATCCCACCTGGTAAAGCAGCGTATCCAGCATGCTGATACTGAACACCCTGCCTGCAGCAAACGGCAGCCGGAACATGAAGGCCAGGTTGGAGCCCTTATCACGCTCTATCTGGAAAAAAAAAAGTAGCAAAAACAGCTTTGAGAAACAGAACAACTCACTTTTCCACCTTGTGTGTTTACTGAACTCTTGCTCTTTTGCTTGTACTCTCCAAAAAGACCTGTGTGGAAGTGGAAAGACCGACTGGTTTTTACTTCTGAAAGCTTAAAAATTGCTTGAGAGACTTTTTTTTTTTTTCTAAGAAAAAGGAAAGTAAAGGTGAAAGCTTTCAGTGTATGTAGGAGTTCAGGAAGGAGAAAGCAACTATGGTGCAGAATCAAGACATTATTGAGGTTTAAGAACTTTGATCAGTTTGTGTTTGGCAACTTTCTGGCTGTAACAGAAGTCCAGATATTAATGATAACTTTTATCTGTTATTCTCCTCCTAAAGTTAGGAAAAACAGGCCTGAAGATCACGTAAGTACACATGAAAACACACTAAGATCCAGTAATTTGTGTCTGGTGAAGTAGTTCTATATGTTACCAGATTCATTTCTCTCCCCTCGTGTTAACCATCTAAGACGTTGCCTCTACATTTATCTGTACATGTGTGATTTTGTGACTCGTTTAAGTTTGCAATGAGAGTCTGGTGAGAGTAAAAAATAAGGTTCAAATTCAAACTGTTTGGATATTTACAAGTTGGAAGCTTGACTGTGCAACCCAAAGTGCTCATTTTCAACATTTAAACTGCCACACGTATTCCTCTATAATCCACCTTTGAGCCGTCTTTGGAAAACCAGGCGGCACCACAGAGTTTACCATCTGTCACCTACAGAAAAGAAAACAGCATGAAGCCAGAGTCGGGGATTGTTATTGTCGACCCCCCGTTCTGAAATACTCACCTTCTCCAGTTTGGAGAGAGCGAGTGAGTAGCAGTCCTTGGCCCTGAACTGCATGAACCTCATGTTGGACGGATGTGTGAGCTCGGTGATGATGCTGAGACTCGGGAACAACCTGAGCGAGGAGGGAGATAAACGCCGAGGGGTGTTAGTGGAGAGATGAGATGCTTTGTGCTGAGAGGAAAACAGAGCGTGGCAGTGATAAATGCTTTTAATTTGGGTTGTTAAATAAAGGAGTAGCTTCAGAGCTTCGGCAACTGTAGTTTGTCTTTGAGATGAGCTCATTCTGCATTCAGGAAAAGCAACTTGGTACTTCAGTTAATCAGTTAAGTAAGTAGCTGAATGCACAGCTCATAAATAAACTGTTAGAACTGTTTACTGCTCCGTTACCTGAACATAGTCTGGACGTTGACGATGGTCTTGGCGTCGGCCATGTAGTCTTCCTCAGCGCTCATGGTGCTCTCCTTGTCCACAACCACCAAGTTGTCGGCATAGATGATGCCACACTGGAGCAGGTTGTCCAAGCTGGTCCAATCAGACAACAGCAGTTATTTATTACATCATGACATTTCAGTAGAACATTCATCGAACATGTTCAATCTACACCCAAAGCTGCATCATCTGCACCAATTTACATTCTCTCAGAAGTGAATGCATTACTAAATTTAGATTTAGTTGTTGATTAGTATGTTCACTAAACTGCCGGTGTGAATGGCCCAAACCCAGTCTGCACTAAGGCCTGATGTAGACTTAACTCATGTCACAACTGAACTAACTGACTGTGTTAATTTGCTTCAATAATTCAAAACACAGTTCAAAGATAAAATGTCCAAGACAGCTCATTAACAGTCCAAAGCATTAATAAAGTAACAGATGTTAACGCAAGAGCTGCTAAAACAAATGCTACACACACAGGTAAGCTCTCCAAAGTGTCTCAGGGAGAAAAACTGAAAAAGTTCCATCACTGAAAATTATGGTCAGTTCCCCGTTGCTGGTGATGTTGCCCAGTTATACCAGTTTTACCTATCGTGGCAGCACAACCTGCTTGGAAACAACGCATCACTATTAAAACAACCAATAAAATAAAGTGAATCTGGACTTGTGTTTCATTCCCAGTTTGATGAGCTGCTTACTCGATTGCTCCCTCTTTGAGGCAATACAGTGTTCATTTTAGCAAACTGTCAGAAAAGACATGACAAGCTGTAAATCCTATGTTGATGTTTACCTGAAAATACAAATAAATGTGCAATAAATAACCACAACAGCAAGCAGCTGGATGCTGCCACTCACAGACACACTTCCCAGCAGATTCCTACCCTTCACCATCCCTGCTCGGTTTGTGTACATTTTGTGGGTGGTCACAAATTTTGTTGTGAGCTATTGACAAGTCTGCATGAACAAAAGTTTACATACACTTGTAAAGACCATGTATATCGTGGCAGTTTTAAGTTCAGAAAATTTCCTATGATGAAATCACATTTGTCACAAAAAAGGTCATGCATTTTGGCTCTAACGTAGATTTACTATAGGCTTCTGAAAATATGACATAATCTGCTGCTTCAAAAATATACAAACATCAGCTTAAATTCTTAGTTATGTTGATGTGGAAAAACTGCATTGTTGGCATGACCTCTGACTGATGACTCCTCTGAGCCAATTTAAACAGGACCCACTTGATACACTCATTAGACTCAGATGCAAACACTACAGCAGGAAAGTCTAAGGTGCTCAGCACAGATCTGAAAAAGCAAATTACTGACTTAAAGAAATCAGGAAAGTAACTCTGAGCCATTTCAAAGCAGTTATGGGTCCCAAATTCAACTGCATGTGTTTCAGTGACTCCATCTTAGAAAATTAAGAATTTTCAGTCATTAGAAACTCAAGACTGCCGTCATAAACATCGTCTTTAAAGGTGTACCTTGTGCGCTTTGTGATTTGACAATAGCACTCAGCAGTAGCGTGTCGTAAAGTTCGTAAATCTGTGAATGTGGCAATTGTGATTGGGCCATTGTTCTATCAAACACAACACTTCAGTCACTGGTTAGGTGAGCTTAACTGTACATTTTCCTACTAATTTTAAAACATTATGACTACAAACTATTTTCTCATGCATGCAGACATAAATATAACAGTTCACAAAGTGCTAACAGTTAAACTGAAACCACAACTACCAAAAAGTTGTGTCACGACTTTGTGCAGCTTTTGTTTACACAGTTAATCCCTTTTGTTTGAACGGCAACCAGCTTTTCCTGGCAGCCAAATTCCACATTACTGAAAATCACTGTGTTCAAACTAGAGAGCAGCTACAGTCCAACACTCAGTGTGCACTAAAAGCGTTTAGCATTCTGCCTAAATGGATGTCTTTTTGTAATGGCTTTCATGCTGCGTGGTTTTTGAAACGTGAGTCTCCCTTCTGCACGTGAACGCAAAATATTCCAACAGTTGTTGAAGAGAAATTAAAAATCTGCTGCAATCAAACTGGAAACAATGTCTCATGGTGGGATTTGTCTTCAGCACTGATTAAGGACTGTATTGGAGATCATTTATGGGGTAATTATGATAAATAAGTTGTACTGGAGCTGAACTTCTGGTGGTTGCAATAAAAATTATTACATACATTAAGTGAGGTAATCAAATGAGCTTGTTTGTCATAATTCAAACACTTACTTATCGATAGTGCCGGCCATGAAGTAAACCATCGGAAAGCAGCAAATGGCCTCTAAGAAGTGGTTGTCTGGGCTGCAGGGAACAGGAAACATGAATGAGCATCCCACACTAATTATCTTTGTAAACCCCGGCGACACATTATGACACTGTTGGAGTAATTTCCTGCAACGTGCTTGTTGATGAGGGCAGGGAGGACTCGCTTGAATTTAGTACAGAACAAAAGGGAAATAAATGCCTAATTCCTTGATGCAACGGGAGGATTTACAATAACTGGTTGCTATGGAAACTCCAGAGAGTGTCACTTTCGCCAGAGCTTCGCTGGCTCCGTGTTTGTGTCGTTCATCTGTTTCAGCGGACCGCCGAGATCGGGCCGAAAGTTAATGAAACCCACAGCGAGTTGGAGCAGGAAACGTATACATGCTCGAACACACAAATAGGCTCTCATGAATAATGCAAAAAAAAAATGAGACTCTTTCTCCATCTTGAAAGCTAAAGCATAGTTCCCGCTGTTATTACCGATTCTCTATTGTAAGCTATTTGTCTGTTTTAAATTGCAAACACATAAAGCCCACACGAGCCTATTAACGAATGCAAATACACACTACGACAATAACAAGTCGTTTCTTTACATGCTTTTTGAACTACTCTTCAGTTTTCTGCACTGAAAACGTCTTTTTATCAATTATTTAATTATTTTTCCTGGAGTTAACCAGTCTATACTTTAAAGCTATAATGAACAAACCTACTGAAGGCATTCTGGCACCCTGAAAACAAGCTCATATTGAACTACAGAGTGTCGTTTTATCCTTGTCAATCTCTAAAATGCTAATACACATGTACGCTGCATAAACAGTCTCCTACAACCTCTACTGACCAAGTGAGGTCCAGATTAAAGCCTCCTTTGCTGATTTTTATTCCAACTCATACAGTGAATTAGCATATGACTCATCTTTATTGTGCTGGATGTATAGATGCAGGAAGCACACAACGAAGCAACATATTACTCATAGTTAGTGGTGTAAACAAACAAAGGGGAGTCTTACGGGTAGTCCAGTAGCAGCACTATGGGGTTGAGCTCCTTTCTGGGTCGATAATAAGCTCGCAGAGGGACGATGAAATTGTAGAGACCATTTCCCGCTGTCTCCGCTGACACTATAATCAGCTTATTCTTGAAGCCGTACGCCTTCGCATCCTCAAAGCTGCTATGTGAGCAGCCCTGAATGGAGGCAGACAATTCAACAGGAAAGGAGTCAAGGTTTTAGTCAAATCACATAAAGCTTTACTGTATTATATATATATTTAAAAAAAAAAGCTGGCAAGAGAAGGTAAATGCATTTTGTGCAGTGGGTTTTTTGTGTGTGGCTAACTTCTGAGAGCTCACCTTGTCGAGGCGGAGGCAGCAGAACGGAGCTTTCTGCGGTAGGAGGTGGCACAGAGTTGGAGAGCTGCCGATGTAGGGCGAGTTGGGGGGGTAGCCCTTCACGAAACTTATGGAGAAGAGACGAGATGTTCAGAAGGACTGAAATTTAGTGGCCTAGAATGAAATACTGCGTACGAGCAAACATAGTGAGGCAGCATTTTGTTATCCTGGAATAACCTCGCAGCTGATGTTAGACGAGCCCCAACTCTGAAAACTTTGAAGTCAAAGATGAAGTTTTTCTTTTCTATGCCGCTGCGCTGCACTGTAATGACAGCAGAAATATTTTAACCCCATTTCAGATAATTGTTTGATCTACGCATGTCATGTCAGGATTTCTGCTATTGTTACCTGTGAATTTTAAATTGAATTTTTTTTAGTTTTTACTTAAATCTGTTGCCTTTGCTATACTATGACAATATCTTGGATATGTCTGATGCGTGTCTTTCTGCCAGATGTCTCCAGATGAAACCTCTCCACATTCTCCTCTGCTGCCTCAGAACAGGGCACAACAACGTCTTTAATGCTCATAGTCCACTTACACTCTCTATATTGTTCCTTCAAACAGTTTATTTTTCAGCACTTGTGCCTTTGATGAGAGGTTGTTGCAGTCTAGTTCCATAAACGTGTACTTCAAGTTTGAGGAGTAGCTCAAGTCCAGTGAGTACGTGAGTCCAAATAAAATGGCGAGTGCATTAGATACATTATCTAGGTCGTGAAGCACTTCCACACCTTTATGTTGTAAAGTACTTGTAAAATACAAATGAAGCTGCCTATTACTTATTCATTAAGTATCAGAGCGTTAAAAGTGACGGCAAATACAATCACACAGAAATATTCTGTGCATTTTAATTTAAAATGTACCCTTTCCATGATCTTAAAAAGACTTAACTTTGCCACAACAGACTCCCTTTTCCTTATTTACATAATTACTTCATTATACTGAATATCACTGAAAAGTGTTGCCAATGTCAGTGTTTGTGGTTTTCAGTTCATTATTAGATTCCGCAGCTGCTTTGCTCAAATGTTTGTGAGCCTGCAGGACTAATTCCATCGCAAAGTCTGTTTAGTTTTAATTGTGTCTTGTTTTGATTTGCAGCTGAGCGTGTCAGTTTGGCTCCCTTGATGTGTAACGTATCAGCTGCAGTTAGCCTCATCAGCTCCGCGGTGCCCTCCAGTTTGCCGATTCTAACTGTGATTACGTCTACCATCGGATCACCACATGATGGCACTGTGGCACCTTGAACTTTTATTCCGTGCCTCTCTGCAGTCACTTCTCAAGCACTGCTGCACCTCTTGTAGCTCTTCAATAATGGAAAGCACACAGGCTCTGTGGGGTTCAGTCATACAGGCTCAGAGGTCAGGAGGACCATGTTATGTCCAACTTTAGGAGACCGGTTGCTGTCTGGGTCAGTCTAACAGCTGCTCGTCAGACGGACTTGTACAGGTTGAGGTGTGAGGTATGAGCTCAGTGTAAAGAAGCCACATACAGAGACAGGACAGAAACTGTGGCCGTGGCCTTCCTCTGACATGCACGGCGGCTGCATGTCTGGCCAGCTGATACATGAGTAAGGATGTATGCAGCGACACCGTACGTGAGCCTCACACGAGGAAAAGTGCTGACCTCCCCATCCTGACATACGCATTCATCACTGCTGCCACTCGCACCTTCCAGCATCATGACACGCCAATTACAAGCCTGCTACAAACCCATCCATCTCTCCCACTACAACCACCGAGTCATGAAGAGGAGGAGGCGAGGCGAGATCGATCAGCACACTGGCACTGTGAAGATATTTTACTTTTCTTACTGCTGTAAGAGAAGACGTACGCTACAATATCACTTACTCTGACCCGACAGAGCCTTCCTCATCTGACTGGTTGGTCTCGTCCTCCGACTGGTCGCTGAGGAGGTCGCAGGGCAGGATGGCGGAGGAGTCAGCGATTTCCAGAACAGGTGCGATGCTCGGCCTCCGGCTTCCGGCACCGTTTTCTGTTGGTAAGGTCAGTTTGCTGCTTTCCTCAGGGGGATCGGGGTGCTGGAGGTCTATGGCTACAGTTCCTGAAAATTACACGAGGTTGTTTCATGAGCAAACCGTACGGCTATGTGGAAATAGCACATGCAGCACTTCCTATGACTGTTGGTACATTCTGAAGCTGGAAAAGCTGTTTCATATTAGATATCATGTAATCCATGTTTAGCTTGTTCAGCACATTAGCCCCCCCACATTCCTGTTACCTTTTTGAGCTCAGTAGTTTGACCTTGAGGAGAAAATGTATTGCTTTCTGAAGCACAAAGTCCTCGATTTATCACAACTGACATGCAAACAGTGGTGAATTAGTGTGTTTGTCAATAAAAATGACTCTAACGTACATCATATTAGGTCCATCTCAAATCATCTAATTCTGCACAACCATGATCTGATTTGCCTTAAATATTTCTAGCACAAAATATGGATATTTATAAAGATATCAGTGAAATTATAGAGTACTTTGAGATATATATTTTTTTTAAATCACTTGCTCGTAGACTCACTTTCAGTTTTATTTACATGTTGAAATTTGAAGCTATGTTTAAATGACATTATTTCAGGAACTACTACAGATAAAAAACAGATATTTTCACTTTTATATAACATCATGTCATTAATTTAGAATCTGCAATATTGGGCCATACATAAACCGAGATCAATGCCTACAAAATGGAGTTAAAATTTGGCTATCTACCAGTACTCTTGTTCTTGTGCAACCAAGTACTTTACATTAAAAAGTATTCTATATGTTTTGTTTTACTGTGACATAAAACTACATGTGGTTCAGAAAATATCACTTCCATTTCTTTTTTTTGTTGTTGCATATTTCAGCTTACCCATAATCAGAAACTGTTCAATGTACTTGTCCTATATTGCAGATTCTTAATCAATGACATGATGAAAAATACCAGTGAGAATGTCAGGCTTTTGTCTTTACCAGTTCCAAAGGAACAGTATTTACAACACAGCTTCAGATTGTAGTTGTAAAATCTGTGAAACAAAGGCGTGCTGAACGTGGGTCAATAAGCAACTGTTTAAAAAAATAATAATTTGGAAAGTACTTGATATATCAATCTAAAATTTCACAGATACCATTTTAAATATCTGTAGGTTGATTTAAAAAAAAAGAAAAAAAAAGTTGCAAGCAAACTAGTGATGCTCAAACAGAAGGGCCCTGAGATTTAAGGCTTTGTAATATGATGTATGATATATGCACTGTTCATATCAGGTGTATCAGATACACAATGTATGCACACTGCACTCAGTCAGAAATATCAGATCAGTGATATATGCACTGTACATACATCATCTTTCTATGGGCTAAATAGTGAAAATTTCAGAAATTATAAATGTGTGTTAAAAAAAAATAAAATAAAAAAGTGACGCATCATGCACAAACTTACCAAACGAAGTAGCCTGATCAACTTTAACAGGTTAAAAAAAAAAGCACAACACAGCAAGGTCAGCCAAACAAAGTAAAAATGCATGTAAGAAAAACATCATGCATGACAGTGAGCAAAAAAAGCCCAGAGCATCAGCAAAGCAGCCATCACTCAGAGGTGCCCAGTGTGAGAGAAGGCTAGCGTAAACAAGCAACAAAGCATCCATTTTCTCTTCTTACACGGAACCCTTTCAGCCTCCTCTCTTTACCACCTTCTCCATTTCTAAGCATCTTTGTTTATTTGCTGCCTCTGTCTTTGGGCCTTACCCATGCTGGCGATGATGCTGTGCACAGGCAGCCTGGAGGGGGCGTCGTAGAGGCCGGTGACTGGCAGGCCCTTGCTGTGCTTCTCCTCCTGCTTGAAGATGAAGGCCGAGTTCTCCTCCTTGGTGATGTTGATGTAGTAGCAGGTGTCGGCGGCGGCCATGATGTGGCGAGGTCCGGGGTTCAGGAGGATGCTCTTGTTGTCTTCCCTCTTCACTCCGATCAAACAAACGCCGTACCTGGGAGGCGGTTCCAAAAAAAAATTAAAAGGGCCTCAGATCCAAATTGTTTCATTTTTATTTTAAGATTTAGCTAGTGGAAGATTTGCTAACTTCTTGTGGGCGTGGAAGGAGGCGTAGGTGAAGCTCTTCCCGTCATACTCCCCAAAAAACTTGCTGTCACACAAGCGGATGTGGTAGACCTCGTTTCCAGAGCAGCGTCCGTACATCCGCTGCCACTGCTCTGGCGACAACTGCCCTTCCCTGAAAAAAAAACACAATATTTACTGCTTGCATTACAGTAACATGAAGGCCTGTTCTCATAAAAACGAGGTTTACGCCTAAACTAGATGTCCTAATATATCACGTTGCCATCAAATTCTGTTTTTATTTTAACTATGCCTCAGGAGTCATTTAAATTCATGAAAGAAAACACCTTTAAATCAAAAGTGACTTTTATTTGCATCTCAGCTGTTCGCATTTATTCGTAGATTGATAAACTGAACCTTCTGTGACCTTTCCTCGGCCTTGTACTACCCCAGCCAACGCTATTTCAGCCGCAATAATGAGCACAAGAAAAAAAAAAAGGTCATTTTATTTAGGTAGTTCATGTACATCATAACTTTTAATCGGCTTGATAATGTTTAAATTAACACCTGCCACAAAAAAGTCTATTGAAATTCCTGTCACCTTCATAGCCGTATAATGGGAATTAAAATGGATGTGCTGCGGTTCTGCTGTGGGTAGCAGAGCAGATATAGTAGTCACCTTGTACAGAATGTGACAATTTGACTTTTAGCCCATCAAGAAGCGAGCAATGTTCTTCTGGCTGACAGTGACAGGTCTCTGGTACAGTCTGACTACTGTACTGTCACCATCTATATAACTAAAGACTCCTCCGCAGAACAATCAGTCATCTTCCACGAACATTAATCATGAAGTTTGATTGAATCTGCACGCATGGAGCAAACTCTTGTGAATATCAACTGTTTTTCTTTTCTTTTACCTTAACTTAACATATCCATGTGTAACTATAATACACACAGATTTAATTTTAGGGGACTTTAAACATTGAGAATGCACTCAAAAGCTTGGAAGACTTATTTGAAGCTCAGCTGCTAAAGATGCAGAATTAATGTGATTAGTTGTGTTAAATATCAAAACAAAGAGCCAAGATAGAGTCTCAGGTTTACTGTTAGGCTGAGATCTAATGAATAAAGTTAAAGTTCAGCTCTCTTGTTACTGATTCAAAACACATCAAGCCAAATTAAGGGTAACTATACATCTCAGCTGACGTTTTAAGGAAGCTGTGGCAGCCTGTGTTCGTCTACTTTAGCGCGACGTGATCACAAAAGCAGAAATTTTATTTAATTGCCACTTGTGATGAAACGTTGTCTTTATGACTTTTAATGTATAATTCTACGTCATACATGTGACAGGCGTATATTACCTCTAGTTTTATCTTTATTCTACATTGCTGGCTTCATTTTTATCCACCGGCTGTAACATGTGAATTTCCCCAGCGAGGGATCAATAAAGTTGATCTTTTCCTAAAAATTGTTGATATTCGATTTTTCTTATTTCTTCTCTTCCGGTTACATGGGGTCAAAAACTTTAATGAAACAGTTTTAGACTTTTGTCTTTTCTCACGGAGAGTGAGACACGTTTGTTCAATAAACATGAAGCTGGAGCCAGAAGACAGTCGTATAAACACTGAACACGGGAGGAAACACTGGTCTGGCTTTGTCCAGAAGTAACAACAATCCAATTACCAACATCTGTGAAGCTCCCTGAATAACATGTTGGATTTGCTACCTTTAGACAAAGCAAGGCTGTTTTCAGTCCAGTCATTTCAGTCATTATATTAAGCTAAGCCAAACTTTAGACGTAATATATTTTCAACTAATCATTAACAAGGAACTGAATGTGTGCATTTCGTTCAACAATGAAAATCAGAATCAACTGTTGATTAAACTAAACTTAAACTTTACTATAATAAAAGTGAAAACACCTGCAGGTCACGTAAAGCAGCACAATGCAAGAGATTTGGTAGGAACAGTGCAGGACCATAGCACACGGTAATAAACTACATACTGACAGCGGACATTGCGTATGGGGGCACTTCAAAAAGCAATCGGCCTCACCTGGAAAGAAGGAGCTTAACTCCAAAACAGCATACTGTAAAGCCTTAGTTCCACAAAAACTCAAATAAAAAGGAGAGGAAAGCTTTGAGTTGGTGTACTGTTGCTGCAGGACAATGCGTTTATCTGCACAGCTTCAGGTGGCAGAAGCAGCCAACTGAAAGTGCTGCCTGATGCACTCCAATCACCCGATCTGCACCGTCTGGCTTCTGTTTCCCAAACTGAAATTTCACGTCTTATCAGAGTGATGACAAAGACATCCAAGCTGTTGAGGAGAATCTGGCGGCTCAAGATGTGACCTTGAAGCTTTAGCTCAAGTGTGTTGAAGTTAAAGGAGACTATGTTGACAAGTAATGCAACAACAATCTGTCTCCTGTGACGTTTTCTCATGAGGCCGAGAACTTTTTGAAGTACCCCTGTGTCATTGTAAATAAATGCTAACATAAATACTTTTTAAATACCTATCTAAATATGTGTGTGTACTCACTGTCCTCTGGAGGTGTGAACCAAGAGAGTGACTAAGGTGGACGTGGCCGGACACACACAGTTGAGTGCCAACATGGCATACTTGAACTCCTCTTCACATACGACATGATCTGTTAAAAACAATACATTGCATAACGAGTTTAGATTTCGGAAATGTCGGAATCTCACAGATGGGCAAGATTATTCATTTTCTGAAGATACGCAGCTTTCCTGCACGTACCAGCAAACTTGACATGAAATTTGTTTTCAGGTTTGAGAATTTGGACGTAGAGGGGGCAGTTTGGCGCAAAGTCCTTTGCAGCCCAAGCCCTCAGAATAGTCTGGTGATCCTGTGTGGACAGAAACAGTTCGTTTTCACTCATCCAGTGACTGATTTATAAACGAAATTTGAATATTAAAAACTTTGAAGTTTGCCTCAGACATTCAGCGTACTTTAAATACTCAACACCAAAATCACGGTGTGAATATTTCCAAGTCTCTCGACTAATTTGAAAGTGAAGCAGAGTGTGAAGGGAAAACGCACGACTCTTTGGCATCGTTCTTATCATGAGAGGGTTTACTCTGGAAATTGCTTTAACAAATTCCTGTGGATGTAACTCACAGCAGCGGTTCGGTCGACTTCGTTCCTGCTGCTCAGGATGAAACAGGCCTCAGCGTCGTCCATCCTGAAGGATTGACAGGGAAATAGAAACACAGACAGGCAGGGATGGTCACGGGCTGGCGGCTGTGAAGAGGGCGATCAACCAAACGTAAAATTCATTATCTGAGTGGACCTTTGCTTGAAAGAAAAGCTAGGCATGGGTGAGTGCTAATGTCCCATGAGCACGGATGAAAAGGTTTACAGCTCCATCCCCACCGATCATTCACTTGCTGCCAGAAAACTCACATGCTCTGTGAACTGCAGTATGAAATGAGCACACAGAAATCCATCTGCAGCAGCTGAGTGATTTTATCTGTTACATATCAGTGAAAGAAACTGTTACCTGCACAACTGCACATTAAAGTGGAACTCTTCAATTATGGTAGATGGGCTCTTGGACAAATTTATGGCTTGGATTTCATGGTATCGTATGCTACTGAGAAGTAGTTGTACCTAATGTCACAAGCATCACATAGCAATGTGACAAGCAAAATAAAACAGCAAAATATCTGTCAGTGAGCAGCAAGATCCCCCAAAGCGACCCTAGAAGTGAATAGCACACTGCTGCAGTAATATGTTGTACTGACGTGGATAAAACTGACAAGGCTGAACATATTCCAACGTGATCCATCACTATTTCGATTACTGCTTATACATGTGCCCTTTGATGTGAGCAGATGATCACTGTAGAGTGAAATCCTTTTACAATGATGGGGAAGCAGAGGGCAGCCAAGTAGACTTGTAAGGACTTGCCCTCAAACTGCATTTCAGTGGAGGATGAGTCATTTAGCTCAGATCCTTATCCAGCATATAAAATTAATAAAATAAAGATTAGCTGGACTCAAATCTAAACCTTTCAAGAACATGACGTGACATGCATGTTGAATGTTCTGTCTGAATGTGCCAAGCTTTCACTCACTTGGCCCTCATCAGGTCCTGGTCTTTGAGGGCGGATCCCTGCAGGTAAATAACCCTCTGGGACCACAGAGGGATCTGGAGGATACGGCGAACCTGAATGTCTATCTCTGTCGGACACAGGATCACCACGTAGTAGTCCTGCAAGAGAAAGACACGTTAGCCTTTATTCAAATCCACAAACTTGTTTAATATCTTACATTTTTCTGTACAACTGAACGGTCAGCACTCTGAGACATGTATGTTGCTGTATTTAGTAGCATGTAACTCTAACTGCTCCTGTGTTGTTTTATGCTTACAATTTGTTTTCATATCCTGTCTGTGATATTTATGGACATAATCTAAATGGACAGCTAGGGTCAGGAGGGTGTTTGGTTTGTGAACCTTAAAAGTCACAGCTTTGCTTTTTGCAGATGAAGTGGTTCTATTAACTTCATCTGGCCGTGACCTTGAGCGCACACTGGGATGGCTTTTAGCCGAGTGTGAAGCAGCCGAAATGAGAGTCAGCACCTCCAAGTCTGAGTTCATGGTTGTCTGAGGGAGACCAGCTGGTAGATTGCTCCCCCGTGGTTGGGGGCGAGTTGATGCCCCAAGTGAAGAAGTTTAATTATATAGAGACCTTAAGATAACAAGTGACTGGAAAATGGAGATGGACAGAAAGATTGGTGCGGAATCAGCAGTAATGTGGGTGTTGTAGAGCTGAGTAGAGCTGCTGCTTCTTCATGTCCAAAAAAATCAAGCTTAGATGGTTCAAGCTTCTGATTAGGATGCCTCGTGGGAATCTTCCTTTGGTTTTCTAGGCACGCCTCGGGAGGAGACCCCAAGGTTGTCCCAGAACATCGTCTGGCCTGGGAATGCCCTGCTTAGCTTGCTGCCACTGTAACCCAACCTCAGATCAGTGGGAACAGCTGGATGGATTGTAGTTAGCTTAAAAGAGTCAAGTTCCAAACCAGCTCAATTTTTAATTCCCAGTATCGGCAGGAAGTTACGCCCTATTGTTTGTTTACGTCCACATCCACAAGAGCACATGAAACAGGCTGCAAAAAACTTGATTGCAACATTCCTGGAACGACCATGACCTGAGAGTAACTTCTCATCCTCTTCTCTTACATTTATCTCACATGAATACCTATATATAATACTAAAAGACAGAATCATATGAAAACCCAAATGTGTGCTATTTGTGACACAGCTAATAACACAACTGTTCATACCATGATGATTGAAGCAGGCAGTAGACAGTGACGTGTACAAACTACAAATACAGCTACACTGTTGGGAAAATATTACAAACCTACAAGAAAAGAACAACCAAAAATCTTCCATTAGATCTTGTCACTGTACCTGTAGTCTGGGATGAGCGTAGAACTCATTGAGGAAATCCATCAGCAGGTCTATCTTGAGCGAGCTGACACACAACACCACATGTTTCTCTGTCTGCGCCCGGTGACGGCTGTAGTTCCCACCCAACTTCTGGCTCTCCATCCACAGGTACGCAAGCTCTTCAAACTGACACAGCGACAACAGCATTTGCGTGGTGTCAAAAGAAGCGAGAGTGATATCAATAATGAAAGAGAGATGGATTGGCTGTCCGGACACAGATGGAGTGTAAACTGCTGATGGAGTAGTTCGCCAGCAGCGGGAGCTCATTTCTGTTCTCACCCTATTAGCACTGCGATCGTTAAATATAAATAACACAGAGAACTGGCAGACTTATGATGAAGCCAGCATGAATTTGGACTGAATTTTGAGTGAGATTTGCAAACTTCGTCTGCAGCCAAAACTGTCAGAAGTAAGCACCTTATTAAATATGTATTTCCTGTCAGCCTTTCAAAACTGCATGAAACTGTCATTTAATATTTGATGAAAGCCCAGTAAAGGTCATCACTAGATGTAAAACATTAAAGAATAATGATAAGACAGAACCAACACATTAAAGTGTGTACCACTTCACTGCGCTTTATGGAAATGCTGCTTCAATTTACCATATAGTCATTACCTGTAGCGGGAGGACCACGAGGGCAACACAGATGAGGATGACCACTAGCAGCTGGGAGGGCCAGATCTGAGGCGTGACATCTCCGTAGCCCACAGTGGAGAAGGTGACGATGCAGAAGTAGAACGAGTCAAACAGGGACAGGTTCTTCCCGGCCCTCTCTAGATGCTGGATCCCACAAGCTCTGCAGCAAAATGAGGAAATATACAATTAAATCAAGCATAAACCCTACAGGACTCAAGGATTCAAAGGCGTTATTGTCATGTGCAGCAAGTTATCGGTGCAAAGAAATTTCCTGGTTGTCTGATTAACCGGATACACTCATTCAGTCACACTTGTATACATACTGAGGTAACAAATGTGAGTATACAAGAGCAGTGAGAAAAAGGGAATTGTAAAGATAATTAAATTGAAGCACATAAAGAGATGTTTCACAAAACCAGTCGGCCTCAAGTACTCCAATTTAGCCGGATCAGGACTAGATATCAGAATTCAATTTGCCCAAGACCAAAGGGCACCGAAGTCAATACAGCGTGGCCTTCTGCTCAGTACGTCATTTAAAGCGACACCATTGATTGCTCCGTCAGTTCCCTCTCACTGATTGTGTTAATTCATTTGCGTTTTTTTTTGCATTGATAAGTTGGGAGGCTTAATGAAACCCCCCAGGCAAGGCGAATGAGGATGTCTAACTGGACAGAGCGGAGTGGAGGAGGCAGGTTGCTGGGCGGTGGCCACCGTTTAACAAGGCTGCCAAAGAGCTCAGGACAAAAAAGTGACAGCTCTGATTAGGATAAATAGGCGGTATAAAAATGGAGATCAATGAGACATAAAAAAATGAAGCATAGGTTAATAATTGGATGGCGGCAAATTACATGTTTCCCTGCTGCTGATCACAAACCTTCAAGATAATGAATGTCAAGTGTCCTGAAAAAGGATCGTTTGCATTAAAGAGCCCTGCTTTTTGTGTTACACTGTTATAGAGTTATAGAGTAGAAGTGCATGCCAAAGAGTTATTCTCGCCCACAGAAAAACTCTGCTCTTTAACCTGCCTGAAACACCTCACTTGAAGTTGAGGCTTTTCTTCTGATAATTATCTACATCACCATGCAACTCATTTGCATACCATCTGCCTCGTGGCTACTTAAACAAGCCCACGTTGCAAGCTGTCATTATGTCCTCTGCTACAGTTTCGTCTCACTACCTGTGCTCACAAATCCAGGGTTACAGTATATAACCAGCACTGCCTCGCTTTGGTCAGGTCAGCTGCAAAATCAGAGCAAACTCAGTTTTTTAGGACGGAGGCCTTAAAGAGACAGGGGCTAAAATGGAGATGCTGCAACAATTTGCAGTATGAAATGCATAATGTGTATTTTGAAAATGTACATGTGTAAACATATTCTAACAGGCTTTCAAAGTAAAATTATAAACCTGTAGATGTGCATGATACGGGCTCTTTAAAATCTATTACATATTGCTGTTCCCACTAACAGTAGATCAACTCCTACTCTTTACATTTTGTTGCCTTTTTTTTTGATGGCGTTTCAATTTTATCTTTTACAGCGAGATTGTGCACCTCTGGCCCCACCGCTGAGCCAATAACTGCTAACAGCGTGCTATGTATGCTTTCAGAAAAACAGAAGTTCACTCACCCAGTGAAAACCAGACACAGTAATGTGCAGATGAGGATGAACACCTGGTTGAACATGGCAGAGTGGGTCCTCTGGATGGCACGATGAAAATCATTCTGGATACGAGAGGAGAAGTTATTAGATTAGGTATACCTATTCTCTTGCGCATACTGTTCAGTTTTATGTCCGTATCACTCTTTGGGAAGTGAAATACATTTCTCCACTCTGGGCCACATTTGTTCCAAACTAAACCATGTGCAGAACGATGCAAGAAAAAGTCAGTCGCTGTCTTCATTCAGCCATAAAATGTTGTTAACGTGTTAAAAGGGCTGCGTCTCACTTTCTATATCGACATAAACCGAATAAAGGTTAAGCTGGCACTTCAATGTAGCATCCATTATTTTACTTCAGACTGGATGTACTGATCCTGAGGAATAAAAAATGTTTACTTGTCGAAACACTTGTGATTTTTACTGTATTTATTGTCTTGTCTTGACTTGTATAGATTCTTTTCTTTTTGTATTGGTGGAGAAAACAGCGACAAAGTAACACAAAGAAACTCTATGCTTGCTGACTACTGGCATTCTTAAAAAACAAAACAAAACAACCCTCTACATTAGCACGCTGTCCATCTTGAAATGTAGCGGCTCACGACTCATTTTCGTTTCCACCCTGTTAGCATGTTCCGCCTGCCTCTACCGCCCTGGACCAAGAATCTACCATCTGCCAACTATCGCCTTGGCGCTGAGCTCTCACTCGGTCGTGGTCTCGTCTGAATCACAGCGAGAGCAAACCATACACCAGTTGGATATAATCTAATTGCTTGGAATTTCATGTACCAGTCGCTTTGCACCCATGGCAAACCCTGGACAATATTGATACTCCAGCACCAGGATTCTGTGCACCATCTGTTTTTCATCCTGTGCTGCTTTGCCTACACTCGTACTTATTTTTGCTTTGGCTTGCCTTGTTCCCTACAGTGCAATTTATCATTTTTATTCACAATATAGGGCTACAGTATATTAAGTTTTTGCATGCACTGGCTCACTAACCTCCAGTGCATACAGTTGTTTGGATAATGAAGATCAATTGAGTGTTTCTTTGCTCTCTATGTAACCATCCATAACCTATATACATGCCTTAAAAAACATTGCTGCAGTTGTTTTTTTTAAATATATTGTCTCCAAACAAGTCTGCTCAATTAACTTGAATAAATTGTCAGTGTTAGTTTAGACGGCCAACTAATTAGGCAGCAGGCTAATTTATCAAAGCAGCCTGTGTCATCGCTAACACTAGCTTTAAAAAGATAGAGTGGCTTGTGCAAAAATGAGACGCGTTCCCAAAAAGAGAGCGTCAGTTAACCAGAAAAAAAGGAATTAGCCTGCTCAATTAAATTCTGCTCAGCTAAATTGTATAAACCCACTCATCCCCCACTGCCAGGGTTGCTCATAAACTCTTATATGGCTGCAAAGAGGATGGATAATGTAACCTCAGAGCCTGCAGCAGTAAAGAAAACATGCAGCTGTGTTTGCTCCCTCCAGTACAATACAACTACGGTGTATACAGCACAATAACGCAGTATTTACTTTCGGAAATACTTACTATCATGTTCTCCAGGGCACCTTTGGCTAGCCAGCAGTTAAGAAATACAGGGACGAATATGTGTCTTAACGGACCCCAGAAGATCTTAAGGGGAAAGAGGGAATGTAAGCGAAAGAGTATATTAGTGAGTTATTGAGTTTACACACCTGAAAAATAATAAACATCTATTTCCCTTAATGCAAAAGGCAAAGAGGAAAATTACTATGCCCTTGGCAATTTTTGGTTACGGTAAAACGTTCAGTCTGGGATGATTATTTGAGCATTAGCGTTAGATTACCGTAACACCTTCAGCCTAATTCACAGTTCCCATGCTCACACTTTCTTTCTTTTTTTGTGGGTTGGTTAGTTCATTAAGTTAATTACTCACTGTGATTACAAATGGCACTGTATTGATCATCTCCAATATGAAGGATATCTGGAAGATCTGCTCCCAAATGTTCCCCTGAAAAAGGAAATTGATGGGAAATAATTCAGTAAAACCAGCAGAACGTTTCAGAGAAGGGAGTAATGTCTGCAATAATGGAGGAAATCAACTGTGATAAGACCACAATACTGTACAATGGGGGAAAAAAAGAACCACCGTTTTCTATGCAATGAGTAAAATAAAAGGCCACAAGCTTCTTTCTTTGTATAAACGACAGCATTGGTATCTAAAAAAAACCCTCCTCAGTGACCTGATTTTATGCTCGTAGTATTCAGAGCATGTGCTTGTTTGCAGCTCATGATAATGATTCTTAACTACCGCATATACATTTATACGCAAATACATGCTTAGTATAACGTTTCTAATTAAATATTTATCATTACAACATTCTTATACATTTTTAAACTTTTTGAAGAGTATTCTTTGTAATATACTGTATACTGTGCTCTTCAAGACATGTTTTATGTGGTCTTTCTGTGCAATATAATTACATGCATGATTATGTATTCAATATAGTCCCGGATGAGGGAAAGCTCAGTTATTTCCAAACAATAGAAGTAAAGAGAAAAAAAAAATGTTTATCATAAGACTAACAATACTTTGTAGCCACTGGCAATATGCAGACCTTATCTTCAAAAGGCAGTACAGTGTAAACAGACATGAAAGCGTGACACGATGAGCAAGTGGGGTCGCATATAAATCACATATTGAGGGCACAGCCCCGTTTACAGGGTCCAGTTAAATGATGGATCGTATCAGCAATGAAGCTTTAAAAGATAAAAAATAAATTTAAAAAAAGCTCAGTAAAGAAAATAAACACTTGTGACAAGCCTTCAGGTAATCGAGAAAAATACTGGCGGTTGCTCCTCCTCATAAAACGAATGGGAATCCCTAAACAAACATCAGAGGCCAGAGGAAAAATACACAGCAAAATATACCAAGATGAAAAAAAAAAGACTGTGTGTGTTAAATTCCAGAGCAAACTTTTAGAAGATCACCACAGGGGAAAGAGTTAAAAGGAATTGGTGTATAACGCGTCTTTGAGTCTCAGGGTAGAGGGGAAGCTGTGGGAGATGTTAAAAAGCCATTTTCACACAGATTTAGAGGTAATTGGACAATGTTGTATTCAAATGCAAATGAAGAGTGAGCTTTTAACTAATGTGGTAATGTCGGAATACTGTAACAGACAAGAAAAAAGGTTTTGTTTCAGTCGTTCTTACATTTATGAGACTGTATTTGAAAAGTGCTCCTCATATTTTGTCCGCCTTTACAAGCTGTGTTTAACTGTATACGAAGGGAAAGAAATCCTTCTGCTTACCGTTGCTCATTAGCAGTAAAAAAAACAAAAAAACGCACACTTTCACTAACCTTTGCTATGTGTGCTAACTGGGGTTATTTCCATGAATACATAATGCAGACACCTTCACTTGCAATACACATATTGTATCCGTGTTTAGAGGATTAATGAAAGTCTCTCAAGTGCCCAAAATGTGTTTTCAATTTGTTAGGTTGGTTCCCTTCATCATGAAGGTATAACACTTGGTTTTAGTCTTGTTATGAGTGGGCAGTTTCAGTATCTGTAACTTTAAACGTCGCCGAGCGGATGCTGTCAAAACTCTGTTGAGGAAGAAGACTCTCTCCATGGTTGAAAAACAGCTGACTGGACAGCAGCTGACACAAGATGTGAAGGAGTGTGTGAGACCACTGTGAGATCATTTTGCATGTAGATACTGCCGAATTCACAGTGCAAGGGCCCGGTCTGACCTTACATCATAAGCACCCAGCAGGACTGAATTGATGCCTTATCTTGTCTGTAAAATAATGTAAATATATTTTCTGACTGAGTCACAGGTATTGTCTATTGAATCAAAATGTATGTCAATAATGTTGGGGGCGTGGCTTCTAGTGAACCTGCATTTAGGTGAGTGCATTGCACGCGTGCAGGGGCGCGCTGCGAAATGACGACACACGCCGACTTGGAGGCTTTCCCGGAGTTGCGTTGCTGTGGAGTATGGATTTTTTCGTGAGTTATCAGCTGTTGATGGCATCGGCCACCTGCTACGAGTACTGTGACGTGTTTAATTTGTTTGTGACCTTGCAGAGCCATGCAGGTGGTGGTGTAACTGTACCTATAAAGCCTGACGATCCATGAACTGATTACCGAACTTTAAGAACTCTTTTGAAAGCAGTGTCGTTGTTCTGCTGTTTTGTGTATAGGGATGCGCTCGAGCGTGAGGGGGGATATAATGTAAAGTGTTTAAAGTAAAAGGCTGTGCTTTGAACCAAAACGGATGTATGTGGTTGTCTGATTTTCACCCCTGCTCAGGTTAGATCCGCCCGCTACCTTACCATAGTGCGTTACTGTTGCCTCGGAAACTAATCGGTGAATTGTTACAACAGCACAACCATGATGTGTGGCTAGTTTGACAAAGATGTTGACTGTAGTCTTATTGTCATTATTTCATACTCATTACATTGTCTAACAACAGAAACAGATAAATATGTAAATGGGAACAGCGTATTATAGGTTCGGCTATATTAAAATGCAGTGTGTGTGAGCACAGAGAGTAGGAGGGAAGTCAACAGATCTAAACACTGGCCAAGCTGAGGATGCACTGAATGCAACTTGAGAGCCCAGCAACACAACTAGTCCTTGTTAACTGGTTTAAAATTGGTCTCAAAGTTTCCACTATCTCTAAATGTCCCTCAGCTTTATATTTTCCAGCTCTGACCTTTGGGTATACAATCAAAGCTTAGTGCCACATTAGCCACACAGCATGCTAACATAAAGGAGTTTCCTGAATTCTTCCTGGTTTGTAAAGCTGGGTGGCTAGCTGCACAATAAAAATAGATGGTCACCATATGGGACCTTTAAATGCATATAAACTTAGGACAGTAGTGAACCTTCTTGCTTACATGACTAGTTTCTGATACAGTATGCATGAGTTTTGAATTAGTATCGGCTCCCCGTGTGTCTGACAGCTGCTTTGGCACTGGCGCTTGGATTGGACACTGAAAGCTGCTGGCCCACGAGAGAGAACGAACAGGCAGAGTTGGACTCGGATCAAACAGCTGTAAGACACCAAAGTGGATAAAAGAGAGAAACAGCGCACTGTGAACCAGTCTCTTACCTTGTAGCTGAGATATGTGATAAGCATAGTCTCCAAGAAACTGATTAAGGCCACTGTCACCTGGAGCAGAGAGAAGAGAGAGAGATAAATGAAGCCTGCAATTGCAAACTCATCTCTTCTGGCTTCTGAGCCTTCACTGAGAAACGTCCTCTGCAATGCTCTTATTTAATAAATGGCTGCCGGTGTTTTTGGCTGGAATTATGCGCTGAGATTGGGTTCATGCAGTGGAATTTGATTTACGTGCACTTTCACTGAAATGTTATTACTCTCACCTGTATCGCCCAGACAGAATCCTTTCTGTGCACCCAGAAAATCAACTCCCTGTCAAAAACCAGAAAAAAAGTTTTCTCACACTTTAGTGCAACTCTACATAATTGTAACACAGACATCACTAATAAATTACATTTGAACTAAACATACCAGTTGATTCCTGTCGACTCTGCTGTATTATTCCAACTGCTGTTCCGGCATATTGCACTGTAGAAAAAACAGCAGCAAGGGAAACACAAAAAACAATGTGGAAGTGTGTGTGTGAGTGTGTGTGCATGAGTGGAAATGTGCCCACTGGGAAACATTTCCATCAGCTGGTATGTTGCCATAAAGAACAAACCCAATGCGCCTCTAAAAGCAGCTGGCACTGAGCACAATACAGACAATCCACAATTTCCAAATGACAGCACAGAAGGAGCAACTTAGCTTTCCTCGTTTTCATTCACTGTATTCAGGCGCACAAACACACACACAAAATAAACAAAATCACAATTGCTAAAAATAAATAAACAAGACAGCTCGATTCCCGGACAATGTTTTGTCATAAAACCGCCACAGCTGACCTACATGTTACGGTTACATTTTAGTTTTGAGAAGAAATGCTCGATCACAAGAATGCACGTATTCAAAAGTGCTGAAGGTAAAAATCCAAAGCATTTCAAATAAATAACTGAACCGTGCTCTCCTCATATCTTTCACATTTGTCATATTATTCACATGCCAATAGGAAAATATTTTGGGAAGAAATGTGGTGGCATGCGGCAAGTCATCTGGTTGGTTTGGAATTAAAAGAAAGAAAAAGACAGACAGCATTCTAAGCATAAGAAAAGACTTTTTCTAAAGCAAAAAATGCCGTTTATCATGTATTTGTTACTAAACAAGAAAAACCCTGACTTAGCAGAGCCTGTGGATAACTCATTTTGTGATACTGATTACCCAGGACAGCTGATGTTGAGCTGAGTGAACCCAAACCCAAAGAGAGCTAGACTAATCTAAACTTGCTGTGTGGTAAAAGTCCTAGGATGCTCTACATGTTTGGCTTTGTGCCAGTCGCTCATGTTTCTTAGCATGTAGCTGTTCAGATCTAACTATCCATAAAGTTTCTCTTCTTGTCTCCACAGGAAACGACCGTTTCTTAAACTGCTTTCTTTTATTTCCTTGACTAGCTTTCCTTTATTCCCTCCACAACAGGCGATACAGTCAAGAAATTATCCACAAATTAGCAAACAATTAAGTGCCAGCTGCTGAGTGCGACTCTCACCAGGAGGTGCGATTATATTCCCTCGGGTCATCCAGACTGACTCGCACTATGTAGAGGACACAGGTGAGAATCTTCAGTGAGAAGTTGAACAAGCGGATTCTCAGGCCTGCGGAGCAACAAGAGCAAACATTGGACTTGATTCAAAAACAGGTGTAGCTTAATTTAAGTGAGTTTGTTTGGATCTTTTATAGTATTCACAGGCTTACATTTAAAGCTCTGCAGTTTCTGTTCGGTCACACTTGTTTTGCACTGGTCGTTTAGGTGCATAAAACCCCCCCGAAGCATAACTAATGCAGCTCTATGCTGCAGTGGCACTGTGACAAATGATTTCCCATGACGTGTAAGTTTTAAATCCACCAAGAATAATACAAAAATAACACAGGCACTCTTGTGTGCCTCAAATGTCTCAGAGGACCACAAAGCAAGATAAACAACTGGTGGGCTTGAACAGAAAAAGCCAACAAGCATAAGAATGTTTATGGAGTCACTGAGTTCTCTTTAAATAAGCACAGATGTACACAAAATTTAAACCACCAACAGGAGACGTGATTGACTTTCATCATGCTGTTGTAATGGCACCTGTCAAGAGGTGGAATATGTTAGGCAGCAAGGGAACAGTCAGTTCTGGAAGTTGATGTGTTGAAAGCAGACAAAATAGGCAGCGTTAATAGGTCAGAGAATTTCTGAAACGGACGACTTTATGGAGTGTTATGCTGATATGTAGCGGTTAGTTCCTACTAAAGGTGGTCTAAGAAAGAACGACTGGTAACTGGCAACAAGGTCATTGGTGCTCAAGGTTCACTGATGTGCATGAGGAGTGACGACTGACCCATCCCACAGAAACTACTGTCGCACAAACTGTGGAGAAGCCTAAACACTGGATATGATAGAAAGCTGTCAGAACACAGTGTACTGCAGCTTGCTACAGACTGATCAGACTGAACATGCTGTCAGCGCCTATAATGGACACGTGAACGTCAGAACTGGAACATGCAGCTATGGAAGGTGACCTGGTCTGATGAGTCACGTTTTCTTTAACATCATGCGGACGGCTGCGAGGCCTGTGTGTTGTTTATCTGGGGAAGAGACGGCAGCAGGATGCACTATGGGAAAAGGACAGGCAGCAGAGGAAGTGTGAAGCTCTGGGCAATGTTCTGCTGGGAAGCCTTGGGTCCTGGCATTCATGTGGATGATACTTTGACACATAGCACCAACCTAAACATTGCTGCAAACCATGTTCATCCCGTCCCGGTTATTGCTTCATTGCACTGTTTGTTTTCAGCAGGATAACACTCCCAGCCACACTGCAATGATTACTTAGAAATGCTCTGAGGATCATGACAAACAGTTCAAGGTGTTGACTTGTGTCTTGATGTTTGATACCACGGGAATCCTTTAGACGTCCTGGGGCCTTGATGGGTCAGAGCTATTTTGTGGACACAGGGGGAATCTACATGATACTAAACATGTGGTTTTAATTTTGTGGCTGATCATTGTATAACGGCAAGCACAGAGCCAGCCTGCACCACCAAATATGCATAACAACAGAAACTTGGCTGCAGATCTGCTTGTCAGCCAGCGGGTGGTGCTAGCTGTATTATCCATTTACAATCAACTTCACCAGCCACTTAATCTCCGCTGACACGACCTCTTCAGATGAAGTCTGCATCGATGTTAAATTAATTTGGAACTGGACAAACAAACAACAAATAGAGCAACAGACCCCTGCAGCCAAGTGCAACATTTTCATTACACTCTGCTGTTTTATGTCAAAGACTAATAGCTTAGTGACGACGACAAGTTGAGGGACAGACAGCAGAGCCATGTCATTATTGAGGATGTGTTAATGACATGTTCTGCCGGAGACCAGAGAGCTCCCGTTGAGTACATTTTTACAACTAGATGCAAATGAACGGCTTTCAGACTCGATGCACCAAATCGCTGAGCAGCACTGATGTGATTTCAGAGATGGTGTGGCATTGCCAGTCCCATCGCCTAATAGGAAAAAACACTGCAGCTCTGCTTTGTCTCCCAGCAAATGAGCCAAAATCTTCTGTCCATGCTGTGCACAACCAGACACATAGATAATTACAATGAGGCAGCTAATGTAATAATGAAAACCCCCAAATGACACAGAAATTGGATATGCGTCATCGCTGACTGCAATTTCCTATATTATCCTTTCACTTGTTCATTTAGCTCAGAGCACATCTAGCAGCAGCGGGCCGCTTGTCATTTTCACAATATGAGGAGAAGGGAGTGGTTGATGCTCCCCGTCAGCTGTACTTACTTGACCTTTGGTTTTTGATGAAGAAAAGCTTCAGCCTCTCCTTGAAGGTGTTTTCGTTCACATAGAACTCTACCTGCACCCTGTAGGAAAAGTGATAAAGTCTGTAAATATAGACAGGTGAAGGCACGTAAACACTTTGGTGAACATACAGAGCAACCCGCCACCACATACACACACAAATTCATAGCACGTTGAGAAGAAAGCCAGCGAATTTCAAGTGACCAGACAGCCTATAGTGGTAATATATAGGCTCAAGTGTGAGACACAGCAGCGCATTTGCAATTCTAAATATTTCCTAGAGTGAGCTGCAGTCTCACAGTAAATGTGACATGTGACAGTGGTTGTGTTCCAGGAGATGTCATGCTCATGTTTGCATTCAGGGCGGTTGTTAGGGGGGCAGTACAACACCAGAGTTTAAGAAATGACACTGAATTTACATTTTTCCAGTACCTCAGTGTGAGAAATACTAGCATGCTAGTTTATAAATCCTCTGTCAGCAAGATATGTTAATATTCCAAGTGCTTCAGGGTTTATAACATGGTCTTAAAACTGCCATAAAATCAGCCATAAAGGAACTTGGCTTTGACCACATTGTAAAATTAGTCAAGATATGATTCACACCAGAAAAATTCCCTATCAGTGAAGAAGAAAATAAGACTTCCATCCATCCATCAGTTATACCAGCTTTATCCATTGGAGGTCACTGGGGGCTGGAGCTGATGCCAGCTGACACTGAGCGAGACGGGCTGGATACATCCTGCACATTCAGTGCATCACAGGGGTAACGCAAAGAGACACACAACCATGCACACTCACATTCACACTGACGGCCAAATTAGAATGACTAATTAACCTTCCATGGATGTCTTTGGACTGCGGGAGGAAACCAGAGTAACCACAGCAACCAGAGAAAAAAAACACGCAAACTCCACACAGGAAGGTTTTAAACTAGCAGGTTCAAACCCAGGACCTTCTTGCTGTGAGGCGACAAACTGCTGCACTACCATGCAGCTCCAAAACAGGACACAAACTCTGCAATACAGTTTGACAATCAATGCAAAGGATACATTTTAAAGTTGGACATCCAGTATTAGCACATCCTGTTATCGAACAGCTTGTCTTTGTCACGGCACAACCAGCCATGAACCTTTTTTTTTCTTTCCCAATTTGTGCAATCCCCACGATTACATTTGTTGAAAGTTTCCAGTAAGAAAGTGCAACAAAATGTGTGCATTGTGCAAATCTAGATCAGGAAAAAGCTGTACAGGACTCTCTTTCCACCAATTCCGTCCGTCATTATGTACGTTTTCCTTTTACAGTGCAACAACACTAACCACAAAAGCACAAGATCTGGAATTTGAATGCACAATAATGGCACTTGTTCAATAACGCAGATTGCCACATAAATACGGACATATTTTGTCATACGACTTCCTCCTAATGGTGCACTTGTTGTGATGCATATGCATGATGTATTGTCATGACACGCACTGAGAAATGAATCCAAATTGATACATTTGTGCACGGAAGAGGCAAAAGGAGGATTTAGCCATTTCCATTTGCTCTCAATATTTTATGTACACACCCACATGATGTGAACTATAGTTTTCAGTGTGTACAACGATCTCTATCAATTTTTGTGCAAACATAATGGACTTTAATGGGCTTGACCAAACATTCACTTAAGCGCGAACGATGACGTAGCTCAGAACTGTGGGTAGGTTAGATGAACGCAGGTAATGAGGCAGATTTATTGTCAGCTTCTGAAATGTAGAGAGCTTGTTGTCACTAATGAGCATGACGGGGAGGTAATAATGGTGTTGCGGTCACAGCACGGAACCTTACAGTCTTCTGGCTTGTCTGACAAGATGAATGCAGGGTGCAAAAAGACAGGGGAGGAGAGAAGAGAGCAGAAGGGCAATTACAGCAGCCGTCTCCTCAGAGAGGCATGTAGATAGAGAGTGTAGGTGGAGGAAAGAACATGGGAGAGATAGGAGCAATCTTCTACATATTCCCCCCTCTCTGCCTCTTACGGCTTTATTGCCATAGAGACAGCTTCTAGGGCAGGCAATTTTCACTCACGTGTCTGCGTGTTATGTTTTCCCATCACGAGGAATTAGGCGGAGCTACACACAAACACAAGGACACGTTATTGTGTATAGGATCATCCCACAAACCCCCATTGCCAAAACTCCATCTTGCCGAAACCCTTATCAACCTAGTGCACTGACTGCTCTATCCGAAGAAGCAGTAAAAGACTGTCATAAAGACTAATGATGGCCACACAGGCTTCATGTTTACCCAGCTTGCCTACAGGTACATGCAATTACACTTCATAAAGGAAACGTAAACACAGCAAAACCTGAAATATGACTCCAAATTAAACTCAGCGGTACAGCTCCTCTCATTGTGTTGTTTGGTTCAGCACTGGCTCGGTAATACTGAGCAAGGATGAGTCCGATGTGTGTCTGTGTGAGGAAAGGGGTTATGTTAACCGTGGGATCCCATGCCCCCTCTTCGAATTATAATTTAATGCTAGAGTCTCTCTGTTTATCTGAATGCAGGGTGGGACACCTGCAGTGCAGTCTGTTAGCAGAGACATTTTCTTCTCAGTCATAATGGCTCTGCAGTCATCACATTTAGTTAAAAAAAACAACAAAAAACAATGTGAGGTTGAGATATTTAGCTCAGTTTGAGGATGTTTTCATCTATGCTTGGTGAACCATGAAGTGCTGCACCTGCAGCATTTTTGGCTAACTTCTTTATCAGTTTAGTGACGTAAGACTCCCTTTTTTGTAATTTCTTTTTCAAAACGAAAGCAGCAAATCTATCAGCTTTTGAGCAGATATAAACACCTCTTCCCTGCATTGTTTCAATTCAAAATATTTAAGCTTTATATTTTCAAAAATACACAGTAAAATGTCTTTGCAGAAATATCTCTCCACATTTACTAGATGGATTAGAACAACGCTTTGTCCAGTTCAGGTGTTTCATGGGTAGAACTTTAGCAGTCCCTTGACTTTTCCTCTGGTTTTCCACCAGGTTCACATTTGTGTTTTGAGTTCAGTGCCTCAACAATTACAATAGAATAGAATACATTTTTTTTATTGCTATATGCACAGGTACATTATAGTGCAGGCACATCGGAATTCTTGTATGTATTCATGAGTAAGCTTTATATACAGGAAAAAGAAATAAAATAAAAAATAAAATGGAATAAAATTAAGAAAGGTAAGAGCAACTGCAATAAAGATACAAATATACATCATAAAAATAAAGTAGGTACACAAAATAAAATAAATACGCAAAAATAAAATAAGTGCATATTATTAAAAAAAAAGTCTAAAATTATTGAATGGATTGACATGAATTCTGATATGCATGTTCAGATTCACCTAAAAGTGTACTGTAATGACTTTGGCAATTACTGCCTTTTCATTTAGATAGAAGTTTGTTGTATACTTTATAACCAAACGCTTGTAAAACTAATAGCATTCCCATCAACCTTGGTGCTTAGTGGTTATTTATAACCTCATTGGTTAACCTACAATAGTTAATGTGATAAACACTATACATGCTCACAATAGCATAACTTTGTCTTTGTCACTGTGAGCATGTTAGCATTTGGCACAGACCAACAGTGAATGCGAGTTTAACCTCACAGAGCCCCAAGCAGACTGGAGAAGATGTCTCACTGTCAAACATTTGGACCAGTCTAAGTGTTTTTGGAACTTAAGCAAAGTTGAGCCATACTTCACTTCTCATTAGTAGTATAAATGTAGACATAACTAACAAGCACTTGAACATAGACAATCACAAAAGTCACTGTCTGGCACTTTGCCAAATTTTCCTCAGACTGATGCTACAAATAACACTTCCTCTACATCAGACAGCTGACAGTCTCTGAAGAACGACAGCACGACCTCTCAAGTTCTTAAACTCTTTTCTTTGGAAGGTATGTTAACTTCTTTAACAACTAACTCAAACAACTGTGTCTTTATGAATGTGATTTTGTACACGGACACATTATAATGTTGAAACAGGAGAAGAACAAACAGAAACCAGCGCTGAAAAGTTAGAAACATTTTCCCATCAGTGTCCTTGTTCTGGTTGTTGGTGTATCAAAGATTTCACTTCAGTTAAAGTGAGGCATCCGGATTTGGGATTGACTGATTCTGGGTTTTCAGGGTTGATACCCATGCCCGTTATTGGTAATCAAGAAAGATCCATAACCAATTTTTGAACCTGTATACATTAAATGTCATGTCTTAACAGCTTGTGACAGCACGGAGTCATTCATAACTAGGGGTTTTCATTAATGAGGGCAACTATATAACTGAATATGTAAAATAGAAACAGGAGTGATTAAAGTAGGACGCTCTCCTCTCTTTATGTTGGATCGACTGAGACTGATCAATTTGTCTGCTGTTCTTCTCTATTTTCTTAGTCTTTCATTGTTCTCACGCTTTAATTGCCCATTAAGGTCCAGATCTTAGCATCATTAATTATTGTTTTCCAGACTCTGTTTCAGGTTAATCCGTTGCTGCCTTCTAACCTAGCCGCTACCTGCTAGCATAGCGTTAGCTGCTGTGAGAGGAGCCGATGTCCTGCTTTGTATTTTGTTTTTTTTTTTGTTGTTGTACGTGTTTTTTTTATCTCTGCTCGTGAGACATTCCTGAGACCACAGGGTGACGACAGACAGAAATCGACAGCTGCATCAGATCCATAACCGGGAAAATGTCAACTATCGGCCAAGATAATTGGCCAGGCTAAAGGTAATCCTTTACAAATAAAAATAAAAGAAAATAATAATAATTCAACATAACTCAAACCTCCACTTACAAGCCACACATGAACCTGTGTTTGTTTGTGGACAGCAAGATATATATCCCATATATCCGATATGTCCGCTTGTGAGACATTCCTGAGACCACAGAGGGACGACCATCAGAGATTAGCAGCTGCATCAGACCTGACAACCAGTAAAATGCCAAATATCAGCAAAGATAATTAACCAGAGGGCTGTACTACGAAGCAAGATTAGTGGGTTAGCGCGGTATATTGAGCCTAAAGTCAGAGT